AGATTTGGGGATTATTAATAATCATTTAAGTGTATGGTTATAGATTGAATATTTGATATTGGTGATTGTTACATACACAATACCTAGAAATTACTTGTTTTCTGGTTTTTTTTATTAAGAAATGTTATTGAATGGACTTGGTACTAACTCAGTTATTCTAAACTAAACTCTTGCCTTACTTCGTGTTAGTTTGATATCAATCTGAATTTGATAAATATGTCATTATTTCATGGTTTATGTTGTTTTATTTGTAGGCAGCAAGAAAACATTTAGAATCTGATCATGGGGATCCTTTCACTTTGTTAAATGCTTTTGATGAGTGGATTCAGGTAATTACAGCTTTTTTCAGACAACACTGTCAATATTTCAATATATGTATATATGTTGTTATAGTTTGATATTATGAATATCTGGTATTATAGGTAAAAGCTGAAGGTAGAGGAACCAAAAATTGGTGTAAACACAGAGCTCTAGAAGAACAGAGGTTTTATGAAATGATTAAATTGAAAAGACAATTTCAAGATTTACTAAAGGTATAGTGAACAAATATTCAATTGAGATTTCACAAGTTAAGTCTTTAAATGTAGACACAGCCTTATGGACTTATGCAACTTTTCGAGGTGTTTCCAGCTGTCAGGCAAACTAATGGACATTTTGGTACTTATTATTAGGAAAATGTTATTTTATGGATGTGAACTGTGACATATTATTTATATTTTGTCCAATACAGGATCATAATTTATATGACAATGTAAGAGATGAAGATAGATTTTTAACTAGTGAAGAGAGAAGACAGAAACATGGTGAAAGAAAAAGATTAAGACAATTAAAGAAAGAAAATCATAGAGATTCTAGAAAGAAGAAATTCCTGAAATTAGAAGAAGATGTAAGAGTGAACTTTCTTTTGCTTTGTATTAGGGGTTGCAGAGGCTCAAATGACACATGGCTTCTAGATTTATCTACAATCAGTTCAGTTTTCTCATGTCAGTGATGTAGGTCATTGACTGGCATTGAAATCATTTACTGGTAAGCATTTGGATAGAATGTTTTCTGTGTCCTACTGGCTGCGGACATGAATTATCCCTTAACATTTGGAAATCAAAACAAGATTAGTTTGATACGGCTGATCTAACAAATTATCCTATTTGATCCTTGTTTGTTGACATTTTATTTGGAGTAAAAATTAAATAAGATTTATGATTGAGTTTCTAGTCAGTTGTATATTATATGTATTATAGGATTATACTATTAGTGATGGTGAAGATAATGATAAAGGAAATGATATTAAAGATTTAGAATTTAGATTATCCAATGATCTTAACAAACTACAGGTACTGTCAATTATAAGTGTCAGTTTGAGTGCTTGTAAATTTTCATATCATACCCTTAAGAAATTTTGCAGTGGCTCTTTCTGTTGATTATAGATGCTCCCTATCTTGGAGGTCTTTATATTTAGACCTTAAACTGTAGTTGAGTTGTTGGTACAGGCCCCTGTGTATTGCAGACATTGTACTTAACCAAATTTATTGAATTTTCAGGAAACAGCGAATAAAAGTCGACACTTTACTATACGTGATATGAATTTATTAAAGATTATATTATGTAGTGGTCTGTATCCTCAGTTAGCTATAGCAGACGACTGTAATAATTATAAAATGGATTCTGATCAACTCTACCATACAAAGGTTTGTAGTGTTTTAACTCCTACCAGCTAGTCCTAGTCCACACCTCCTGGCATTGATCTTTCCTGGATTATCACTAGCTCTAACAGACTGTGCTACAGTATACTATTTAAAATTTATCAACTTCGTTAATGGAGTCTGGTTGCAATTTATAAATTGCTTCAGTATGTGAAACATCATCTTCTGTAAATTTCAGACTAAAGGATTTATATTACTACATCCTACTAGTGTATTTATAAACCAACCAGAAGTTTTACAACCACCAAATATTAAAGATAAACCAAACTGCCCTGAAGATTTAAAAGGCAAATTAAGCAAAAAACATGAGTTACTGGCTTATACGTAAGTTAGAGAGTTATTTTATATAGATTGGTAATAAATTAACAAAAAATAATACCAGGTTAGATAATACAGCTTCTTAAATAAACCACATGATTTTTATCAGATAATAAACCATCATCAGAGCAACCGAACATTTATTTTGATAAGTGAATGAGCTAGTAAAAAAAACCTTTAACTATATAGCTTTTACTTTTGATAAACTGTTCATCATTTCAGATCATTATTAGAGACTAATAAACCATATTTAGTTAATAATATGAGAATACCAGCATTACAAACTATAACTTTATTTTCCAATTTTATAGATACTAATTCATCATGTTCAAGGTAATTATTCTTTTATATGTTATAGAGGTTATGTTTTTTTTTTAAAGCACTTTGATTTAAAAGAAACATTTTTTTTCACTTCATCAAAGAAATTTTCACCTCATATACCAAAATATTTGACAAGGATATCTTAACTAAAAGAAAGTTTGTTTGATTTTAGATTAGTATGTGATGGTTGGTTAGAAATTAGATTTTCTAATGAAGAATCAGCTCAATATATCTTATCTAGTGTGATACAACTTCGTACAACATGGCAGAATTTATTACAACTTAGACTAGAAGGTAGGTCAAGCTTACTTTAGTGGCAAAAATTGAGTTCTGACAAAGTAAAAGTAAATTTTGAGTTTTTTCTTAAGAAGAGTCAATGAGAAATGCAAGAAGGTAGGCCCTACATGAAATTTATTAGTATCTAGATGTACTTGATCAAAAGCCAAAAAGTACATTCTATGTATTTCCTTACATAGTAAAACTCTTAGTAAATAAAGTTGATACACAAGTTGGCCTGCCATGGTCCACAATTAAACTTTCAATCAATTTGTTTTTCAGATACATTTCAGAATGTAGAAAGTGAGAGGAAGATAAGTTCTAGAGCTAGAAGATTAGAGAAACTATTAGCTGAAAAATTAACAGAGTTTTTAGATAGTAGTGTAGAATATGCTATAAGACGAATTTTACCAGCTGAAGCAAAACATCTTTATATAGGTCCAACAGTTACTCAAGTTGGTATGTAGTCTAATCACAATCTCCTGGTAAACAGTGGTTTAAATTCATGCGCCTGTTAGGCTGTATGGTCATGGTTACCAAGGGCAAGGTCAAGGTCACATGTGGAGGTGGTAAAATCTTGATTGATTCTTCACTGTCTGTAGAATTGACACTGTGACAGCTTCTTATATCAACAGATTACTATGTGATGGTAACATTGTGAGTAAATACTACTGTTTGATAGGGTACTGTATTGACTATATAATATATTCTTGAATTTGATACTTTCTTTCAGATATTAGTGGTGAAAATACAAATGTCCATAAAACGCTATTAGGTAGTGGTAAAGAACATTCTATTAAAGGTGGAATACAAGTTTCAGATTTTCTGGTGGTTAATTGGTAGGAGTATGTTTTAATATTATTATGAGAATGATGTCATAATTTTAAAGTGGGCCATTTGCAAATTCAATTTGAACACACATACATGAAGCTTTGGGGGGAACAAATTGGCACAATATACAACCAAACAAATGATTTTCAAACAATGTAAAATATTTTAATGTAGATGGTCACAAAATTCATGCCCAGAATGATACTTTGACTTTTACTTTACTTTGACTAATAAAAAATCTTTATTTTTAGCCTAACTGAAGATTCAAGTTCTAGTAATGTTTGGAATGAGTTTACATCAACTATGCAGAGACATTGGACTTGTTCACAGTGTAAACAAAGTCTGATAGTTTCAGTTATGGAGAGATTACAGCATGAAGCAGAATGTTTAGAAAAACAAAATACTGGTTAGAAAAATTTATATTTTTTATCATCAAACTTATAGAGTTTTTTATAAAACGCTGGGGTTTGAACCAGAAATTGCTTTGACAGGGTTTCAAACTATCTGAGAAATTCCACATTCCACATAAGTGTGACTTAGTCTTAGATGTATATGTCACACTATTGTTGGTACATTGGGTTTCAAAGATGGCCATTTTGTATTTTTCAGTTGATCCTATAGAAGAAGAAAGATTGATTGAAGAGGAGAGAAAAACTCAAGAAAATCATTTAAGGAAATCTTATTATTGTACAGACTGTGATAAACAATATTCTTTAACATCAACAGAAATATTAAAACATAAAAAATCTCATAGACAATCTACGTAGATCTTAATACAGCAGACAATGCTCATCTGTTCATTAGAAAAAAAAGTAAATCACATGTGTTGCTTTACTAGTCGTATTGAAACTTTCCATCAAAAATGACTTCCACATACTTGTATCTAAATTAACATCTGCCAGTTATCACCACTGCAATCCCACTTTACAACCATTATTGAGTCAAATAAGTTTATGGAAGTTAAAAACACATTCAGGAACACAAGCTTTATCTTTCACTATTGATTTTGTTGTTGGTTTGTTTAGTTTAAGTTTTTATATACATTGTACTATATTTTAATCAGAAATGAATGTTACTAGTATTTTATTCCAATACAATGGAATACTGAAGATATATTTCACAGTGGGGAATTCATGTATGAGGTGAGAGATATACCTGGGTCCAATTCTTGACATAACATATGTATTGAATATATAGCTAGTGATAATCTAGCTAGGAATTGGGCATTAGAAGCATATGATATTTTACAAATTTTCTGAAGGTGTTTAATATTATATTATATAAATATATTAATCAAATAGTTCTCTGTTCAAAGAGGATGTGGTTGCATCAGTCAACAAGTAAATAGGAAGAAGATATCCAACACAAGAAATAAATACCAAATTTTATTGGAGCAATTTGTATCATTCTTTACAAAAATAAATTTTAATTGTTTACAAATTTAAAACTATATGGTTGATGATATTAAGTATTTTGTTAAAAAAATATATTTTATGATATTAATCTGTGTTCCATTGTTTATATTCCAAGTATGATTCATTTGTTTCTGTTAGTTTAAAATTGTCCAGCCACTGTAATAGAAAAAGAAGAAGAATTGAAGCAAATCAGTGAGCTGAGATCTGAGCTGATAAACAGGAAATCGTCTGCAACTGTATATTTGTGGGATCTTTTGAGATATTTTGGTGATATTTATCTTGTTTTATGAATTAATAGTTTTACTTACAAGGATCTTGAGGGAAAGGTTGTGATTGACTGGCTGTTTCACCTAATCCGAATCCTCCTAATCCAAATCCTCCTAATCCAAATCCACTTCCATACATACCCATAGCCATAGGATTATACATACCCATTGCCATTGGGTTGTACATTCCCATCATAGCCATTGGGTTGTACATTCCCATCATTGCCATTGGGTTGTACATACCCATCATAGCCATTGGGTTGTACATACCAGCTAGCCCCATCATACCAAGACCACCATATGGAAAAGCTAAACTAGTAGCAATGATACAAGCTAATACAACTAATTTCATCATCTGTAAAAATAAAAGTAAATATTTCTTTGACCCCTTAGAATTGAGTTGCTCCCTTACCATAATTCTGACAAAATTCACAGAAATTTATACCAGCTGATATAAACCTTTTATACTATTGCTCCTCTTATATGTAATTCCTATCCTCCCACCCACAAAAAATAGGCAAAATAAATAGCTTTATAATGGACATCAATACTCACATATAGTAAATACTTGACAAAACATTGAAAAATTAAATCGTCTTGCGTAAATCAAAATTCTACAATTTCTGAATTATTCTCCAATAATTATTAAAAAGTTTTAACTTACCTTGTAAGTGAGGAGAGAGTTAGATCTACTGAAGAACTAAACAAGGAGAAGATCAAGTGAAAATCTGAAGATGTTATAGAGAGTTTGGTCTTATATAGTCAGAACAGTGGCTTAATTAGTCTACACCTAATTAACATACCCAGACTAATTAACATAATATTATATTTTATTAGTCTTAATTCAGGAAATTAACATAATTTATGTAATCCTTATTAGCATAATAATTTTGAAAAATTGTCACGAATGAGGAAATTGATTTTAGAAATTTTAAAATAACTCTTTTTTTGTTGAATCCTTGGATTTTTATTTATTTTAGGGTTTTGGGTTTTTAGGGTCAGGGTTTTAGGTTTTTTCGAATATTCTCACAGAAGTATTAGGTATTATTCGTTTATTATCTTTGGAAATTTTATACTATTTTGAACCGCCATTTTTCCAGAAATATTGGAAAGGAACACCTTACAGAAGCATTTAGCATCCATTTTTCACTCATTTTCAAAGGATAAGCCCGTGTCACCATCACAGTGTCTCATGTCAATAGAGTCATTAAAAACTCATTAACAGCAATTAAGGATATGGGGACAAATTTTTTTGACAGACATAAATGAAAAGTCAAGGTAAATTATGTAAGTTTGCATTAGGTAAATTAATTACATTTCATTTCCTTTCCCAATCCAGATCTAGTCATTTGAATTTAGGTATAAAAAAGATGAAATTTTCAAACGTGACCATTCGATCTTTTACCTATTAATAACTGATATTCAGTCTTATCTGATTTGTTAGAAAAATCTTTCAAAATAACTTAAGAATTACTAATTTTGGCTGAGAGTTAATTATTTAATTATGATTATATTTGTCCATGTAACAAAAAACTAAAGATGTTTTTACAGATAAGTACTGGACACTAGTATTTATGGCCAATTTCTTAAAATACAAACAGAGAAAATAATAATTTATTGACAAACAAGTCTAATACATGATCAAATACACATTTATTCTCTAAACATACATAGAAAATTGAAATATCTATTTATTAAAACAAAATAGCTTTCAAATCAAGTGCTAAATTAAAATTCAAAAATTCAACCATTAGTTTTGGTGTGTATAGCAATTAGAAAACAATGACCCTGGTTATAAAGTAAAGACAATAATTTGTCATACAAATAGACAAAGTTGGTATGTGATTTAAATTTTCTATTAATGTGCAAAAGTACAAGTAGAAAATATTTTTTTTAGGTAAAAAACACATTATCTCAATATTTACAATTCTTGTATCAAATATGAACCGGTATATTCATTTACTCATATAAAGGTGTATTAAGTTGTGGCAGGTCTTGAGGCTTACTTTTCTGAACAATTTTATTTCCATCAAGAATGAATGTATTCTTCTTTACAAAATCCAGGTCCTGTTGCTGGTTCAGCTGGAAAACCACGTCTACAAAAGTAAGATACAATTTTCACTTTAGTTTTGAAATAAAAAGAGTTTTGTGTCCCAACTTTTCTCCACATGACGAGAGAACCTATGAAGTTTGTAATGAGTGAAAATTTACTTAACCTATTTCATCCTGTAATATTATTTCATTTTTCTACCATGTTTCAGTGTAGCAGGTAGGCTTCATATTAGGAACATAATAAATATTCATTAAGTCATGGGGGAGGGAAGATTCTTATTTCGAAACACCTGGTGTATTATTGTCATAAATATCTAACTAACAACATCAAATCCCTAGCCCAAGTCTCATTGAATATGATATATTACAATACATGACTTACCCAACCATACGACATCTATGTTCCTCTAATCTAGGTTGAGCTACAAATGGAATACTAACAGTCTGGTTACTCCATAGTCTTTCTCCTACAGCTGATGCACGTGGCCTGTCAAAATACAGAAGACATTTTCTTGTTATCGTTATCATAATTTGATTTAAAGAAAAGTTTGACCTGTATATATATTATACTACAGGTAGATATTATAAAGGCTCAGTTCAGTAGCATATTGAGAATGAAGGGGTGGGCATCTGAGCCCCCCAGGCATCCCTTTGAGGATTTTAAAGGGCATTAGTCATGGCAAAGAGTGCGGGAAAATTTTCTAATGTAGGATAATAAAAATTTTTTATCCCAAAAATTATCGCCTAAATATGCCACTGTACCAGTTATATTATCCTGATCTGGCAGGGAGCTGTATTGATTAATAAAAGCAATACTTACCATAATCTAGACATAAGATTAGTATCATCAACGAATTCTCCCCATAAACATGCTTCACCTCCCTGTATTAATTTCTTCTGACTAGCATTTCCTATAAGACAGTTAATCACAGTTATAAATAAATATCGTATGCCATTTTTATTCTACGCATTTGGAATATTTTTGTGCCATGCATTGAAGGGATGCAGTTTGCTTATTAATAATTAATGTAATTAATTAATAATCAATTGGCTATGACCACAGAAGTGAAAGTCAAAGAAATGACAGGCCAAGAAAATGGATGAGATAGATTAGATTTGTATGAAACTAAGCACAAATATTACCACCCCTATAAATCTATTTCGAAGCTTAATAGCCTACCTGGAAAATTAAATGGATCACAAACATAAAACGACTGCCAATCTCCTAATTTTATCATATCTAAATACCAACAAGAAGCTAATAATGTTTTATATCCCATTTTAGTTACTTTATCCATTTCCTTTTCCCATCCTGACTTCCATACTTCAACAACAGTATCAGGACGCACCTGTGTATGAATCAAACAATCTTAATAATCTTAAATCAAATTGTCCATGAATCGAACAATCTCATTATCTTAAACCAAATAGGGTGGAATCTCCTTTGAGTTCAGCAAAAATTGGACCACAATTCTGTGAATCAGTTTCCAACCTTACACAGCTGACCAAAGAGATAGCAAAAGATCAAGTTAAACTTTTGTTATAGAGAAAAAAAATATATGTTACTAAATTGGTAACATACCTTAGCTCCATTATCAATAACTTCCTGCCATATCTGATATCCTTTACCTAATCTTCCAACTATATCTAATAATCTGTAATATAGTGTTAAACAATGATCTATTCAGTTACGGAGGCAAATTGTTAAATGGGATTTGTTGTTCATTTGTTGTGTTTCTGCACCTTGCATTGTAAAAATCTTTCGTTGCATACACCTTTTATAAGTGAGTGAATCAGACTGAAAGCTCTGGAAGAACAACACTTTTGTGTCCAGATTATAATGACTTACTTCTGCATATAGTACTCTTCTACTTGACCATAGAAAAAAAATCCCATTTTCTTTATAAATTCCTTTACAGCTGGATTACTAGCCCTATAATAAATGTAAGGGAGATTCTCAATAACAAGTGGTAAGAAGTATGACATATTAATGCTTTACTAAGCAGGAATCTTAGGATATCCTATTTAGTTAAATATCATGTTTGATTAGGAAGCATATACTTTTTGGTCAAAAGGATTTTGTCAGATCACGGTTAGAGGGTGTAGTGATCTGCAGAAAAACAACAAAAATCGGCAATTTGTACATACCAACAATTAAAACTAACTTCATCTCCACCAAGATGTATATATTGATCAGGAAAGACATTAGCTATTTCACTGAAAAATTTCTGTAGGAATGTATAGGTAGCATTATTTACTGGGTCTATTGGACCAAACTGACCATTAGGTTGACCTTTAGTATAACATTTAGTTAATAAATCAGTTTGTGCCTTACCCCATGATTGGGTATGACCTGAAATATTGAATAAAATTGTTATCAACTAAGATAAGAAGCCTATTTTAGTTAAAATTTGATAAAAGCTGAAAACCATAAAAATCTTTACATGGACATCATTATGCTTAGTTACTTCCAACATGACATCAAAAATTGGTGGTTGTTGGTTCTAATCTTTATGGTGTGTGAAAGTCAGATGACCTTGAAGTAAAAAGGTTAGGATAATCATAGAAAGATCAATGCCAAGAGGTTTTGCCAAGGAACAACTGTGAATGTAAGTTGTTATCCAGCTATTTCTTTCTCTATTTCTATATAGAATGTGACTACTGTTACTACCAATTGATATATTTACCTGGTGTGTCAAATTCAGGAACAACTCTAATACCACGTAATCTGGCATATTCTATAATTTCTTGTATATCAGATTGAGTATAAACATGAGTTTCAGGATCATAGGCACCCTGGAAAAATTAATGTCTAACATTATATATATTTGTATAATCTGCCATACAATAGTATATTACTTTTAATATAAAATTAATGTTTGTAGAGTGATATAGAAAGATTGGAATATTCCTAATTCGTTCTAATACAAATAATCATTTGACAAAAACATCATAATTCTCAATATCATTCATGCTTGAAAAGAGTAATGAAATTTAATGTCAAATAGATTTGAGTCCATGTCCTTACATTGTACATCAGCCCCAGTTTTCAAACAAGCTGTCCTGATGAGGATTATATATCTAAAGCATGTGTCAACACTCATACATACCTTTTGAGAGAGTTCAGGAAACATTATGCTTTCATAAGGAAAGGAAGGATCATCAACTATGTGCCAGTGAAACACATTAAATTTATTCTGAGCCATGGCATCCTGAAATCAAACAGTATAGACTAATTAGTATGACATCAGCTAAACTAATTAATTGAAGATTTTTTATGCCACAAAATATATACTGGTAGGCTATCTTTCTTTCATCACAGAAGTTTGTAAATGTAGTAATTTAATTGGATTGTACTTGAGAAAATACAGATAATCATAACTTTCTATTTCATACCTTGTCAATTAGTTTACAGTATTTCTGTTGAGGGCTTGGATTGGCTGTATTCACTAGCATAAAGTACAATCTAATAGCTTGATATTGTGAAGATGGAAATATATAAGTTATGATGATGTCTACTAAATACATGTTTTTATAAAAATAATAATATGCAACATACCAGATTTTGTAGTAAGATATTTTTGGATACAAAATGTCTAGAAGTATCTAATAATAGACCACGATGTGGAAATCGGGGATGATCAGAAATTGTTGTAGTATTGACAACATACTGAAATTATAAAATAATTGTTATCAAACTAAATTAATACTAAACAAAGTGTTATTTTCATGCAAAATATAATATTTTATATATGACCATATGGACTCTTAATATGATAAGTTCTGGAATTACAGGAACCATACTAGTAAAAGTAGTGCAGGAAATCTGATCTGTATAAATAACAATCAGTAAGAAACACTGTCTGTTTAAAGAGAATACTATCAAAGCTAATCTATCTTAATTATAAAAAATATTTCAAGATGCTTACTTGACCCAATTTATCATGATATATAATTTGACTGAATGTTTCTAAACCTCTTAATGCTCCCCATACAGTTTTAGAATTTAATACAGCTGAATCTTTAGAGATCTTTATATTATCTGAAAAAATATCATCTTTAATATGATCAAAATCATCAAAATGTATTATAAAATATTTCCATTATCAGAATTTAAACAAGTCAATAGTTGAGCAAATACCTATATCCCTCCAAGGATGAATCTAATTTTGAAGTTGATCTGAAACTAATCAAGCTAGAGACCAATAGTGTAGGTGGGCCTACCTATTCTATCTTAAATTACCTCAAAACAGAATTATTTTGTAATTACACTGCTACAAAAGATAATAGGCCTGCTGAAAGCCTACAGGCTCAATAATAGTTCTATGATTCAACAATGAGCTAAGCTTTACTTAACATACTTACATGATTCATCTGTATCTAGTTTAAAATATTCATTATCCTTACAAGGTGTGTTGACAAGGACTTCTAGTTGTGTTATACCACTCTCAAATTTCAATATTTTATAAGATGAAGACCGTCTAAAGTTCTCATTATGATTAAATATCAATTTATAATAACGAATAAATGCTTCGTCTAAAATCATACACTGATATTTGCCATGGACGAATTTAAAGTTACCAACATTTATGACATTTACATCTGGTTTCACATTATAACTTTGTGGCATTGGCCATGGAGCTCCTGTGGTAGGAGAAGTCAATTTCAATTTTGATGTATTACTATTTGTTTGACTGTAAAGTGGTGAATTTCCTTGGCTAGTCTCATAATGACAACATGTTTGAGAAATGCACAGAAATATTATAACAAAAACAAACGACAAATATTGCCTGGAACTGGCCATGATTGCCTGTAGTTTCAAAGAAATCATCAGCTGGTCGACAATGTCAACAACAACGCAAGTCACATGATTTCTACTTGGTAGTTCGAAATATCTGAATCTATTCTTGCCTTTCTGGTAATCGGTTAAGTCTTGACGACTTTGTGTCGGGTAGGAATCAAATATGATGGAGACGTAGAGGGATGGGAATATGGAAAACTCCTGCAACTATGAAGATGAAACAAAATATTTTCTAATATTTTTTTTTACAACTTTCAACTGGGAATGAAAACATTTCCGACTAACAATTTCACTCGTGATATATCACATGATCAAATCACGTGATACTAATATTCCAAAATGGTCGCCAAGGTTTGTACGATTATTTTGGCTCTCTTAATAAATGTTCACAGCAGCTTTCAAAACGGAAGTGCAGTGAATAAACTCAGGGTAAATGCAGCTATAGCTACACCATGGCCAATGCCACAAAGTTATTCATCGCAATCAATGACCAACAACGTTGATGCAGCCACATTTAAATTCAGTGTTGTAAATGAAGCGATCTTTTCTTGCACAGTGTTGCAAGAAGCCTTCAAAAGATACGAACCTCTGATATTTGGAAGACGTCCAGAAACGCTGTATTTTCATTCTCAAGCTCGTAGAAATGTTGGAGTATCTGGTGATATTGATGAATTGGTAGTACAACTTGGTAAACCTTGTAATGATGTGGATGCACCATCTTTACAATCCGATGAATCATGTAAGTTTATTTCAATCTATGGAGATAGAACGTTAAATTCCTAGTTTTAGGTATCTTTTATCCTTAGAACTGCCTTTTTATACATTTGATGCATATGCAGACGGTGAAGTCGTAAATTATAAATATCGGAATTTGAAATTTAAATATTGATTTTGTATATAAATTATAAATGTATATAAATTATAAATTATTCTCAGTGATCATTGCAGTGGCCATATTTACCATATATATGATTATCTTCAATATGTAGATCAAATTTTGAAGATATTATGTTATTTCTTATTGCAGATAAGATAAGTGATAATGTTATTTCTTACTGTAGATAAGTTAACTGATATTGTTATTTCTTATTGCAGATAAGTTAACCGTTCAAAATGGACAGGCAATGTTATCAGCTAACGAGTTATGGGGTGTTATCAGAGGTTTAGAAACATTCAGTCAGATTGTTTATCAAAGCCCTACTGGAGGGGTAAGCTACCAAAATGATATAAATTACAAAATTAAAACAATAATATAATGATAGCATTATCTTTTGCATCATCTACTAGTGTGATGCACTGTATTGTTTGAAAATAAATTTAAGTGTAATGGCTCAGATTCTTATAATCAGCGTCATAAAAGAGAACATAAGACATAATAAAGACAATAAAATCTAAATAATGATGTATATTTACTCAATACTTTAAAACTTTCTGCACAAGTTAAAAAAAAAAAAGAAGTATGAACTGTATTGATTGTTATACAATGTGCACTTCTTCTGCCCTTCTTACCGTTTATGTAATTTTGCAAGGGGACTGCTTTGCTTAAACATTAAGAATTTCTTTCATCAATAACATGTCTTCTGTCAGATTACTAATTTATTGATTGTAGATGGTGGTAAATAATACAGTTATTAGTGACTTCCCCAGGTTCAATCATCGTGGTGTTATGTTGGATACATCTAGACATTATGTATCAAAGAAAACTATCCTCAAAAATTTGGTTTGTTGATTTTTTTATTCATTGTTATTTATCTAAAGGAATAAAATGTTTTTCTGTGGCTTGAGAAATAATCAATGAAATGGAGAAAATACCTCAAAATGTTTCCATGATGATACAATTATTCATCAATAAGTATATGTACAAACTTTGTTATCGATATAACTCACCTCACCAGCAAGCTCATCAATTAAATTTATTAAACTCGATTGATAAATTAATCAGTTGGTGACTCCCAGTTACTATGAAACCATAAAAAATGTCGAGTAACTTAACATCATGTTTTTAAATTCATATGTTTGAGATGTATGCTTATGTTTTTAGGATGCCATGACACAGAATAAATATAATGTATTTCATTGGCATATTGTTGATGATCCTTCCTTCCCTTACCAAAGCGCTAATTTCCCTGAATTATCTCAAAAGGTATGATATTATTTCTGATTTCAGGATGCAATGGCTCAGGCTAAATTCAATGTGTTTCATTGGCACATAGTTGATGATCAGTCTTTCCCATATCAAAGTTCTGAGTTTCCACAAATGAGTGAAATGGTAACAGTTTCAAAGTCATCCAAATTTACTTTTTGACACCTTTTCTGCTATACCTAAACAGCTTATTGACACTCCAATATGATACCAATATGTTAAAAACATGGTGTTATACTTATGTCTTGAAATGAAAAGTATTTTTTTAGGTTGCTGCTTATCCGAGAAAACTCTGCACATTGCCATTGCTTTGTAATATTCAAAACAGATGCACATATTATCCCTAATAATTACCCTTAAACATCAAAGAAAGCCACTGAATCTATGTTCAACAACATTTTGTACTCCCTGCTATTATGATGTATAGAGGAATTGAATATCATATTGACACAAGCATTTCGCTATGTAATTTAGTTTGAACATCCATAATCCAAAACTTAGTTGCTCACAATTGTCAATTTCTTGTGTCCTACTGAATATTTCTTTCCAAATTAACTTCAAAATGCACAAAGCAGTAGGCCTAATATTATTTTACAATTTTGATTTGAGAGCTTACCAATACATTTTGATAGGATTTTATTTATGAATTGTTTTAGGGTGCCTACGATCCTGAAACTCATGTTTATACTCAATCAGATATACAAGAAATTATAGAATATGCCAGATTACGTGGTATTAGAGTTGTTCCTGAATTTGACTCACCTGGTAAGCTAATGCAGTTCCAAGTTCCAATCTCTACAATATTGAATTTTAACAATATCGTCTTATTTATAGGGTTTTTTCCTACATGGAATCATGGATGGTCTTAATTTGTTCTTAAATTTGTCTTTATACATGGATGGTTTGTCTACACGTGGATGATCTTTTGTTTGCTTACACATGAATGTTCTTTTGTTTGCTTACACATGAATGGTCTTTTGTTTGCTTACACATTAATGGTCTTTTGTTTGCTTACATTTGGAAGATCTTTTGTTTGCTTACAAATGGATGTTCATTTGTTTGCTTACACATGGATGATCTTTTGTTTGCTTACACAAGAATGGTCTTTTGTTTGCTTACACACGGCTATTTTTTTTCTTGAATAAGATCATTAGATTGAAATTGGTTTTTTACAGGTCATACCCAATCATGGGGTAAAGGTCGGCCTGATTTGTTAACTAAATGTTATAGTGGTAGTTCACCTAATGGTCAGTTTGGTCCAGTTGATCCCAGTAATAACGCTACTTTCACTTTCTTAAAACAATTCTTTATGGAAGTCGGTAATGCTTTTCCTGATAAGTACATACATTTAGGTGGTGATGAAGTTTCATTTGCTTGCTGGTTTGTATTGTATATTTTTCTACACCCTGTATTGTTTATATCAACTATAAATAAAATATGTTTGATATAGCCTGCTTTATTATATAAACATTAATGTATTATAAATCCTCTACAATTGGTGTATTGCACAAATATATCATTATAGGTAATAGAAAAATATAACTTAAACCAATTTCAGGCAAAGCAATCCTGATGTTCAAGCCTTTGTGAAGAGAATGGGATATTCTGATTATTCACAAGTTGAACAATATTACATGCAACAGTAGGTATTTAAATTTAGGCTAAAATTAATGTTGTTACCTCTTACATAAATGGTAGGCTTCTGTAAATTTGTATGTGTTGATTCCAAGATGTGTATTGTAAACTTGGTTCTTCCTAGTGGTAAAAATTACAGCATAGTTTCTCTAAAAACCTTCATCTAAACTCTATTATTATGTTTAATTTGAAAAACAGACATTCCTCATTTCTACAAGTTTGATCAAGATGTTGCAAGTACATTTGAATTTTGATAGATATAATAATTATATTTAATATATCTTATTCAATATTGTATTACAGATTATTAGATATAGTTGGAGGATTAGGTAAAGGATATCAGATATGGCAGGAAGTTATTGATAATGGAGCTAAGGTAGGAGTCTTTTCTTCATGTTAACTGTTGCTGTGTTTTTGGAATTTTTTATGTGTATTAGGGACACTGATATCATCAATTTGCACCATTCCAATTTTCCACTAAAACTAGGCGTTTTATGACAATAGCAGCTTTCGCTATTGTGACGTCATAAAACGCTTAATTTTAGTGGAATTGCATGAATCACAGACGTCTGATTGAAAATTGGAATGGTGCAAATTGATGATATTGGAACACATAAAGAGCTTATGTTGAGCTAACTTGTTTTTAAATTTATGGCTGTGACACCTTTGGATTGCTGTACCTAAGACATGAAGATTTTCAGGTATGAAACTGCTATTACATCATATGTTAAGTGTCTTGTTCACCAAGATTTTGTTTTGTATTTAGGTACAAGCTGATACAGTAGTAGAGGTATGGAAAGCTGGGTGGGAAGATGAAATGAATAAAGTAACTAAACTAGGATACAAGACATTACTAGCTACTTGTTGGTATTTAAATTATATTAGTTATGGTTCAGATTGGACTAAATATTATGGTTGTGAACCCTATAATTTCCCAGGTAATGATTTCATTTATGCTCAGTTCACTCTTAAGAATATTGCTACATGAAAAAATTGGTTATTCATTTCAAAAAATAATGTTTCTCTTGTGAATTGCAGTTTATGAAATATAGACCGTTCACATCCTTTCATTAATAAAGGAATTCCTTGATCTGTAGTTAGTAAAATGGAATACTGATGAAAGTAGCTCAAAGGGGTCTTTTGTGACTCATCAATTCTGTTCTCAAGGTTTTGATTTTATTTTGATCACAAGAAGCAATATTTCTTTCATCATCTTAGTCTTATAATTAGTCTTCAAAGGGTATTGTTTGCCAAATCGGTTTATTTCCATTATTTTCTATTTCCTGTAACATAAGACCAAAATGTTTTTAAATACTAGGTACTGAAGATCAGAAGAAATTAATACAGGGAGGTGAAACATGTATGTGGGGAGAATATGTTGATGATACTAATCTTATGTCTAGATTATGGTGAGTTCTAACCTTAAGAATGTGTTCATATTATTTGCTCTAACACACATTTATTGAATTTTATAAACAATCATAACAAAAAGTGAGATTATACACAATAAAAATGCTCTTAGTTGAGGTAATGAACCATATGTGTGTATTGTTTTCAAAAGCTAATGCACTTTTCCCAACAGGCCACGAGCATCTGCTGTAGCTGAAAGATTATGGAGTGCTCAGTCTGTATCTAATGTTCAGGAGGCAACACCAAGATTTATTGAACATCGATGTCGTATGGTTGGGTAAGACACAGAATTTTATTAAACAAAGTATTTTCCAGTAATATAAGTTTCTACTTCTGCTCTTGTACCATTGATGAACTGTGTTGACCACCCTGTCACAGACAGCATCAGTTGATCTGAGCGAATATGTACTGCCATACTTGTTAAACCTGAGCATGAACAAAACATTTTTGTTCGTTTAATAGGCCTTATATTAACCTGTATCATAAAATTAATTTGGTTATTTGTTTTTATAGACGTGGATTTCCAGCAGAACCAATCAATGGCCCTGGATTTTGTAGAGAAGAATACATCGTAGATTAATTAGGACACTTAAAAGATATCAATCCCGTTGTTTATAGTTGACAATGAATTTATTTTTGATATTTTTTGTAATATTTTTTTGTACCGGTACTAAAATTTCACACATTCCTAATTTTCGTTCATTAGCTTCTAATAGAAATCCAGTTTTGCACTAATATGTATTTTTGTTATGTTTGATACCTTGGTCGTTGAAGAGGACTGATACATCCATGGTTTTTATTCAAATGTCACCCTTTTGTCATGCATTCTGACAAACAAAAACAAGGATAGGAAAATGCCATGACTGAAAATTACTTGAAGTGGATCTTGGAGAAATCACAGTCTTGAAGTTGAAGAAAAGCATCACGTTTGTTCTGCTCAACAACTGTCAGTTCTTATTGTTTTGGATAACTGGGATCTTGTCAGAAGAAAATAAAACAGCTTAAAAGTATAATATAAATAAATAAATAATAAACAACAATATAATAAATATTAAACAATGAAATATAATTTATAAAAGTATGACATAATTCAGTCTTAGTTATGAAAATTTATTGCACATTAACCACTTTATATAATACCATCTTGATTCGCTAACATTTCAGCAATTTTACGATTTCTCTTCACTTTCTGCATTTCTGAATTCTGAAAACAGACATAACATTATTACATTTGCTTTGTAAAAGTATTAATATCAACTCATACACTTGAAAATCAAACTAATATAAACCGTGCCTGTTTACTGATGTACATTATGGATTTATAGAGTTAATCGTCAGTTCAACAAAACAAGTTGGAACAGGGTTCAAAATGAGTTCTACGTGTGCCAAGCACGACCAATATTTGAAAATAGATGTACCTTCCAAACAATGACTAATCCATCAGCTCCACAGGATACAATACCTTCTCTATCATAATCACAAAATGTCTGAAAGAAATTTTACTTTTATTGATCAATTTGAACTATTAACATATTAGAAGCAAGTGTTTTATGCTGTGCTTTCTTCACCCAACTGAAGTTTGACAATTAGTACTTGTTCTAGCTATGATCGTTTATTTAAAGATGTGTTATGAAAAACACCAACAGGAGTTAAAATTGGCAACATATTTTTGAAGTGAAAACATCAGAACCTTTTCTGATTATTACTAAATAATGCCAAATCAAATGTAACTCCAACATGCTGTTAATGTAATCAAACGACCAGTATAAGACATTTGTTTACCTGAACTGCTCCTGAGTGAGCTGAACATTCACCTAATAATACTGGATTAAACAAATTATCTCCCCCTAATCTCTTTACTACTTCTGGACTGAAATACAACAAACACATTTGATATCAACTTAAGGTAGAATATAGACGTTCACTTGTCATCTACCAATCAACCAAATAAACCTATTCTCACAATGAATCAGCATTTTCATCAGCATGTCTCTTTTTCATGTCAATGAAGTTTTCAAGGAAAATCAAATAATCTGTTAAATGTTTAAATTGGCCCTTTTTTATGATATTCGAAGGTCAGGATATGATGCTATCTGTTTTAAAGTATGGAATAGGTACCTTAAACCAGTAAATGTATTAATGCGAGACAGGGATAGATGCTCTTTTTCTTGATCTTCAGATGGAGTACATCCCCATAATCTAATAGAACCATCTTCAGAACTAGTAATTAAATATGAACTGTAAAGGAAATTATAAAAATTTCAGTATTGCTTAACAAACATTCTTAACTTTTGTTGCAGAATTCTTCTTGAAGAAGCCCAATAAAAATGGTGACAGCATATTTCAAAGATCCTTATGTTCTTCATGCTTTAGAGAACTTGAGGCATTGTACATTGAAAGAATTGAAATTTCAGAGATACTATGAAGCAGTTGTTGCAATACCCCACTGAATTTTGATTCTCAGAGCAGACAACAAATAATTTGTTTTTTTAAGGCAATATAATAAGACCAGAAGCATACATCTGTTAACTTTTTGACTTTAATTTCGATTTTATTTTGTCCATGACACCCAATTTAATATGATAAATGTTCTTACCCATCCTTTGTCATGCCGATATTGAGTATTTTAGAAAAATGAGCTGAAAGTTTTCTACAAATTAAACCATCTTTACTTGCTGATAAATCAAATATACAGAAACCAGAACCAATAGCAGCAAACAAATATTGCTGAAATATAATGCAATCTTTATGAATACTCCTATATTGGTTGTTAAGTGAGTTGAAATTTCTCAGAATCTAGGTATATATCATGCATAGTATGGGTATTCAATCATCATTATTAGCAAACAAAGCCCACAAAAAAAGTCCAAAAATATTTCCAGAATCACTTGAGGATAATAAGGTGTGCACTATATTCAAGTATACAGTACCTCCTGTATACAAAACATACACTGTATACTATGTGGATATAGTTTATCTAAACCTTGGTAGTTGGTTACTGTGTTAAAATATTTAGCGGGTAATAAATTATGAGCTGTCCACAATACTATCATTCCATCTATTGAACCACTAGCAAAACATGATTCTACAAAGATAGAACCATATAATCAAATACGCCTTAAACTCTTAAAAAGATAGGTCTATCATCTATTTACATCAGAATCCCAGCACTGTCTTGCAATAAATGATTCCATGAAATTTAGAACCTCAATGACACTATGCCTTTAATGTTCATTATTCACCAATCTACCACGAATAAACTATTATTGTTATGCAATAAATCTGTCCCAGATGTGCAAAAATCTATAAATAGTATGTAAGCTTAATACAAAGAGACTTACTAGATACAGAAATAAGACTATGTATAACTTCTCTATGGGGTGGTAATGTTTTTATCAATTCCAATTCTACATCTATTTTTTCATTTTCTTCTTCTATTACAGCTTTTATACCATACACCACTAGATAATAAGATCATATGCTCACTAGCTAAACAAGTTAACTAGGTCCCACTATTACTTTTACTATCAAAATCGACATAGCCTTAACGTTACTTTCAATAACATTTCTTTTATTTATGTTAGCAACATTAAGGACAAGATACAATGTGTAGTCATCGTCATGGTTGTAAAATATGTTTAAGAATAAAAACCTACCTAGTTTTTTATCAGCAACTGTAACAATTCTATCATTATTTACACTTATCATTATACATATATCTGAAAAATTGTATATTAGCCACTCATTTAGTCTGTTAGTGCCCTTTCCATGCCTATTTACTTCTTTATCTATATCAGCATTGTAGTACCCTTGAACCCTTCTCATGAATGACTTCACTCACAGCAAAAACATCACATGCCAATACTGTCTAAAGCATAACACAAGCTGTCTGAAAACTTCCTTAAATGATTCCCAATTTATCTAGGCCAATTACATGTCATAAGGTAAGATTGTTTACCTTCTTCTGATTCTGGTCTTTTATATGTCTGTAACAACTGACCATCAATATTCCAAATAGAGATATGTTCACCACCAGATACAAATAACTCACTTTCAATCAATGAGACTAGAGACTGAAATGGATAGCAACAATATAAATAATCTGATTACATCTAGAATTCAGAAAATTTCCCAATAGAAGTGATACTATATAGATTACTCATTTATAATTAACTTATATAATTATCTTAAGTCTTGACTTGCACCTTACTTTGATATAAATCTTTATTTGTGACCTAGGCCAGACCTAAAATCTTTTTGTTGAGAAACATTCTCTGCTCTTACCTTAACACAGCAATTATGATCTTTTAAAACATTTTGACATTCTCCTGAATTTATATCCCAAATCTGAAACATTTATCAATTATAACAATAAAACAGATAATAGAACGCATATGTTCACTTCAGCACTTCTATGACAAGAGAACATGTTATTTCATTTTATGCAAACCACAAGTTTTCATTTTGATAAGGAATACAATTATATCATTAACAATTACCCGGATAGTTTTATCTGATGATGATGATATAATAACATCACTATGTAATATCAAGCTTGTTACTGGTAACTCATGACCTAGTAATACATGTAAACAACTACCATCCTACAAATATCAAATCAAAATCATTCATTTATGAAATACCTATAGAGTCATTGGCATTTCATATCAATACCTTGAGGATAAAGGAATGTAGAAAAGTAAACAGACAGAATTACAGACTACAAATGGGCCAATATATCATTTCTCAGTAGAGAACTTTATGGTGTTTGATGAAAAGAAAAATTATTATTTTTTGTGAAAGAAAATTTAAAAGAAGCATTAAATTTTTCTTGTGGGTTAGGATTTTGAGTCTCTCTAGCCATTTACTCCAGACAATTAATCTTTTTCACCTGTATATCCCATATAGCAATTTTACCATCATCTCCAGCAGTGGCACATCTAAAAATTAAATAAATACATGGGTTCTTTACCGTATATGATCGTTAATACATTCTTAAATATAATTAATTCAGCTGGGATGTTTACTATATATCGTTTCAAGGACAAATGAGTCAGACAACATATTCTCATTTTGCAGAAAAATATTGGGTTCTTATTATAATGGAAAAGTCTCCATAATCTAACAGGAACACTATTTGGTAAAATTTGATAAAGGCCAGTTCTATCAAGGGTAAGATGTAGACTGGCTCATGACCCTTGATAAGATATCTTGAGTGATCTTTAATTATTATCATTATTTTGAACTACATACCTATAATCATCTATAACCAATATCAGACGTATGATATCTTTGTGACATTGTAATAATAATATTTCAGTATATGGATTGTATGGTTGTCCTTCATTCAACTGTTCAACTTCTGGAATGGTCTGGGGAAAAAAGCAAATAGTAGTCAATAGTTACACTTGGTTTAATAAAATACTGTAATTCTAGGCCTATAATATGTTGCATTGTAGCACTCTGTATCTGAATATTGTTCAATTTCATTTAAATGTCATACATAGGCATATTCATACATTTTTTAAATATCTGCCAGAATGGTCACACATAGACCTACACAGAGAGGTCTACCTCCTACTCTACTCATAACTGTAGACGATAGCCGATCTTCTTAAAACATACGTAGCTTACTTACAATCTTTTCGTGCTTTGATTTTTCTTTGTTTGGTGTTCCAAGAAGCCTCTGCAGAACTGACATCGTTCAAACTAAATTCTGCTTCGAAATACAAGAATGTTTGCGATGTTTTGATTCTAGTCAAAATTTTATTATATTTATCGGGGATACCGGAAGGTGTTTTCCGAGCAAATGACGTCACACTTGAAAGGGTGTTGTTCGTTTTGTTGCAAGTGGTCAACCTTCGTTATAGCCAAGTAAGTTGTCAGACTCCTGCAATTCTTGCTTCGATGTTCGGATCCAAAAAAATGGGAATTTCTCAGCCCTCAACGAACGTTTCGAATAATTTCTTTCTGTATTGTGAGAGCGAGTATTGTAAGTGTAAGTATTGTAAGTATGGGGACTTACTTTAGTATATCAGTGGTTGTCCAAACGCTATGATTGAATAAAACCTTTATCGCGTCTAGAGGCAATATATTTTTTCAAGGGCAATAACTCTTAATATGTTTAATGAAAAACAATGCAAGTCTGAACTCATCCGAGATATTTACATGAGCATAGCAAGTAAAACACCTAGTTAGTAGGTAATGGCTTTGTGGAAATTATCTTCAACATACTGTCTCACACTAATCTGGCCAAGGGCAGAAGAAGGTTTATTACAGTATCATTGTTGACACAGGGGCAGTAACCTATGAATAAAAGACCATAATGTTTAGAAAAGTATAATTATTATTATCACAGTAAGCCATGCCTATGAGCATTTTATGCAAGCAACAACATACACAATATTTACATTCAACCATTGCCTATGCGTAAACTATGTTTACTTTTACATTTGATCTATATTATACATAACTCAAGTATCTGATACCAGTAACAATTGCAGATTTAGCCATTTGTTTCATAAGTCAATTAGTTGGCTATGTTTTTCAATGGATTTTCCACTTTCTTATCAATCAAAACTTCTTCAAAATAACAACATGTATTCATTTGGACCTGACGTTTCCAGGCACCATAGACTACTTTTTTCTCTGGAAATGGAACTGAAACCATTACTGCATGGGGCTGGTCTTTTCTTGAAAGCCATTCAGTGAAATTTCCAAAAGTTTCAAGTATTCACAAAACGTTATGGCTTCCATAATTACACAAGAGACTGGACGACAAAACCATTCCTTGATTCCATCTTTCGTTTTATGTGAATACTATACTTCCGTTTATAGCTACATTTGAAGTTTCTATTATATGACCAACATTATGTCTTCAATGTTTTGGGGATTTAAAATCATTGGATCATTTCCATGATCAAGTTTCAACATTTTTAAATATAAGAATACTGTTAAATATTTTTAATGCTGGTCCAAGTTTAATGTTTAATATTTTCACAATGTCTGATTGATTTAACAATAAAAATGCTTCGCCATCAATTTGCTAAAAAGAAAAAGAAATTTAAGATATTTAAACAAACTAAAGGTAACAGAACTACTATAACATTTATGTGTAAATTTAATTTTCTGAACTCTTCAAAAGGTGAACTATGAAGGTAAAAATCTTCATAATATTTGAGCAGGATGAAAACTGAATAATTTTTATGTTAGGGTATAATGAATAAACTTAACTTTTGCTAAATTTTTCATCCTTTATCTGAGAAAAATTAACCCCTACCTCATCCACAAATTTGTTGCCATGACTTTCACATCCAGGTAAGGTATGTATAAAATTAGCCACTTCATTGATAGTCCATTTACTGACATCTTGTGTCTGTAATTTGTCAACTCCTGGTAAAAGTTTACTATGTTGTTCCCAACATAATGGTAAATCATTTGTTGGATTGGGTATAGATGATGTTTGAAACACTGATTGATGTATTCCTGTATACAAATCGCCTGCAGATGAAGCTGTTGCACTCTGCTCCGACGCTGAAAAAAATTGATTAAGAAATGGTTAAAAACAGCTCATGCATGCAAGTCTTAATCTTACCAATGGAATTTTCAATTTCAAAATGGCAACTTATATATATATCAGAAATGTATTTGAATCTGAAATTCAACAAATGAGCCTTAAAAAATGAAGTCAGTCCAGAATATAAAAATGGCATCCTTACATTTCTCATCTCTAAATTTCTTAAATCTTCTATCATCAATATTAAGTGGCTTCAATCTGGAATAAAAAGAAGGGTGTGTTATAATCTCATCTATTGTACTTTTTTTAATGATAGGAATTCTCGTTTGATATATATTTTTCAAGAGGAAGTCATCCTTGCCCTGGTAAGAATTCACACAATTAGACTTCAGAGTAAAATAATATGATAATTTCTGCACTTCCCCAACAAGATCTGTGTATGAGGCATGAATAAAAATGTTAATACATATTTGTCTTTTTTTAAATTTTCTCATTTAATCATTAAGACCTTTAGTGAAATTTAGCCAAATACCTAATCAATGCACACAATTCATATTCACATCAACTATTTGAACAAACCTCTTTCGTCCTCGTTTGGCACCGGTGTATGGTTTTTTATCAGGAGGTGGGTTGATTCTCTCTAAATTTTTCTCACTATAAGGACAACCAGACAGACGGTGATGGGAGGTAAATTTACCAGTCACATGACCAGAACCATCACAATCTGGTGTTGGACATTTCCTGTAAAAGATGAAATATGATGAGGTTAGGACATCTGATTGAAAACCAACATAAGTCAGCTTGTGCGTCTGGTGTTCTCTTTTGAAGAAAGTCGGTTTCCTTCGTCTATTTCAATTTTACATAAGCTATTTTCACAAAATCTCTCACTTGCATTGACTTTTTATACTCAAATGTGAATGTATGAAATTTAAACTATTAACCATTGTTTAGGATATTAAGTATATTTGGGGATGATTCAACATATTAGAGATAGTCTATATTTTTAAGAAATTTCAGGAGAAATAGTTATAATATAAATGTGACATGTATGTATAGTTTTAGTAACTATATGTCCTGTTCTGTTTAAAATAAAAATAGATTGTTGGAATCTGAATCACCACTGGGTTTGTAGCAATATCAGACTAAAACCTACCCTTCAGGAGAATTAGAAACTGAATCTGTTTTAGATTTATTTGGCGTTAAAGAGCCTTCCTCTGATCTGGTTGAACCCAATCTATCTAACAGTGGTGTTTCTTTATTTAAATTCATTGTTGAATATGGACATCCAAAAGAACTACAATTAAATATTTAAGATATAAGATAAAGAATATATAAAAAGAAATCAACAGCAATAGATTAATGACTAAGCTATATGAAACAATGCTCTAACAAAAAGCAACAGAACATAGAAATACCATATCTTGAAGACATCAAATTGCCTTACCTGTGATGACCTGTAAATTTAGCACCTTTTATATGACCAATACCTTTACAACCTGGTGTAGGACAACCCGTTTGATTGGAGTCTGTCACTAAATCACTTGGAGCTGAAATTATATATTGTTAATAGATGTTGTAATTAAATGAAATCTCCAAAAGACATGAAATTGAAAGGAATCACATTCTGTGTGCAATATGGTAAATTTTGCTATGAGAGAAGCATTATACTTTTCAAGCCAAAACTGTCAAACTTTACATTTGTGAATGTCAACCCCTCAAAATCTGCAAATGACATAAACAAGACTGATCTGACTTGAAAATCCCAAAACAGAGTAGTGTGGTGAAAAAGTAATTACTTACATAGTGGTGGTTGTAGCCAATGTGAGGTACGAACACACCAATTTGGAGGATGAATATCCATTGAGTCATCATCTTCCCAAAAATCATATTCACTAGACCAGCCTTCAAAATGTATCTTAATTCTATTGCTATCCACATCTACTATCCTTGCTGCTCGGATTAAAATAGGATTTCTAGGATCCACAACCTCTAATACCATATCTTTCTCAAAATAATATGGGGGTCTCTGAATTAAACATAAATACTCATTAAAAAAAACATTTCACCTTTTAGAGTTTACATTTCTACAACTATTGCTAGAACATTCAAGAATGTCATTGAATAAGCTTACTTTAGACAGTCTGTTCAATAGTTCACTCACTAGCTATTATGCCTTCATTCTGGATATTTGAAAGTTTCCAAACTAGCTATACTGATAAGGATATATTTGCATGTGTGTCTGCTGCATGAAATAAACTCTAGTTAATTAAATTTAAAAGAAATAAATACTAACAGGTTTAAAAGCTCTGGCAGGTACTGCTGAAGATTTATTATCAGTAAGATAGGTTTCCCAACAAAATGTTTCAGACTCCTTCCAATCTGAAATAAATAATAAAATAAAAAAACCTGCAATCTAAACAGGAGATTTGAAATTTCAAAGACTCCAATCTAAAAGTCTAGGCCATATTCCTCAAAAAATATAAGTGTGAAAATCTACATTAAATAATATCATATTAACTACAAAATTGACCAAAAATTTATAATAACAGGTGACATAAAGAGACAAAAGTTAAATAGTTATCAGGTATATAGTATCAGATCTCAAGTTATCCTTCTTCAATTCAGTAGTACTGGTTTGTGTATCAAAAAGTAATTTTCTTTAAAAACTTACCACAAGGAGGAGATAAGGTATGTCCATTTTCTTGACACCAACCTACAGGATGGATACATGGTGAATTGATATCACACCAATAATCATAATTGTTCTCCCATCCATCAAAATGTATTAATATTTTATCTCCTAGAGTATCAGCAACAGTAGCTACACATATTAAATAGGTATTCTTCTTATCTACTGCTTCTAATTTCATACCAACTCTAAATGCTGTAGGTGTCACCGACTGGAATAAAATATAAGGAAAACAAATACTAACTTTTGGCGTTAAAATAAAATTGCTGTGCTGTGTCTAAATCCAATCAGAAGCAGAATAGTGGTACATAAAACACCATTTTATTTCATTTGTTATAATAATAATTGTCGTTATATTTAGAAAATAATTCAGTAGATATAAATTGAAGCAACTTGAATAAACTAATTATGAGATTTTTTCTATACATCTTTAAAGATGGGTTCCCTTATTTTCATTTATGGTAATACTTATATGATAGAAAGTAGAGGTGTTCTAATGACTTGGAAAAATACCAATATGTCCATAATAAATTCATAATTAGCTAAATTAGAAGAGAATTACCAGCAGAATTCCAAAGAGTGACCAATCAAGAAAGGTTAATAACTTATTTTGTTTATCCAGACTGTACATACATGGACATTTATGATTGTTTAAAACTCTTACTTATATGCAATAAGAACATAATGATATGATTAAGAATACATGATAATTTATTAGAAAGACCAATTAATCAAATAGAATGCTGAATTTGATACTAAAAAATAAGGAAACCATTAACTTTAATGTTACAGTACCTATTTTAGCTCAATACTCATACACTAGTACAGAGGAAGATGAAAGAGCTCATTTTATACTCTTGTTGTATCTGGTACCCAGATAGCTGGTATGGGAGTGAGAATTTCAACATATAAACAAAGTATGACTACTTACTGTAGCAGGCTGACTAACAAATAAACATTTTGGAGCTGCAGCACTCTTAGTATTCCTTAAATAATTAGGCCAATTAAAACCTTCATTCTGTGATAAACCTAAAAATAGAAAATAACTTTGTACGCTAGCTGAAAGCATTGACAGGTTGAAGATACCTGTTTATTTATATATAACAAAACACAGTAAGTCAATATAGTATATAAGGATCTTATCATTCCCTTTATAAATGAATGGAAAAAATAACAGACATTTGAGTTGGTCTGTCAGTCATGTCTGGAAAATGCAGTCAAATCAACAGCCCTGGTTAAAATTGTACTGAGTGAGAACATACCTTTAGGTGGTTCTAATGTTTTTCCATTTTTCTCACACCAACCAACAGGAAAAACGAACGGAGAATCTGCATTACTCCAGAAATCATAACATTCAGAATATCCATCAAAATGAAGGCGTATTCTGTAACCCTGAATTTCTGCTACAGTTAAAACACAATATAAACTCTGATGTTTAGGATCAATACCTTCTAATTTCATACCAACTTTAAAGTTTCTACTAGAAACTGGGAATGGCTGAAATAGACAGTACAATAGGTATGTTATACTGGAAATGATCAAGTTATCTTCATTAAAAGTAACAAAATCCACCCCTTATAAGGACAGTATTCTGTCAGTAACATAATATAAGAATTCTGCTTCTAAAAATACTAATTTTACCTCTTTAAAAAGTTTATTGGAAGCAGGAACACAATTGTGACTATCATAATAATCATTCCAATTAAATCCTCTCGATCTTTTACCTAAATAATAAATAAACAAAATAACATATAAAGCATTTTCATATACAATATTTAATTTTGAAAATGTCACTTTTTATATGAAGTGCTATAAAGCCTATCAAATGTCTACATAATATATATGTCCTTATATTATTACGGTAGCTTACCTTTACTTGTAGTAGTTGATGTAGGTTGATCATTACTAGATGTTGTTGACGATGAAGATGATGGTACTTTATTTTTATCTGATTGTTTTGTTTTATCATCCTCAACCGAAGTTTCTGGTGGTGAATTAGCTGATGCATCATCTAAAAGTAACTTCTTTTTCTTCTTTTTTGGCTTCTCAAGAACATTCTTGGATGTGTTTTTAGTTCTTTGTAGGTTTCTCCTGGAATGAATCAAATAAAAAGCTGATAAATAATATACATGCCATTTTTGGGAATACCTCTGTTGAATTTGATAGACATGGACAAACCTGAATGACCCAATAGAATCCAAAACACTGGAAATTACATATATGCAAGGAATTCTGACATATTCATTGCATATATTCAGATAATCTTTTAATCAACACAGAATTTGATTGGTTGAATATGAATGACCCAGAACCAAAAGATTTTGTCAGATATTGGATGACAAGTTGAGGCGCCTGCAGAAAAAGATACAAAATGAAACATGCAGATTTGGTATATTAATTAGACTGATTCATTGAAACAAGAGGAAATTCCTGTACTCACTTTCCAGCATAAGCTCCAACACAAGCCTGAGAACAAAATCTACCAGACTTAACAAACTCACTAGCAAAACCCTGAATATCACAATTCTCACATTGACAAGTTGGATCATCTTTCTTTTCAATTTTAATCTTTTCTGGTTTATCAACTAAAAAATAATTTAATATAGGTAAGGTACACTTAAATACATATAATGACTCGAAAAAATATGATATCATCCAATTATATCTCAAACTACCTACTTAACCCCAAAGATTTAGAAAGAAATATCTAATAACATACCTGGAGATAAAACTGGTTTATTTTCTTCAATATTGTCTATGACACTGCTCATTGTAGGGCTTAGCAATTCATTATCAACCTCCATTTTAATATCTTCTACAGTTGGTATGATAATATCATCAGTTATCATTTCTATTATACCAAACTCATTGACTTTGAACTGTGGGTAGAAAGGCAGAAATCAAAAGAAATTGATACTTAAAGAGTAACATTTTTTCTGTACATTTATACACCAAAATGGCATTTCTGCAAACAAATTCATAAAGCAACACAAAAATTCATAAAAAAAATTGCTTACTCTTAAATCACTTCCAGGTAAAGTTCCAATACCATTCTCCCACACCATCGCATCAATGGGATCAAAATCAGTATTAGCCTTTTCTGACTCTTCTTTGCTTTCTTCTTTTGAAGTGTTTGTCATGTCTACATCATCTATTTCTTCATTGCACTTCAGTTCAGGTGTGGCTGGTTTAGGAGCTGGTTGTTCCTCAGATGTGGTTGTGGGTACTGAAGGCACCTCAATGTCCTGACCAGTAGGCTCTGGTATGGTCATTGATTCCACTTTGACTTCTTCTGGAGGATTGTCTTCAACTTGTGGTACAATGGATGTAATAGCTGGAGTACTAACTATTGGTGGTTGAACTGTTGTGGAAGTATGTGGGGTAGTTGCTTGGGATGTCATTGTAGTCTGAGGAATAGCAGCTACCAAGATTGGTGTTGTTAGGGACTGAAGTGTTGAATTGGACATTACAGGTACCGACAGTGTGACTGCATGAGAGATGCCTGAATTATTTCTTAAAGGAATTATTTGAGAGATCTGTTGAGGAACACTTGTTCTTTGAGCATGAAGATGTGGAGCTGTGTTATGGAATGCTGTTGAGCGTACTTGACTCTGTGATGTTACCAATTGAACTGGTCTTTGAATTGTTCCCAACATATTTGGATTGATAGACCTCTGTACTGTTCCTAGAACACTGGGTGAGAGCTGATTTTGAGTGATCTGAGATGGAGAAATGACATGAAGCGTGTGAGCAGGTTGCATTATTATTCCAGATTGTTTGTTTTGTTGTATCAACATTGCCTGTTGCCTAGGATTGTAAGATGGTTGACGAAGAGGAACAACCATGCTAGTTGTTCCTGGTGGGTTTCCACTGCTGGTGTGTTTCATTCTATTCTGAACCATATATTTGCCATGAGGAGCAATCATCTGTTTAGGTCTAAGTTGAGTTCCACCAGAAACTGCAGATGATAGTGGAAGAGTTACCAAAGAGTTTGAAAGAGCTTGAATAGGAATTTGACCATGTCCAGAGACTGATATCAAACCAGTACTATTTGCTCTGATAGGTGTATTTTGTGGTGTACCACTGATGGATGATGAAACTGTTGGTATCTTGAGTTGATCTCCACCAAGTATTGGCTGAACATTGGAAGGTTGAGAAGTATTTACCATACACAAGGAAGCATTTCCAATTGGCGCTGAAAATATATGAAATTACCAAAAGACATTCCTATTTTTACATAATACAAGGCAAGAGTATAATTGTCTGCATTGCCTTTCATCAGGTTGGCAACAAATTTGTTGGTCAAAATATTTTTGAAGTTAAAAATTCAAAGATGTTTCAAAACCCTTTAATGAATTTGTCGTCAAATTTTTGCTTTCCCGGCCAATAGAACTCGGAACAACTGAAATTGTGCTCTATCAGCTGGGAAAGAAAACTATTGGATGGCTATATCTCTTTAATATAAATTATTTAGTTTCTAAAGATATTCTTACCTTTAAAATAAGCTACATTTTTAACTGGTGGTGAAATATTCTGGTCTATAGTATTGATTCTTCCTATAGAAACACAAAAATAATTATAAGTTTTTGTCCAAAAATATGAAAACTGCCAGATCATTTCAAATAATACTTCTGAACAATTTCAACAGACATTTTAAAATAGTCTAGTTAAGGTTAAATTTCCTAAAAATCAAAATGATTCATTCACATCCATGGACCAAAGTAGAAACAGGAAATTTTTGGGAATATTTCCTTCTTCGATACAAGTAAGTAGAATTTGTAACTAGAAAAACATTCATTCATTAGTTTGTTTAGGATAAAAAGCTATGAGAAAAGAAAGATATATTATTCTATATATTATCATATCATATGACAATTTATACAGGTTACTACATAGCCATGTTAAACATCTATATCATCTTGGTTAATTCATTTAAGTCAAAAGCGTTCAAAAGTGGTTTTCTGGTTTTGTATGGGGACACAAATCTATATTTGCACCATTCTGACTTCCCTTTTGACAACTTTAGTTTTTGTAGTTAAAGAAAAATGGTCAATCTAAGCCAATAATTCAGACAATATTTTTTTCCCTAATTAAAGAAACACAGACGGCAGATGGAATGGTGCACACCAACGATATGAAATCCCTGATACACATACAATGACCTTTTCAACTTAAGTTAATAAAATCATTCATTCATTAAGAAGTATATTGAAAAAAACATAACAGAGTGAGTTATGGAAAAAATCAAAAATCCCAAAAAGGTTGCCCAAAATGAAATAAAATTAATGTTAAAAGAAAAAGAAATAAAATTACCAATACCATTTTTAATGGTCAAACTAATCGAACCTGGCTGAAAAGATGTATTTGAAAGTGAGACTATATTAGCTAGACTGGTAGTTGTTGTTAAAACTGTTGAAGTCGGAAAAGTTGTTGATAAATTATCAATTTTTATAGTTTTCAATGGAGATGGTTGTGGTGGTGCTTGTTGTGGCTGTTGTGGCTGTTGTGGCTGTTGTTGCTGTTGTTGCTGTTGATGCTGTTGTGGATTTTCATTTGATGGATTCATTTTGATCTAAAAATAGAAAAACAGAAGATTGAGGGTCATGTATACTTTAACTTCTGGTTCATGGTGAAACCCTGTTTCAATATTTTTCTAATAGGCTAGAACTTTCATTCACAATAAAATGCTATGCTGTAAACTTTTTACCATAGAGTTCACATAGTTTATGTTGTTTGTTATGTATTCATGTAAAATGTATAATACTACACTAGCATTACTACAGCAGGGGAGCCATGACCAGAAGTTTTGACTGGCCTAGGGCTTCATCAGTTTCAAGTTTCATAACATAGAGTTCTTAAATTCTTGATGCTATTGGTGCCCCTTGGCAATTCTGTGACTTCCAATTGGCCCCTCCACCTGATGCTTTATAGAAAGCCATTATATTATACAAGCTGATTATACTACTTCAGGTAAAGATAGTCCTCAAAGACATTCTTCAATAAGTAAGATATGATCACTCTTCTGCGACACTTGATGTTACTAAATTTCTATATTTTTGGTGCTTATTTGAAATATTTATATTCCAAATGGATTTGTAAAATATCATTTCTTATCATTAAGACAAATTGGAACAATGACCAAATAAAATGATATGAAATAGTAGAAATAAGCATCAATTTTTCAAATAAAAAAAAATTAATTTAACGTGTCAGTTTTGTGATTTAAGTAAAAATAAGAAATTATTTGGGGTCTGGAAACTCAATATGGAGCTTGAACTTGAAGTGGACAGGTTGTCTCCCTTCGATCACAATTTTAAAAATGAAAGATTTCTATGTCAAAATAGTCTGGCATCAATTTTTTACCTTACCTAATTTAACACAAAAAATCAAAGCATTCAGAATTGCAAAATCATGATCCACGGCAAAAAATATCTACAATACTTTTATTGTGAACATGGTATTGTAAAGTCAGTCTTCATAGAATAAGAATTGTTTTAGGCTACAGTTATTGCCTTTATGAAATTAACCCAGTCCGGTCTATTATGAAACTAATTAATTATTTTTACATTGTGAAAGCTTTTGTCTAATCTTCATAATATTATGGCTTTTTATACCATTAAAATCCTATGGCAATGTGGCAAAAGATCTAAATGTATAATTTACTCAGTACAGTACACTCAAATCTTCTTCATATTATGATAACTTAAATATGTTAATAGAAAAATGCTTCACACCTTTCATTAATTTTCCTTTATTTCTTTTGATATGAGTAGAAGATTTATAAAATGTCAACCATTTTGTACAAGACATTTGTCATGTAGTCATATAGGCATGAAATATTACATAATTATTTTCTTTAATAAATACTTAGTTTTAAAATGATTGGCCTAATATAAAGCCTGTAACAAGGCAGTCTTAATTTTCCATACCGGTACTATACGTTTTCATTTAAAAATTACTTCTCTATTTTTATTTTTTGTTAGCAAAGAATAGTCTAATATATTTTATTTTTAGTATTTCTATAATCTTGGGAAATGAAACCCCTTTCAATAATTTCATACAAGAAATCACATGATCCAATGAAAGCCCGTCATATCAGCTGCGCATGTGACACAGCAGCCGACAATGGCGGATGGTCAATGTGGAAATATTTTTAATTTGAAGAACTGAAAGTAAATTAAAATAACATTAAAAAACATGCCTGTTATTGCAACAGTTAGTAACAATATTCCATTAAGTATTTAATAAAATTTCAAAACGAAAAATAAGTTTTAAAGGCTTGTTTTATTGAAATTGCTCAACCATCTTATCAAGGTTGCGTGCGGGTGTTGCCTCGTTTTGGAAACGAATTCATTCGTCGACAAGAAACAATTTTAATCAAATATTTCTTAAAATCTAATGATAAACAATTTCATCAAATTATTGAGACAATTAGTTTAATTATTCCTCTACTAAACGCCATTAAACATTTCATAGTTTAATCTAATTAAGTGGTTTATTACTCGATTTACAATACCCCCCATTGACGAGTCGAAATGCAATAATATGCGCAACCATGCAACAAAACTTCCCGCTTATGATTTAATAAACGCGATTTTCGATATTAAGGAAAGTCGTTTCACATGGAAAAATATGTGTAAAGTGTAGAACTTTATTGAATTTATCAGTTTAAATATGTCAATCAATAAATTATTGTCCAAATTTTGAGAAAAACTAAATTACTTACCAAATGGAATCAACAACTCGTAATCGCCATTTAACAGGATCACGTTTCAGGGGTGTTAATTTCAACAGCCAATAAACGTAGGCTGCTGTTACATGCTTCCAAAAACCTCCCTCTGAGGGCAAAGTTCAAGTTATATTATGTTTATCGTTTTCATTTTAAAAAAATTTTTTTTTCAAAAAATAGCTCCATAGACTTTGCAATGATAAATTTTTTAGTTTTTGAAAACATAATTGTCATTTCAAAAAGATTTTGCACTGGTGAGTTCCCATTTTTTGACATGTTTATGTATGACGTCACTGATGGTTTGTTGTTGTTTTGATTCTACAGCTGAGCTAGCCAGACAGATAAAATGTTACCTAGCTCGAAAGCCTTCTAAGCTTTCTGCGTCTCAACTTTAGACAAGTGTGGGTATAGATTTAGATATTGCAGAATCAAATGATTATGTTAGTAACAAAATTCGAAAGTATGAAATGATGAATTCAGCTCACTCAACATAGGAAAAATTGTCTATTTTTGTAGATATCAGTGCAGCCATTTTACTCTATTTATAAAACTTGTTTGCATAGGACACATAGGACATATCCTCTAATGATATACAACACATTGCATTATATGTAGAGTCTAGCATAAAATATGGTGTCATCTATTTAGGATTTGCAATAGGGCTATGACTATTAATGTCGGATGAGTAGTAATAACAGATCACAGAACAGTTATTGATGTTTTCATTAATTAAAATCACCATAACACAGTGTGCATTTATATATAGCATTAAATATAATGTCATTTATTCAAGATTTGCAATAGGGCTATGAAATCATTTGTCCTTCACAGTTATAATAGATCACAGAATAGTTAGTGGTGTTGTATTAATTAAAAATTATAATGACTCATTAGCAGTAGGGATCAATTTGGATTGCAAAGTTTATAAGCAATTGGTTCATTTTAGGTTAATCCATTTACATTTTGATTCGTATATCATAGCAAAAATTGCCATTTTGACTTGCAAATTGAGATGCAAAATTTCTTGATATAAAGTTTATTAGATTATATCCATTAGAATATTTCTACTGATATTCATTTAGAAATAATTTTGAGATTCAGAACTCTTGTATATAAAACTATTATCTTGAGCCTACTAAATAGTCCTACTTAGAATTTGTTTTGTTGAATTATTCAGTTTTGAAAAGATTTGTATTTGATCTTCTGGTAGTACTTCATGCATACACTTTTGACCCTTTGATTTTTTCAATTCAACCAAACAATTTCAGTCAGAGAAAAACCAGCTTATTCTTATATTAAGGCACAATATTATAGAATTATTTTCTTACTATTTGGATGAAAATATTTTTAAAAGCTGATCTCAGGGCGCACTTATGAAAATATTATGGTAGTAGAATTCTGATTGAAAATGAGAATACATCTGTGTAGATAAGTTTAATACGTTCACTAAAACAGGAAATGATAAAATATTTTGTAGGTATTTGTGAATAATTATTGAAAATGGGAGGAGCTGTGAGTACTGGTACAGATAATAGTGATCTGATTGACAATCTAGTAGAAGCAAACTATATCAAAAGTCCAGAGGTACAGAGAGTGTTTCGTGCTGTGGACAGAGCTGATTATTACTTACCAACACAGAGAGAGAGTGCTTATAAAGACTTAGCTTGGAAACATGGACACCTTCACATGTCAGCGCCTTGCATTTATTCTGAAGTTATGGAATCTCTGTTATTGGAACCTGGATTATCATTCCTGAATCTTGGTAGTGGAACTGGTTACCTCAGTACTATGGTTGGTCTGATTTTAGGTAACTGGCCTTAGTTTTTAAAATTCTATAAAGTCATTGCCAAGTTTGGAATTAGCCTGAATGGAATAACACTTTTCTCAATCTCTTGTCACAATATGGTGTTTAAAATGGTTATTTTGAGAGGTTTAGTTTAAATTATAAGCAAGTTTATGGTTGCTTGGTAGATGAGTGTCTGCCAGATTATGATTATTTAGTGACTTTATGTGCATTTTTAATGATAATATATGATTGGCGAAAAAGACATAATCTTAACAGTTTCTCCTAAGTTTTACATTGTCATCATTTTGAATTGCTGTGAACAAAAAAGCTAAATGTCGCTAATTATTATTAACAGTCTTGTGTTTTTGAGCAACATGAACGAATACCTTCTCTTACCTTTCTAGGTCCGTATGGTGTAAACCATGGGGTAGAAATACATGAAGATGTAGTGGATTATGCAAGACAAAGATTAGAAAGTTTTAAAATAAACAGTGCTAGCTTTGATGATTTTGATTTGTGTGAACCACAGTTTGTTGTTGGTAATTGTTTACAGTTGGTACCAGGACAGTTATATGATAGAGTTTACTGCGGAGCTGCATGCCCGGTAGAACATGAAAATTACATGAAGAATTTGATTAACATTAATGGTATTCTTGTCATGCCTTTAAATGACCAGGTAAATAATGCAACTTTAGATCCTTTTTGTAAAACAGTACATGTGCTATCTTGGAACAGGGTTTCAGAATTTGAAAATTCATTAAATCACAACTTATATCAGAAAAATTAGAAAAGAAGTAAATTTTGTGTGATTCACTAAAACCATCATTTCTCTTTAACCATCCTTTTCTACTACATTTTGTAAGGAAGATAAGTTGTTTATCAAGTGGTTACTTTTTCGTAATTTCTTTATCTTATACATTTTACAAATACAGTTACAACAGATAAAGAGAACTGGAGAAACAAGTTGGGAAGTGAAGAATGTTCTTCCAGTCTCTTTTGCCTCATTAGTTGTTCCTGGTGATGATAATAAGTCAGATATAGTTATTGCACGTAAGATATGGATTTTTTTTGTAATATGATGCTATGACTGGTGAATTCTGCTAAATTATGCTTTGTTTAAGGAATGCAAGAGTAATTTTAGGAGTTACATAGAGTTATAACTCTATGGAGTACATGTAGTTGATGTTATGTTAAGCTTCAAAACTTAATGTCATGGTTGCTATGTAATTATATGATTTTTCTCTCTTGAAACTTTAATTTTTCTCTCATGCTTCATAACGATAGGCATTTTATGGGTTTATAATCACTTACTCTGTTTTATACTTTCAGCTGATTTCCACTTTCTGCCACTGAAAGCAGCCTGTCGTTATAGCATCAGAAAAACAATTCGTACCAATATACACAAAGAACACCCGGAACTACATAAAGTGAGTAAACCAAAGAAAAAGAAGCCAACATCCTTGAGGAGCAGACGTCCTATAAATATTGTTCCCATGAGTATGGGGATGATGATATTACGTCAGTTTGACAGTGATGATAGTGACGATGACAGTCTTACTAGTCATTTAAGAAATTTCCGACGACAACGAATTCTGGAAGAACAGGATGATGACTATCATTCCACTCATTCTGAGGAGGAGGAGGAGGAGGATGATGTTGATGATGATGTCTCAGATATTGAAACTGGTCATAATGAGATAGACGGTACTGAAAGTGAGCATTCCACAGACGGACCATTTGAAAGTCAAAAAGATAAATTGACTGAAAATGTTGAAAGTTCAGAACATGATGAAGAGACTGATGACTGTGATAAAGCTGAGAAAGAAATATCAAATAAAACACCATGTTATCCGTCTGTTCAAATTGACAAATCAGACAGTCATGAAATATTTGATTCTGATAAAGAATCATCATTTGAACAGCCTTCTAGTTCAAAAGCAAGCAATAACCAGAATGCAAAAATTACGCAAAATGGAAACCATTTGAAAAATAGACTGATAAGAAATGGAAATAGAATGTCTATATCAGATAATTCTGATGATGATAATGTGAACTTTGTGCATACTATAAATAGAGACCTTGATTCCAAAATGCGCAGCTTGAGTCCTCCCAGAAAGATTCGCTATTCTTCAAATACCAGTGCCGACACATCTGAGACATCAGGAATTGGTTCTCTGGGTGAGGATCCTTCAGAAATTGAATCCTGTCATGGCAGTGAGAAGCCGTCTCCAGGAAGTAGTTTAGGGGATGATGGGATGGACTGTACTGAAGATGAAGTTCCCATTCCAAAAGAAACTATTTGTACCTTCATGAAAGAAAGAGTTAATGAACTTCCTATTCCTTCAACTTTGAAATCGTACTTGGTATATTACAGACAGTAAACAGAGAAGTCACAACTCAAGATGTTAAGATTTATTCAGCAAAATATATGAGCTTTATAGACTTGACACATTTGAGATTGTTAAGCATTGCTTATGAGGATGGTTAGAATTTTTCCATTGTGTGTGCTAGTTAAATCTCAAACTTATATTGTGATATTTGTATATAATGGACAGTGTTTTAGTTACTTGATTGAATTAAGACTTCAGAGATGCAAAAAAAAAAAGGAAAGAAAAGAAAAAAAAACTTATAAAAAGATGAGAATTTTTGCTTTATTATTTGAATCCTGTGATCTTATAACTAGTGCTATAAATGTTTACGGTATTTATTTATTTTCTTTAATAGATATTTTAGAACAAGAATTCGGATATTTAAGAGCCAAAACTTAAATTTCCAAAAAAAAAATTGATTTATAAAAAACAAACATTAGCAAGGGATTATGCTTACCTGGGCATTAGAAACAGAGTTTTTTTTTATTTTTGAGAAATAAGCATTTATATGATCGTAGATACTTTCCTCCAATTGTTATCAGGTTAGATGTCGGATTTTAATACTCTTACAATAGAGCTCCATTTCAGTTATCCTTTCAGATGATTACAGCAATATTTAGAAGGCTTTATCTGTTTAATCTGAATCGGATTTAAACAACTATGTACACACCACTATAATAGGTCTTTTTTTTTTTTCATTGTGCAACTCATTTTTTGGGAATAATTCTTTTTTGAGTATGTAAAAGACTGAAATAAAGTAAATGATCTAATACCAGATCAATAATTTCTAATAACAATTGCCAGAGTTTTAAGGTAAAGTAAATTGCAAATATGTACAAATTAGATACAGGAAAAATTGTAAATTAGTTTTTTACATGAACAAATAACATCCAAAACAGTATAAAGCATGTATATTAGTGCTTTATTACAGGTTTACATGATATAATGTTATTACCTGGCTAAATAAGTTCAGTATAGTAATATGAATGGATGGTATATCACAATGAGATGTAAATATCAGTTAACTATTTATTTTTTTGTGAATTGCCAGGTTAAAATCTAAATAGTAATTTCAAACTCATTAGATTGCTGTAATTGTAAATGAATACTATTATTTTGTAGCCTGAGTCTTTCAAAATAGATGACGGAAAAAATCAGGAGGCTCTTGTCAGAAAATTTACTTTTGTACATTGTAAATGTATACACTGCAATTTGTTTAATCTGATTGTAGTCAGACTATCTAACAATTTGATTTGTGAAATTAATCATGAGAATTGTTGATTACATGCTTGGTCAAGATGTTTTCTTCCATTTTGTTTGTGAGTGTAAACAATTTAAAATCAGTAGGTTAATCTTTCATGATACTATTTTAGTAGATAGTGAAGCTTTATTCAAATATTGCTCTATTCAGTCAAATAAGAGAAACCCAGAAATTTGTTTCTGCAACTTATAATTTATGTACAATTTGTATATTTGAATGTGCCATTAAGAATTGCATTTTGTAACCACCTATTAAAGTTTAAATCTTTGTACAGAGTTTATAGATCTTTATCATATACAATATTAGACGGGCACTTTATGAGATGTTTGATGTGACTAATGCTGGTTATGGTAAATAAACAATAATGTAATGTGCATTAATGACCAGGGGCCTTACTCTCCAAAACTTAATATAAATAAAATTCAGATTTTAACAAATACAGTAATATGATTGGATAACAAAAGTTAAGTTAAAATCAAATTAGTGATTGACCAATCAGATGACTGGTCAATATGAATAATTAAAAAAATCCCTGTCCCACATGTATGTTGCTAAATCCTGTCAGTATAAGTAGATATTGTCATGACAAATTTTGGACTTTGTGGACTCTCTTTGGTTTTGATTTTTCAAATGCTGGTGTTGAAATAACGTTGAATAAACACTAAACAAATTAAAAGCATAAATATTTTATTTGCAGTGTAAACAATATAAATATAACAATAATAAACAATGATAAGACAAGGAATGACACATCTTTTTACAGGAATCAACAACACATTTAAAAATAAATTAAGTTGTCAATGATCAGTTTATAACTTTTTATTATGATTCAAAATCTTCAGTTAACTAAAATAATATTGGAAATGTCATTATGCAACATACACAGGCTTTTTGTCATACAGTTTAAAACAACAGTATAATGTGAAATGTTATGAATTCTATAATTCATTTAGTAAATGCTTGATTGTATAGTTGATTTGGAAATGTAAAGCCAGTTACCAATATTTGGAATGCAATGTTAAAGAAGATCTTGTCTTTAATAATGATTTTTTTTTGTGTACAAGATTCAAATATGAAGAACAATGGGAAAATTAAATATAAATTAAATAAAAAATAAGAGATTATGACACAATATAAATAAATTAGAATAAATTATGCTAATGATATGTATGTACAATATATTATCAACAATGAGAGATATAAACAAACGAGACAACAATTGTATAATAACAGGTGTAAAAATGGAAATAAAACAAATAAATTACAATTCAAGTTGCCACAAACAAAATTTATTATATTTAACAAACCTATGTTTGTGGTCACATTCAAACCCTCAAAATTTTCCTTGGGAAATCCTGCCAATTTTTAGCAATCTCATTTCTTCAAGAAATGCTTCTCTTTTATGATGTTATTTTGTCTAACTACATGTACTCAAATGAAATGAAACTAAAGTGAATTTACCCTAATCACATGTCATATTGACAGAAGCAAAGTTAAATGTAGCTGTCTTAAATGTTGTCACTAAATCGAGAGATTGGATGGAAAAAATGGAAGCTATTGTCAGTAATTGCACGATTGGTCAAATTTCTGAATGTTACTTGGTACATTGACTAGTTTAACTGTCACAAAAAAAAAAAAACTTCAATGTATGGTAGGAGTGTACACCTCTATTTAGGCAACTTCAATTTCACTTAAAGCATTCTTTAGCACATTAAATAAGGCATTATCTTCATTATCAGCATTCCTAGTACACAAATTCTGAATCTTACAGACATAAGCTTCTAAGTTCTCAAAATCAAAAGGGACGTCCAATTGAGGAAGATTAACTTTTTGAAGACAAGTAAAAATTTTGGTTTTGAGAGTATTTAAAGTGTGATTGAGACCTTGTTTCTGCGTCAACAAGGACACATTCTCTTGTTGACAAAGTTGAATACGCGTTTCTAAACAGGATACATCTGCTCGTAATTTAATTGTTTCTTGCTCACGAACTATATTGGCCTTCTTTATCACTTGTATATCTTCCTCCAACTTAACAAATTCCGATTCTAGATCTAAAATAAAAAAAAACACAACTATGTCAAGCATTTTGAACTATAAATTTCAAATGCAAGCAAAGATGGATTCATGCTAACAGTTCAAGTAAAAAAATTCATGTTTTTATTTGGTATTTGTCAGTATACCGGTACTTTATAAAACTATTTACTGACCTTCCCCATTTTCTACTTTCAACTGAAGAGCAGCAAGTTCATTAGGAGTTATCTTAGCTTTCTTCATGGCAAATGTAGCTTTAGGACACCCTGATAAACTTCTATGGGTTAAAAAACTACCATTGATATGACCTGCACCATCACAACCTGGAGTAGGGCAGCTGAAAATACAGGGAAAATCTCCTGAAAATGTTTTAACTAATAATGTGTATTTGCTTGCAGTCTAACATAGGAAAATGTAATTTAATTGGATTAGCTAATCGGTATATAGCCCAAGAAAGCATGATACATCTTTATAAGGATATTTTGCTTCACATAATTATGTCTAGTTGGCTTGTATCCTCAAGTCATGAAGAGACATTGTAAGGTGTCTGGTCCAAATTAAGAAGCAAATCGATAGGCTACAGGTAATTACAGAAACTCATCAACATATACTTACGCAAATCCATCAAGTTTCATGGCTTTAATAAGAGCAGGATCCTGATTTTCAATACCAGTACTACCTATATATCTTTGTAATTTCTGTCTGTTGGCTAGAGGACAGCCAGAGGCACTGCAAATACAATTTTAAATCTAGGGTATTTTTAAATTTTCTTTTACAAGTGACCACCACTTTCTTTTTAACAAGAAACATAACATGGAATTCATGACAACTGCTGAGGCTTAATTTTTTCATCAACTGTTAATTAAAATTTTGTGATGTCATAGTGTTACAATTTCAAACTTTATATACAAAATAATGTAAGAAAAAGACTAAGGTGCAGTCTTAAGACAAAAATTAATGAAAACGAAATACATCAAAATCCGTGTACAGCTATACTCAACAAAATGTATTTTAAAGATGTATCAACTATAACATGTTAGATTATTTCATTCTTGTACAACACATAAAATTTCACAACAGTGACAATAATACATAAATCATTTAAAGGATTCAAGAAAAATCATTTTCACTCAAATAGCCAAATTGGTTGCTGAAGTACAGTCAAAAATGTGAATGTTCTTCATCTTCTGGAATTTAAGTTCCATGTAAAAAACAAAACATACAACACAAATCATATTTTCACTGCAAAATAATATAACTGTGATACATCAATACATTATAATTACTACATAGATATATATGTGTGTTCCAAATCATATTGGTATACCTTCTATGTGATAAATATTTGCCAGTTATATGTCCGATTCCATCACACCCTGGCACAGGACAACTACAAATAATCAGTAGGAAGGTATGATTAAGATTTTAGAAAAGAAAACAGAAACGGACGTGTCACACAAAGCTCCCATGTTGATTTAGAAAGGAAGTTTGAGATATGATAAACACCCTAGCTAAAGGAACATCCAAAGCAAATTCCCAGACTCAGTACAATCATTCATTCAATTTAAATAATGCAAATCATAAAAAAAGAAAACCTGTTGCCATTAAGGCAGATACCACACTTTCCCTAACCAAGAGTAAAAGGAGTAAAAGGGAAATAGATATAATCTCTGAGAAAAATAAATGAAATAATGTGTGACTTACCCAAATTCATCAAATTCCTTTTTCTCATACCCTTCCTTAGTGCTTGGTCTTTTAATTTTAGCTGCACGTGGACATCCAGACAGACTACGATGTGATGAGTAATTTCCAGTTATGTGACCACTTCCATCACAGCCAATAGTCGGACATCTTCAAATTATTTCAAATTATGTTATAGCAAAATGCACAATGAACTTAAGCATTCAGTATCTAGACCAATATTCAGATATTCATACTAAGTATAGCCATTATTGGTCAATACAAATTGTAACTAATAATTCATATATATGCTTTAAAATATTGAAATCCAATCACTTTGTAATTCATTTATTTGAAAATGTTGAAGATTCCATTAATGAAGACATCTGTGAACAAATCTATCCTATGATAGAATAGTTTAAAAGTTTAAACTAAATACTATTTAACTAATTAAATTCAATTCTTGAAATATAAACATGCATTTGAAAAAATGAAAAGCCTCTGTTTCAGTATGAACTTTGTCTTTGTACAATTTGCTAAAAAGTAAGACAGTAGACAGACTACCAAGATAAAAAAAATGGACATCCATTGACTTTGACAAATTTCACTGAAACAAGAGCTATTAACTGAACAATAACAACATAAATAATGCAACATCATCAAAATCACAAAATACATTGCATGCAGTGTTAAAGCAAACTGTAGTCAAATAAACAAAAATGGAAGGGAAACATGAAAATCATAAACAAAACAAATAAAAAGGTAATATAAAAATAAAATAACATTAAAATAGGATAAAAACAAAATACAGATAATGGATAGGAATAGTTACCACTGAATGAAAGATATGATTACATCATGGAGTTGGATCAATAAACTGATCACCATGGCAACAAAGGAGATACCAAAGGAAGCAGACACACAACACTGAAAGCAGACAACTTATTTTTAACTTACTTCTGCTCAATTTGATTTGCTTGTACCATTGCCCTGTCAGCTAAAGGGCATCCAGATAAGCTGCGATGAGAAGAGTAATTTCCTGTTACATGACCAGATCCATCGCACCCAACAGTTGGACATTGCACTAATTCCTTTATCTCCTTTTGGCGAGAAGGGGTGAGGGGTGTCTTAAGTGAGGTGGGTGAAGCAGGCAGGGGTATTGTAGAAATGCTAAAGGGATGAAAGTAATGAAATTGTTAGTACATGTACACACATTCATGATGATGATCAAAATTAATGATAATGATTTCTTAAATAATGAGCCATGAAAATTTTAATGGATGAAAACCAAGCAACAAAAAATATTCAAATATGCAATTCACAAAAAATGATTGTGACAATGAAAAGTACCTTACATGCAAGAAGATGAAAAATATGGATGAAAATGGGGAGCATTCACATTCGCTTCGCATTCATAAACAACACATTCTTAAGAGAAAACACCAAAATTGGATTTGAATAGCTTTATTGTACACATATAATAAACATGACAATAGTAACTCACTAACAAATATCTTAAGAGAATCTTCAAACTTCAACCAGTAACAGTACAGTCTGAAATTTGATGACTTACACCTTTCCTTCCTTCAAAACTTTATCATTTTGATAATCTCATTCTGAATTCTTCTGTCAAAATAGTCGGATGAGATTCAGCAAGTTTCAGACTAGTTAATGTTATAAATTTATCTAGTTGCTACATGGTATGTCAGTGTGGACAAGATCACCTTATGCCTACAATGTATGTTTATGGTTTTGGGTAAAATTTCAGAATTTAAATTTATGCGCATATGGACTAAACTAATTATGTTTGATGATATTTAAAATCTTGACCTTATAATAATTCATCATATAAAGTTGAAATAAAATGTACAATTAAATTTCTTAGCTTATTTCATTAAGGGGACAACAAATTTAATGTAACCAAAATAAAAGTATATTTCAACCTCTTTTTAAGTATAAAATCTTAAGTTTTAACAAAATATATACAATTTCAACAATGCCAACAAAGCAAAGACAATATATAACTTTTGTATGCAGAAAAACTTAAACTGTCAGAACAAAAATGAAAGAGTAATATCATTATGTAGGTCATATTAAATTTAGGTGAATATCATAATTTATATTTTTCCACATGACTTCTGGATAACAATGTATCTTATTAGAGGATTATCAAAATATTGAAATTGTTTGAATACTGCAATAGCTGGTATGAATATACCCTAATTCAAAAGCATTTGTCAAGTGATTAAAATCATTGATTAGCCTAAAACCAAAATTAGCTCACTTTTCAGAGGCTCTTAGCTAATATATTTCGAAATTGGGTGCCGAATTGAACCAGCCATCATGGTGTACCAGACACAATTCTAGAATGGTATTTTTTTCTTAAAATTTTAAGATTTACACCTAAGATTTGGCCTGTGTAGGCTAAGCACCATTCATTTCACATTTCACACTTGGATCCAAACACATTGTGGGAGTGCTGGCTAGAAAATTAATAAAAATGACAATTTGTCACACCTACCCATTGTCTGTATTTGGGGGTTCAAACTTGGGTCTCACAGGATTTAAAATGTTTGCTTTGTTTGCAGATAATGTCACTTTTGTTACTGCAGGTTGTGGAATATTCAAAGGAGTAGGCAAACTGGAAAGAATGGCACTGGCACAAGTGGGTTGTGTTTCTGTAAGAGTTGATGCTTGTGGAATTCTGTTCACATCTGACAGGTTCATACTTGTCGTCTGCTTCCCAATATTCAATGCTAACTGTTGTGAGATAGTAGGTGTCTTCTGTACGTTGAGGATGACTGATGTGTTGGGTGATTTAGGTTGTGGTCTAAAATGTGGTCGTTTGCTAAGTATGTTTGGCCGGTCTGGACCACTGATATCACGTTTTGGTTTGATGAGTTTTGGAGCTGGTGTAGGTACACTGACTTCTGCTGGTCTGTTATATTTCTCTAGTTCTTTGGCAAGATTATTTCTGGGTGTGGACTGTGAGACAACTGATGGTGAATTGATACTTTGTAACTCCAGTTGTTTAGTTAGAATCATTGGTCGTAGAATTCTGTCAGTTCCTGAAATACAAACGTCTGATTGGTTACTTTTGGACCAAAACCTATTCTAAATTCAAATTAAAATGATTATCATTTAATTTCAAAAGGATTATTCAATAATATTTAATATCTTTAAAAGCCAAATGAAACAGTGAAACACCATTACAACAGTCACAGAAAAAACAAAAAACAAGTTGGGATGGGATTACCTTGTGAACCTGAAAAGGGATGTCTGTGGTCAACCAACACAAAAATAAAGAAACCAAATGATCACAGTTATTTGATATGCTGGGTGATATAAAAATTTGACAGGCATTAGGTTCATTTTTTATCACTTGTCACACTTTCTCATTTCTGGCTTTTTTAATCACGTTTGACAAGAACTGACATGGTTTTTACAATAAAATCAGGTAGAGCATCCAGCATATCAAAACTGTGAACGAAAAAAAAGCAAAAAGGATACGCACCAGTGGTACATTCCTTGGCTGCCATCTTGATTAACTGAGCTTCATTACATGCTGCCAATACGGCGGTGTTTGGATTATCGCTCTTTGGAATGACCACTAGGTGCAGACCTGACACCGAAAAATAAAGAAAAGAAAATATTACACTTAATAAAATACTGATACAAACAAATTGACTACAACCAATGGTGAGGCATTCGAAAAAGTCAGTTTCTATGTACATGGAATAGCAATATAGCAAAAGAAAAGTCTTGGTGATGATAAAACTTGAGATAAAACTTCAAAATGTTTGAAAGTCAAACAATTCATTTGAGAATACTCAGTTGTTCATAAATTGTACATATGATCTGACTTTTTCCAGAGAATGATAATGACATAAATTATAATGTGATGATCAACACAATACACCATTAAAGTATGATATTTCTTTTGTTGTAGTCTCAAATTTCTAAAACTTTAACTTTCAGAATAAAGAAAAAAAAACAACAAAACAAGTTCATTTGTCAACATAATATAAATGTTATCACAAAAACATTCTGGATTTTCTAAGGAGTTATCACATTATATGCATAGTTTTAATATAACGTCCACTTTTCATCATTTAACAATGCTTACAACCAATGTCAATCATATTTTTTTCAAAGATTGAGGGTAAGGTAGACAATATTAATATATTCAATATTGAAATTTATATATAAGCTAATGAATTATGTGGTATTCTGGGTAATTGAGACAAGGCATGAGAGGTGTTGTGAAAACAAGTTGACTCAAACTGAATAATATGTCCTGATCTGAAACTAATTCAACTTCTGATATTTATCTGACTAAAAAAATTTGATGTCTGATTCACTGGGAAATTGCAGAAAGGCATAGCATCAGGAATTCTGAAAGTCTGTGCTTTGAAAGATATGAAGATATTACAGTTCTACCAGCTGGTAAAGCAATATCTAATGTATTCAACATTTTCAATTCTACACAATTTTACCATTTCTATAGCAAATGACACGTCTGAAAGAAAAGGGTTTTAGTAAGCTATACTGGATTGAGTTTGTCAAGGAACAGAAATATTTACCTGATTTCTTCTGGTTTTGAGTTGTTATAAATTTACCCATAGCTGCTATAGGACATCCAGATATACTATATAACAAAGAACAATCAAATTATTACACCATTACAAAAAAACAAACATTAATGCTTTTGCTAAATTTCATCTCATTCTAGCGTACACCAGAGTAAAATTTATTCCGAAAAGTTTATGGCATATTCTTAAGGACTTTTTTTTACACATGTCATATTCGCACTCTGAAATCATGTATATGTGACCTTCAAAAAACACGGAGAGAACTGAACCAGTATCCCATTCTCATACCAAGTTATCTTATATTGCTGAAAGGCTGAAAGCATGAATACAACTGGCCAAGCACCAAATAATATTTAAAAAAAGAACAGAAAAGTTTCCTACCTTCTATGTGATGTTCTATTACTGTTTACATGGCCTCTACCATTACAACCAGGCGTCGGACATCTAAACATATAATGATACACTTTTAATATCAAGGTATTATTGTTGTAACTACGTTTTATAATATTTTATCTTTCAAAGCTTTAAATTTCCCTAAAATGACTTAAAACTTTTAATTCTGGGTTTACAGAATGATTTAATTAACAAAGCTACAAGCTTCCAGAGATGGCAGTTCACACAAATGTTTAAATCTTTAAGAATTTTTTTATTTAATTTATTCTTTATATACTTAGGCTATTTAAAGAATACTTACTTCACAAATTGATCAGACAGCAGATCATGTCCTGAAGATATAAAGTGAAAAAAATAGTTTCATAAAATTGATTATGGTAGTCATCAAAAGGGAGAACCCCTTTGTATTTTAATTAATGAGTAACAGAGGCACCTAAATAATTTACTTTAATAAAGACTTGCTGACTATTGATGAATTAGTTTTAAGACATTTCAAATTGAATTGCTAGATATGAGTGACAACTGAATACAGACTGTCTAGGATAAAATCTTTAATTCTAATTATAAACTTAAAATAAAGAATCAGAAAAAAAACATGTTATGAAGAGTAAATATTTGATAGAACTAACCTTCTGTAGGTAATTCTTCTCGTTTGGGGCAACCAGAAATACTGTTGGAAAAAAAAAACATGTATAAATTATTTACAGACTAAACTACTGAGTTCTCAAATATAGGAATATTTTGTACAATATGCATGCCCTCATGACTAAACTATCCGTACTACAAATAATGTGTACTATCAATATAAGTACCTAGCTAGAAATGCAACAATGATAGTCCTTGGTGTCTATGAAGTAGATATTTAGAAGAAAGCATGATTTCTGAAAATTACTAAATTCAAATTAATCAAAATTACCTTCTATGATGAGAGTAAAGACCTGTAGCATGACCAGATCCATCACATCCAGGTGTAGGACATTTCCTATCTGTAAAATCAAAAATAACTTTATTAACTATTATTCCATTAGCAGGAATGTAGTAAGCATACAAGACAAGAAAAGGAGGAAAATAAGAAAAAAAAGCTCTTAATTTGCCTTAAAAAATAATCAATGAAGAACTTACATTCAAATTGGATATCTTTACCACTATTACTATCATTACTATTTTCTCCACTTGATGTAGTTGGTGGGTTGGCTAATGCCTTTTGAAGATTAGCACTTCCACTCCATTCAGCAACAACAGTAAACTCAGCATCAACACCTTCTACTTTGGTTCCTTCAGGCATAGCTTCATCATCAACATCACTTAATTCTTTCTTCTCATCCTCATCATCAATATCTTCATCACTTTCTTCTTCATCTTTAATAGAGATTGCTTTTTCAAGAATTTTCGGGGTGTCTTCGGCATCAATGACTTCAATCTTAGGTTCCTTTTTAATTTTATCTATTGTAACCATGTCTTGATTGAGTTCTATGGGTTTGCTTGATTTGAAGTCTGAAGATTTGGAAACAACTTCATTCTTTTCACTCTTGTGTTTTTCATCCTGTGATTGTATAATGTCACACTGTTCTTGGATTTTTTGAAAAATGTCTTCACTTTCAGTTGAAATGTCTGAAGTCTTTTTGACTTCTGTCTCACAAACATTGTGTTCCTTTGGAACTTCCTTTAACAAAATAGGAGCACTTTGAATTTCAGGGGAATCTTTTGTTTCAGTCTGTAAAACTTTTGGAGTTTCTTCAGGCTCAGGAAGTGTTTCAATTGAAGCTATAGGAGCAACTGGGACAACCTGAATTTCAGAAGCATCCACTTCCTCAGTATCAGATAGCTCTTCTTTAATTTTTTCCACAATTCCATGTTTGGGAGTTTTATCACTTTGGACTTCCTGTGATTTATCGTCTGGTGTCTTTTCATTGGCAGACGTACACTCAAACACTTCAGTTTCTGCAGTGTAGGAAGTTTTTGTTTTAGATAATGGCAAGTCTTCACTAAAATCTCCAGATAAACTACGTAATCCTCTTTCAGCATCACGAAAACATTTCTCATCATCATCTAAATTATCCTCAGTGATTGGTTGAATTTCATATTTGATGTCAATTTCAAGTTTGACTTCTGGTTCCTTCGCTTTGGCATCTGGTTTCTTTCTCTTGGACGTTGGTTCAGATTTAAGTTCAGGAGATTCTTCTTTCTTGATTTTACGACCCTCTTTGGGAGAAACTTTATCTTTTAGTGTTTCGACATCTTTCTTTGTCTTCTTGTTGGTAGTTTTTTTGTTAGGTGGAGAGGGAGTGTCTGGTTCCTCTTCTTGCTTTCTTTTCTTTGCTGCTAATGGACATGTTGAAATTCTGAAGAAAAAAAAATGATTGCCATGGATAATTTTGATGTTAGAAAGTAGCTTTTCACGTTTGCGGAAAGTCTTGTTTGTCAACGATATCTTCTGTAAATCATATACTATGTAATGTAAGACTCACGTTCTGTGTCTGGTAAACTTTGATGTGATATGACCTTCACCTTTGCATCCTGGGTATGTACAACTGAAAGTGAAAGAAACATTCAAATAGGCTTTCATTATAATAATCAGATTACCAAAACAGCGAGCAGCTTTTAATCAAATGAGTCTCTATTTTCACTCTCTTGAATCCAATTCAACATACTTGTACATGAGTTACCAAATTTACAAGAGTATTCAACTCACCCTGATGTTACTTCTGGACTTTCTTGTACTTTCTTTGATCTTTTATTTTCTGGTTCAGCCTAAACAGATTTTATTTATTAAAAAAAATTAGTACAAAGAAAGAAATGAATTTAAGTGATGATGTGAACACAATCTCATAAAAGCACTGGCCTGGGTCACAAAGTAAACTGATATAAGCTGCTACAAACACTTCTGCTTGTTAAATTTTCATTGTTCAACAAGAAAATCAAATGTCATCCTGTGAACTATTAGGTCATGTTAACCTATGCATTCTTAATCAGGAAGTTGAAAGTGAATCATAGATTAAATTTTCTTACCTTGTCTGATTCTTTCCTTTCAGGAGCTGGAAAAAATAAGTTAAACTTTTCAATTTCATGTGGGCAGATAAAGAACTGAGAGTGCTGATCAATTAAGATTCATCAAACATAATACATGTACATTTTTTCCACAAATTATTTAAATATTTTCATCAATTGTCGTATACACTTTTTTGATCATACCTTTTCTCTTTACAGCAGCCATATTTCAATTGTTATCACGTAGTTATGTTAAAACATTATCTTCGTTACTTAGCTCCTGTAACACAAACAAAAAAAAGATTTAAGACCACAGTGACATACTGGGATTGGAATCCAGGGTAACAGATTCTTGAATCTAACTCTTACCGATTTATAGAAAAACAGAAATTCAAGAAAAAAAAATTCCCACCAATATTTTCAATTACTGTCAAATTATTAATTATCCTGTTGTTGGATATCATGTGTCAGCTAATCCCTGATTTATGTCTAGATGAAATTTAAGCTCTACAGTTTAATGTAAGTGATGTAAATTAGATTAGTGAATTAGCATATAAAAAGAAAACAATAATATAACATAAACCAAGAACTTTTTGGGAAAAAAAAGGAATATGTGTCCCCAAATTTATGCTTTTGAGACTAATTCACAAAATATGGTGCCCATGATTTCACAGTAGGCCTATTAATTTTTTCAAAAATAAAATGTAAATGAAAATGTCAAGTTAATGTTGAAGTAATGTATATCACATTAAATGTCTGCTTAAAATCAATATTTTGAAAGGAAAAGCTTTTTTTTTTAGAGAAAATTCAGACAGCACTACGTAAATTATATGTAATCTATTTTTGACTTATTCATTACATATATTCGTAATAATTCCTAAATTCAATAAATGTCTTTTCTTAGAACTATTTTCTACTACTATCAGCTCTGCCACAAACTCATATATATTTTGGTTACATTGAGCAATGAACACTGAGCATTGGATACAGCTTATGATACAGTGGACATGTATTTTTCAATTGATATGATTTGGCCAATATAGGTTATAAATGACAACAATCCATCAGTATCATTAGACTTGTCAGACAATATATCATTTAATCCCAATGTGACAGATGTTAGACCTTGGATACTTTTTCAGAAAACCCTTTTTGTGGTGATTTATAGATGTGACTTTTTACCACGAAATCTTTGGCAATGAAAAGACCATAATTTATCAGTAATGGGCTTTAAAGAAGATACTCTCTTATAGAAGCACTGGCCAAGATCACAAAAAATCTGTTATAGAGTAATAACGATGAAATTGAAAATATAAAACCAAATGAGAAATTACCACAAAATAAATTTTAAATGTACAACACTTTATACATTGAAAATGTTTCAAATTATGGACTACCTGTATTTAGAGCTATTTGATTAAATTGGGCTAATTATCAATTGCAGCTTGCAAACTCCCCTTTTTAAGTTCCATGAACTTTTAAAACATTGCATCTGAATCTTAGAAGCATTTGCAACATAATATTCACTTTAAAATGTCACTTTCCTACACATTGTCTAAGTGAAACTACAACATGGAAAAATAAGAAAAAAGAAATAATGGAAGTTTGAATCAATAACATGGCATCCCTTCCTCTGTCAACAAGTTAATAATAGACTTCTACAACTACGGAAATAGTAGAATCGCAGATCTATTCTATTTAGATAGATTCTATCCTATTAGATACCATAACCCCTTCATCCTATATTACATACCATAAAGACAGCAACACAAAGCAAAAATCTCTTCAGATCTTTATCTAGAACACTTTTTGAGAGAAAAGGTAGCAAAACACAAAGTTATCGAGAAACTTAAAAATCAATACTCTGACAGGCTGCCATTTTGAATTCTGATGCCAACTTTTCTTATGACCTTGGTAATTTCTGAAAGTGGGCCCTAATATACTTCAATAGACCCAACTCTACCCCTAAGTAATGTTTTAGAAGCCCAAAGATTACCTTTAAGCCTAAATCACAAACTTTTTCTTTGTATTGAATACTTTTATACAAACACAAATGTATAGTTGTTCAACCCAATCCGCTATGAAAATATTGATTTTTGTAGTAAGAAGTTCATAAATTATTCTAAAATGCCCCAAAATGGTAAAAAATTAACTTACATACAATTTCAAAGATTTTTTATCTCCTTTTAACAATGATCCTAATGAAGCAGACGTGAGAAAGTTTTGGAGGTAAAACTTTTGGTTGAGGTTAATTGAAAAAGTTTACTAGTGAGAATAAAGGAGACATCTGCCTTGCTATTGATTAATACATCTGGCACGCGACATAGCCATTATTATTAAGGCTTTGTTAGGTACAAGTATTTTCATTGGTTGATAGCTTGTGGATTAAAATTATTATCACCCATGTTGGCTCCCTGTCATTGTTGTGAACAGGTGGTTTTCTGTCCTAACAGTACAGTTACATATCACCTTAACACAAACTGCAAGGACACTTTGTACTTGATCAAATCATTCATTTATAATGTATGATAGTCAATGTAGAATATATAAAGTATAAAAGTTATGTTTTTAATGTATGATTTAAAAAGTATGATAGTTTATAGTAAACTGACCTTTGTACCTTTGTTTTAATTTTGCTATTAAGATAACAATGGTAATTTAGTATTTAAACAGATATCAATTATCGAATTTGATATTTGTGATGGACCATTATTGGCTGATGAAGCATTTTATTCTATTATATACAAGTAAAGAAACACTTGACTTGTCGAAACTGCCATTACATCACTCAAATAGAGGCCAAGTTAGGCAACTAGGTCTTAAAGGGACATGTTCGCCATCTGTTTGACCAATAGTACCGAAGTCTCAGAAACAGGAATTTTTTTTAGCTAAGCACGTATTAACAGCTCACTATTGCAATTGTGTCCAGAATTATCCACATTTAATGTTTATATCAGAAATTGTCATTTCTTGAGACTGTCATGTAGAAAAGACATAAGTATAGAATTAGAAAGTTAAATTCCTAGTTTTGAGGTATTTTTGAAGGAATTATGTGATTTTTACATTTGTATCTGACGTTTATTTTTCGATAAACTGTAGTTTATCACATGACAATATGGCTTATCATACATTTCTAAGCAAAACAATGACTAGATTTAACAAGCATAGTGAACATAAAAAGTTTAAGTAAACTTGCATAGTTTTGGGGTTAAAAAATTAACACTAACAGCTGGCTTTTTTTATTTAAAACTTTCAGATACGTAAACCTTTTATATAGCTTTGCTGTTATTAAAAGTATTTTTTGAAAATCAAAACTTCCAGAAAAGTTAAGAGATACATTTCTATTGAATTTGATGTATTGCTTTCATACATATTATCCAAATATTTTTCATTCTTAATCAGACCTTCTTAAATTTATCATCATAACTAATTTTTGAAGACATGATAACTGGCAAAGGTAACTTTTAGTCCATGTGGTCAGATCCCTTTCAATATCTAATCATAATAGAAGTATATTACAACTTACAAGTGATTTGTAACAATCAGATTTACACAGGAACAAATTCAATCATGCTAAAGACATTCAATTTCATTTGGCTTTCTTAAGTTGTTTTTTTTTTTTTTTTAAATATGCATTATTATGTAAACCACTATTATTCTACACATTACTCATACTTCGTGTTACTCGTGCCCACAATCAACGACCACATGTTTACTGTCATTTGGTTCCTATAACGTTCGATATTTAATTCTCTAACCAAAGTGCAACAATGTACAACTTTTGTTTGACAATGTCTCAATGCTTTCTTCAATCGATGATATAAACAAAACCTTACCAAATACTTTTCATGGGTCATATTTCCTGTTGATTTATTAGACAGTTCATCTCAAATTTATTTCAATCAGACCGTCTTCAAAACTTATCCATCCCATAATTTCTTATACGCAACTATCGCGTGTAATGCAAATGGCGGGAAATATAAATTTGGGTTGTCGATAAATATCCCCATAATTATGTTCTTACCTGGACGTATTAATATCAGTCTTCTTGATGTACAGAAATGGCCTATACCATGAAACTATGGTTGAGTTCAATAAATAGTCGCAGAATGACATCAGGTCTTTGTAATGATTAATTAGATAGGTATAAGCCACAGGCTACCAAACTGAGAGGAGATACCTTTGCAAATACATACCGCAATGTTACTTTATATTACATTATTATAGAAATTCAAAAGCCAGTTCAACGTTACTTTAACATTGTGACGGCATTTCCATAAACCATTTCCATTAAAAGCAAAAAACTTGCCAGTTCAGCAAAATGCAAATTAGAAAACATTTGTCAGACTGTATATAATGGGCATTGAAGGTCTTCCAAAATGCAAAGGTTCAATCAGATCATCATATTATGTTCTACTGAGAGATCCATTCCACACATGGAAAGTACTTTGCAATTGATGAAGTTGTTTTGTAATAAAATTTGAATCTATACAGTTAAATTTTTATTTGTATACACATACATGTTAATAAATTATAGTCAAGCAATGATATTTAAGACATATCTAGGCGCCATTCAAAAAACACATCCAGTCCACTTTAGGTAGTAATCAACACATTGTAAGTTTTCTTGTATAGTTTCAATAATTATTCATTCTACCTGCTGATTCTACCTGTGAACTGCTAGTGTATATATTTTGAATTCTGGCTTATCACAAATATCTTTGTCAGGCAATACAGTAACAGAAACAGTTGGTTATAAATAACAACAAAATTTGATAATAAATACAATCTGGATATAGGAATAAATTTGGTCCCATCACATTGATAAAGTATTAATTTTCTCACTTCCTTATAGTTTTAATTGAGTGTCTCTTGTCTAGAATGCCATGCAGTGCTATAAATTCTTCATCCATTAGTAATTTGCAAAAAAAAAATATTCAAAAAGTTAACAGTATCAAACAGTTTTGAGCGCATTTTCTAATTTATTTATCATTCTCATTAAAACTAGTCTGAACTTTAAATCCCACATAGACCATCAAACTTAAACAAAGTTCTAAATATCTTAAACCGAGCCCTCAAGGTCCTCATGGTTGCAATTCAAGTCAGTTTTGACTATTGATCTAGTATTGATACCAATTCAGATCTCTTTGTGTTCAAGATTTTAATATAATATTGCACATGATAATCTAAAGAAGTATTTTATATTTTTCTGCTCTTGGGACTCTGTTAACTACCAAGCGACCATCATAACTTAAAGAAGCAAACACCCAAGGATCAGCTGTTGACCAATCCACGGCATAAACACTGTCTTCATGTTCTTCATAGGTAGCTATTACACCATCTGTTTGTGGTTCTCTAGACCTGAAATAAAATATTTACAACATTTAGAATTTTTATTAATAATATTGTTATTTTGATTTAACTTTATAAAGAACTGTACAGCTGATGTTCCAATTGAAAGGGATGTATGGATGTAGCAAGTGTCAAAGGACATTAAGTGGTCTAGAAGGCTGAGAGTTTAAGTAACAACTGCTGGTTTGTCAAGTCATGTCTTTGCTAAAGTGTTGCTATATCTTTAGTGAATTTAATACACTACATGAATGATTTTGCTATTAGTGTTCACTGGACTGTACAGTCAAGATTGTCTGTGGTTAAACAGTAGTGATAGGTAAATTTGAATGAAGTTTGAATGTTGACACAGATGAACAACCATATATGACAGCTGTGGGAAATTTCAATGATACAATGAAAGAGGTTGAGAGTTAACTCTTGAAGGGAATGGCATCAGCTATTTCTCCATCTTGACGGTCATATTTCTTACTTTTCTGGGAGGCTTTCATCATCATGTACACTGTCATCATCATCTTCATCATCTTTCTCAGCCAAGTCACCAAATGGTTCTGATGATAATGATGAAATATTGTTTAATATGACTCGACTATCACTACTAGATGTTAAAACTAATTGATCATGAAAATGATTATAACGAACTGACCAAACCCTACAAAATATAAAGTATACCAACATTTTATGCTAAATTTGCTCTCCATAATTGACCTTAATCGGAAGGAAATTCAACATGAATTTTAGATAAGAGCCATTGTCATATGCAACAGTTAGAATTTTATAATATTTAACAATTTGTAACTGATCAGCCCGAACATTATGACGATATTCCATGAAAGCAGCATTCAACAGTTTTCATTTTCTTATAGCACACATAACTGACAAAAATCAACAGAGATCTAATCCCAATCAGCAAAAAGAAAACCTATGGACTCCTTGGGCAAGTACAGATCCCAAAAGGTTCCATCATCCTTACCAATGTGAATGTTCTGATAATGTTTTCAGTGGTTCACCAACATTTCTTGTATCCCAGAATCTAACTCTACAATCATCACCACAACTAACTAAATAATATTGTTTATTAGGATTAAAATCTATATCTCTTACTAGCTGACCATGGGCATTTTCTATAGTATAGGTTTGTCTGAAAAATATTAAATATAATATAAACGTTAATATCAATTAAAACTTCCATGAAAGGTTTCATCAAAGTCTTGATTAACTTGATTGCATGAAAAGTATAAAAGGTTGTTTTTGGTAAGAACAGGTTTAAAATTTATTCAAAATTACTTACTCCATAGATCTGAGATCCCAACCTCTAATATATGTATCATTAGCAGTGGCAATTTGAGCACAATTATGGTGGGGATTCCATCTACCACAAGTTAATTTTGGTTGAGATTTACCAGCGATCAAAGGTGTTGCATTTAACATCTACAATAGTCAATAATACATTTACACAATGCATCATAGCTCTGTTGTATACTAAATCCATTCAATATAAGGAGATAATGAGATGTGTAGGTATATTATATTCATTAAGAATCTATAATACGTGTATACCTCATACACAATATTGAAATTGAAAAATATCCTTAAACTATTGTGTAAGTACAAACAGATCTTCAGAATGATGCTAACAATAAACAGTTTTAGTAGCCACTTTCGTCAAACTGAACAAGAAATCTACAAAAAAATAAATTTGAGCCCTTAAAAAAGGAATCATACTGTGTAAACATTAGAGTGCTAACCTTGGCAGTAGAAGAAGCTGTATCTATACTGTATTGTATTATATGACTGTCAGTTAGAGCAACAATATTCTCACTCTCACCAATAGGATGCCATAATACACTGTAAAATATAAACTAAATTTCAAATCTATTTTATTTTTTTCAAAATTATTGAATAAGGAATTTTGCTTTTGAATTTTTAAAAATCCTAAAGAATAGAAAGTTATTTTTGGATGGCCTAAAAAGAATCTTCTTTGAACTTATATTCAATCACATAGACCAAATAGTCTAAATGTTATAACCTATGTAGGGGCAGAAGGGGATGATGTTGTTACTGAATCGACAAAAACAAGAAATAGTGAGGCAGTTTTGCACATTCATGTGACATCTGCCAAGGTAATATTTTTTTTAAAGGAGCCAAAAGATTTCGCATTCTCATCAATTTAAAGCAATTGCTACATGGCCAGATGAATGGTCGGTTTATTAAGTGCCCATGTATGGGTAAGTAGCTTGTAAGGTTTGTATTGAAGAATTCATACCTTTTTAAATCTCCACAATCCTCCCTGTCTAAATGACATAATAATTCTAATGGTTGATGAGATGTAGACTGATCATCTGATGATACATTATCAAAATCATCAGGCAATTTCCAAATAGCACCACATATTTCAGATTTCGAATCACTAGCTGAAACATACAGATTTATAGACATTCATCAATAATGCATCCTATGTTAAGGACCTCACTAAAAGGGTTTCTGTAAAGAAATGTCATATTTCATATACCATATTTTGTGAATATATGCACCCCTTCTTAGCCACAGGTAATCTGGAAAACCTTGTCATATGAAAGTAAGTATGATATCCATAGCATGTGAATAATAGGAAATTAACTCTCAATGGTCGTATATGTAATCGAAGTAGTTCATATTTTAAAGGAATGCTTCAAATGTGAAAGTCCTTTTGAATACCTCCATTTTAAATTTACCATCACTAGAATTTTCTCTGATCAAGACAAATTAGTTTACATTCTCAAAGGCAACAAAGGTATTTTTGTTCAAATGATTGCACATAGTTTCCCTTTAACTTTTCTTCAATATTACTTTGGTTTTTCATATAATACAAAACTTACTTTTATTATAACATGTTGCCACTAAAGACTTGTCAAATGTTGAAGCACTCATATGCCATATTTCTCCTTCTCTATGTAGATAAATATTTTTATTAATCAAATTATTTTCATCATCAAAGTCTATGTGATGTACCTGTAATAAAGGATAAAAAATCTTTGGGAGAAGAAAATACAAAAGATTTTGAGAACAACTTGGTAATTGGTTTTATATTTTTGCAAACATATCAGTATCAATACCAGAACATTTTCAAGTAGATATTTTACACAAAACTTTATAATTACCATACTTTACCAACCTGATTTTCTGCCCTCAGTGACTGAGTGCCAACTAAAAATCTAATGTGCTCTGTTTCTGCTGCCTGTGCAGTGAGACATCTAGCCTGAAAGTGAAAGAAAAAAATTATTTTGTCATTTTGGCATTGGACATTAATGGTATGACAGAACTACAAAAATATCTGCATCCATCAAGGTAAATAGATACGTTTAAAATATCTCCTCAAAACAGGGCCAGTTTTTTCTGGCCCTACTCCAGCTGACAGCAATTCTGTCAAAGTAGCTATCAGAGACTGGAATTCGGACTACACCAGTAAAACATTTTTCTGACTAGAGAAACCTACTTTATAGATATCTAGCTTGACAATCATGCATACAATATTACCTGAAATTCCAAGCCATAGATGACAGGGGCTTCGTCATCCATCAATCAAAATGATAGGCTGTGAATATTCTTCTTTGAAACAGCGCAACCGAAAATATTCTCCAAAATTTTACAATTTTGTATTTTGCCTTGAGTTACCTTCCCTTGGTGGTTGTACTTGTTTTAAAGTCACGTAAAGAATCTGCTACAAAAGAGTTTTCATTGTGTGATTCATCGACACAAAAACTGTTCTTAATCTTCATCAAAACATCAGTTTTTTTTAACTTTCACCTTGAATAAGGTCTCTCTTCATTAGTCTTCTGAATCTAAATTTGTCATGTGTCAGTTTTCGCAATAAACGTTCAGCTAAACAAGTTAGCCATCAACAAAGATGGCAGTATATTTAGTCAAGAGCGGTATATTTGAAAACAATTTTGGCATAGATATCCCTTAAAAGATAAATTAATCATGCATAATGTGTTTTAAAACTGAATTGTGTCATTCACAAGAAAGCCTATTCAAATCATTGGTATTAAGACTACACAAGCTTGTTCAGATAAGAAAAAGGAAAGCATCTTTCGTCGGATGTAATTTGTAAGTTAAATGTAAGCATTGTTAGCCTTGTAAATCTCTCAGATTGTATAATAAATGGCTACATCCTGTGTAGGTTAAAGAGATTGTAAAAAGGCTTTCTAAAAAAAATGTTTTATCACATTATAATAAAGGCTCTTAGTGACGTCATCACATTATAGTTTAATTGAAATTGCTGGACCAACAGACGTCTGATTAAGAATCGGAATGGTGCAAGTTGATATTATCAGCCTGATAAAAATTTAGAAATCCTTTTAAAGATACTTAAACAGTTGGAAATAAAAAAAAAGAGTATGCTAATGCTACAGTTTTGGCAAAATTTCTCTCAGTGTATACTGTTTGGCATTGCAAGTCTCCAGTCATAAGACCAATTAGGTGCAGAACCTGAGTAGGACGTAAAACTCCTTTCATTTGATTTCTGAACACTTTAGGCCTAATGCCTAGATGTTTCAATAATTCCACGCAAAATTTAAAAGAAAGATTATTATTGGCAATCGGTTCTGAAAAGAATATGATTGACTGTGAGTCAGTCCAATCGTTAAGTTATTCAATTCAAATGCATGTCTAGTAAGCATCTCACAAGTAATTATACTATTACATAACTTAAAAAGTGAATAAAATACTTTTTTTTCACACTGCTTTAGTAAATATGGTACTGTAGATATATGAAAATCAGGATGGAATCAATACAAATAAAAGTAGATGATAAACCCATTGGTAAGAGTTATCTGATGCTTTCATGTGAAAGCTGTATACTTTTAATTAATCATTAGTAGAATGAATGATTGAGTTTTGATCTATATTCATGCTTTAGATTTTAGAAATTTCTGTAATCGAAAGCTTTATAGAATGCATTGACAATTTCAGTAATTTGGAAAAGTCTTTGATAACATGATATTACTGAAAATTTCAAAAGGCAAAAGCCTGATCCCTTGTTTTATCTTTATGTGTAACATAGTATGTGAATGAAATATTACCTACAAGAGCAATGTGTGTCATCTTAAGGCACGATTAGGATAACAAAATTTCAGAAATTTGGATCAATGTTATCATGTTATTTCTATTTACATAAACTGTTTTATGAATGTTTACATTGTAGATATTGAATCTAGATTAGATTTAAGATCATGGGGACTTCCTGAACCAGTATTGAAGCACTATGCTAAAGTTGGTGTCACTAAAATGTTTGAATGGCAGGCTGAATGTCTGTGTACTGTTGGAGTGTTAGGTATGAATTTCACAAAGAATATATTAAAACATTATTCTTCTATATATATACATTTTTCATCTTAAAACCTCACAAAGCAACATCTTTATATATTGTGTTAATCTTTGGGATCATCTGAACAAAATTCCTCACAATTTCACAAATCCTTATTCATGATGGAAAATTGGTTACAAATTCTGTAATGTAAACCTATACAAATTTAAAAGCTAGAGTACTTAGTCTATGAACTATATGATTATTTGTGTAAATTCTAGGTGGATCTAATTTGGTATATTCAGCTCCGACTAGTGCTGGTAAAACTATGGTAGCTGAACTATTAATATTAAAACAAGTCTTAGAAAATAAAAGGAAAGCACTATTTATTTTACCATTTGTATCAGTTGCTAGAGAAAAGATGTTTTCCTTACAGGTAAGTTCAAAATGACAATAATTTGTTTGCCTTTAAATATTTGTCGTGGCTTTCTGATAGCTGAACATTCAGATGTTTTTGTCAAATATTGTATCACATTAGTGTAATGATAGTATCGTCAGCAGAAAATAATTATTAATTGCATCAAGGACATCTAAGTTCATCCTTATACCAAGAACTTCATGATATAATAAGCCAGCAATATTTGTCAAGTGTTCTCAGTTGTAACATTGGAAAGGTCAGTGATAGTAGTGACCAGGATTGTATTTGTAGAAACTATATCAAGATGCTGGTATACGTGTGAGTGGTTTTATGGGTAGTTATAATCCACCAGGAGGCTTCAGTAATATAGATGTTGCTGTGTGTACTATAGAGAAAGGCAACAGTTTGATTAACAGATTATTACAAGAAGATAGACTCAAAGAACTTGGTAACGATTCTTCCATGTACATCATTATCCTAGTTGTTCTTCAGACAGCAAAGGATTAATAGTAGCATTCCAGTCATCTGAAAATCACTAAAATATATTTTGAATTTAGTTTTAGTATCCAATCGGACTTCAGTATTCTTTGGTTCGAGAATAAGGCCCCTGTCATAGATGCTCAGTAGAGCTCTCTATTGAATTCTCTAACCTTTGTCCACCATGGTTTCGATCAATCTGATTCTATAAAGGATCAAAGGCCTTGTTCAAATTTAGTTCATATCAATTACTGTTTACAGGAACAATAGTAATAGATGAATTACATATGGTAGGTGATTCTGGTAGAGGTTATTTACTAGAGCTATTATTAACTAAAATATGTTATGTTGCTAAAAAGAGAAAAGAAGAGAGCAAAGGGTGAGTTTTAATAAAAGGGACTGTTATATATGCAGATCATGAATGATTATCTAGTTTTGTTAATCAATGAGATAAGATGATGAATGTAACCCTGTTCTTATACTTCTGGTGTACCTTTTATAGCCTGGCAAATCTGACCCTACCCAGAGGGACTCTCATAAATAGTCTGGCCCTAAACAGGCCGATATCTCATCTGTGTTCTCGTCCAAGGAATGAGTAGGGTCAGATTTAATAAACTGAATCAAAATGCATTTGTAATTTCAGTGCAGAAAACGTTCAAGAAAAACCAGTTCAAATTATTGGCATGAGTGCCACTTTACCGAATTTACCCCTACTAGCCAAATGGTTGAATGCCGAGTTGTATGTAACTAACTACCGACCAGTACCGTTAGCAGAATGTGTTAAAGTAGGTCAAACAGTGTATGATAATAATCTAGAGAAGAAATTTGAAGTAAATAAAGACTATATAGTACCTGGTGATGATGAACATTTAATACCATTGTCATTACAAACAGTACTCAACTGTCATTCTGTCCTCATATTCTGTCCAACAAGAAGCTGGTGTGAAAAACTATGTGAAACTATTGCTAGAGAATTCTATAATATCAAGCGATGCTATCTTAGTCAAGAAGCTAAAGGTTTGTATTTCATTTTGTATGTCACCAAAATATAGTTTAAATTTTGAATGTGTAATTAAAGCTATAAGTCAAAAATTCCTGTATCATATTGCCGTGGTTGTCTTCAAAAACCAAAAATGATCTTTCATGTAAAATATTTATGTTATGTATCAAATGTTTTTTCTTGTAGGTGCACCGAATATGTCTGATTTTCTCCTCTTACCATTGGATTATAATGCATTAAATGATGTGCGTGAACAACTACAGAGAACTCCTACAGGGTTAGATAATATACTTGGTAAAACAGTACCTTATGGTGTGGCTTACCATCATGCTGGTTAGTATACTAAATAAGTCTCCTTGACTAAATATATGTCCTTATCAGTCATAGCTGTCTCATAATATTCTGTTGTGAGGAAAGAATATCAAACAATTAAAAAAATTTGAATTTTAAAATCATTGTTTTATTTGTTCATTACAAAAGCAGAACAATATAATAATTATTCGCAAAACAATGGATTAGTGTATCTTTGCCAGTTCAATTTTTTTTTTTTTTTCTGTGTAGGATTAACCTTTGAAGAAAGAGATATAATAGAAGGTGCGTTCAGACAATGTCAAATAAAAGTGCTAGTTGCTACATCTACCTTGTCGTCTGGTGTCAACCTTCCAGCCAGGAGAGTTATTATACGTACACCTATATTTCATGGTCAAGTTATTGATACTCTGGTCTATAAACAGATGGTAGGAAGAGCTGGTAGAAAAGGTGTCGACACAGAAGGTAAGAATAATTCTTAACCGACATTTAGGGACAAGTATTATTGTATACCACTCCTGGGTATATATATATTCCTACATTTTAATACTTCCTCATTTCATCGGATGATGACAATGGAATTGTAGAAGCATTTGAACCCTCTTTCGCTTTGCGCTATCCAAGAATTTGTCCTTGTAATCTAGAAGTTGGTTCTACATGAGACACTTTGATAAAGCATTAAAATGAGCCTCTGATAGATAACTTGTTAAAAAGATGAAAAATAAAAAAGAAACGTAATTTTAATAAGAACATATTTTTATCATAGTTAATTCTAGCATCATATTTGTAGGTGAAAGTATATTGATATGTAAAGAATCAGAAAAGAAGAAAGTATTAGGATTATTAGAAACTAAACTACCACCTGTTTCAAGTTGTTTAATAAAAGATAATGAATTAAGTACAAGTTTTAAGCGAGCTGTTCTCGAGGTAAACGTTGATGAATAACATTTAAAAAAAAAATACTTCACGTAGAAATAGGAAACAGTTCGTATTTCATCAGATTTCAGTGGAGCCATCCAAGCTTCCTGGCGTCTCTTTGGAGATGTCAGAGGGCACTAGTCATGGTGGAGGGTCAGGGGGCCTCTGAGAATACAGCCAGGGAATACATCTAAAACGATTTTGGAAGTGAAAGTAGAATAGATTTTTCGTTTTTCATGGTCCATATATATTTAATATTTTGTTTTAAATTAGGTTGTAGCTAGTGGAGTAGCTCAGTCACCTAATGATGTAGGAGAGTATGTAGCTTGTACTATGTTATCAGCTTCACTGGAGAATGGTCCTTCAGAAACAACCTCCACTCTTATAGATAGCTGTTTAGATTTTTTACAGGATAATGAATTTGTTACTCTCAAGAAAAATACTGAAGGTAAACATGACCAAACACATGATCAAATTATTATTACAGAAACAAATTTTGAAGTGAGCTGTGATCGCCATTACTTAGCTAAAAAAAAATTCCTGTTTCTGAGAAAAAGGTACAATTGGTCAAACGGATAGCCAAAGAAATTAGAAAAACAGTAACAAATGCAGCTATCCTGGTTAACTTTCCTCATTGGAAACTGCATTTCATTTCAATTCTCTATTTTTAAAATCTCAGGTGAAGATAGATTTATTCCTAGTCAACTAGGTATAGCTGTATTAGCATCAGCTCTATCACCAGATGAAGGTTTAGTGGTTTTTGCTGATTTACAGAAAGCTAGAAAATGTTTTGTGTTAGAAAGTGAATTACATGTCATATTTTTGGTAAGTAAACACTTGAATAGTTTCATGTACTAAAACTTCACATTTCGAATGTATTTTTAGTCTAATGAAGCTTGACCTTATTGTACATAGGCTTGTACAGTACATGTAGTTGCGTTGCCATTGTCATATATATACACAATTTAAATGTATTTTAGGTAACACCAATTTATTCCCAAGAAATAGCAGGTAATATAGACTGGTACCAGTTTTATGGTATGTGGGAGAACATGGCGCCAGATATGAGAAGAGTAGCAGAATTAGTTGGTGTGGAAGAATCATTTATTTGTAGAGCTATTCGAGGAAGAATTTTGACCAAAACAACCCAACAGATGCGAGCTGTGGCCATTCATAAACGATTCTATACAGCTCTGGTACTTCATGAACTAGTAAATGAAAAACCTTTGAATGATATTATTAAGAAGTACCATTGTAATAAAGGACAGTTGTCTTCTCTGCAACAGACTGCAGCTACATTTGCAGGTTAGTGAAATTAATTGCTTTTAAAAAGAGAGTGATAGAAAAGGTAGAGCATTATAACAAGATGCCTGGATCCACTTTCTCAAAAAATCTTACTATTAACGTGGTCATAAAGCATTTTACAATGTATGATCCCACACAACTGCTTATTGTGATTTTCTTAAGAAATGAGGCACTGATGTTCTGCCAAAATGACTGCCAGTATGTCTGAAAATTAACTCCTATATAGTGTCTTGGAGATGTTTATCACACCAATCTGCCCCTGAGTTATAACACTCCCATTTATATCTTCAGGAATGGTCACAGTATTTTGTGGTAAACTAGGCTGGCATAATTTAGAATTAATACTTGGACAGTTCCAAAATAGATTAACATTCGGTGTTCAGCGTGAACTGTGTGATTTAGTTCGTATAACAGCTCTTAATGCTCAACGTGCTAGATGTTTATATAATGATGGATATCAAACTGTAGCTTCCTTAGCCAATGCTGATCCCAACTCGGTGGAAAATGCCTTCTTACAATCAATGGCTTTTCAAAGGTAATGGTTGATTTTTATTTAATGAGCAGAAAAAGTGATCATTTTGGGGCTAAAGGAAATTCATGTGTGTATTAAAATTGTCAACAAAAAAAGATGCTCCTTTGATACTGTCTTAAATTAAGGCTGCTGTATTGGCCAAATTTCCGTCATTGGATACTTTATCCTGTTGCCCAAACAATTAACGAGCAGGAGATGATATTGAATTTAATTTCTTATTTTCTGATTGTAAACAATGTATTCCTATTATTTCAGTAATAAAACTCAAGAAGGAGAGAGTGAATGGGAAGCTGAAAAACGTAGACAGTGTCGCTGTATATATTTAGGAGGTAGGAAAGCTGTGACTATTATGGAAGCAGCCATGACAGTTGTTGATGAAGCTAAAACTATCATTCAAGAAGAACTTGGAGGTGTAGGAATACAATGGGCTGGACCGAGCAATGCACTGAATATAACTTCAAACAAAGTGAATCAAAGTTTCAGCTTCATCACACCAACAGGCAGAGCAAGATCTTCAAAAAAGAAGGCAGAATCAAGTAGTGGTAAAAAGGGAAGAAAGGGACGACGAAAGAAAAATTTAATTACATCTCCTTCTTCCCAAGATGATAAAGATGTGATTAAGAAAATAGTGTTGAGTCCGCCAGAATCTTACATACGATCTCGAAACAGTTCTTTTAATACATCAGCACTTTCTGACTCTAGTCTGTTTAATTCCAGTCGCCTTGATGATTCTATCGGTTTGCTGGGAAATAAAAGAACTCCAAATAATTCTGTTTTGCATACTAATGCAACAAAAATTCTTAATCTTCCAAAATTAGTAGGTAAACTGGAGTGTTTGGCAGTCAATCAGAAGATTGTCAGTTCAAAAGATGATATGAAAAATACAGTGTCAAATCAAGGCGAAAAAACCAAATCTGCTAATTATTCTTTCAAACATCCCAAAAGTATTGAAAATAAACTTGATCTCAATGATGAAGGGAGTAAGCCACAGATAACTGGTGGACCTGGGAAAGTACCAAGTAGCATTCAGTTTGAAAAGATCCAAGCATCAAACAGCAATCACTTGTCAAACACTAATCAAGCAAATACTAATCAAACAAACACTGATCAAGCATCAGACAGCAATCAGGTGTCAAACACTAATCAAGCAAATACTAATCAAACAAACACTGATCAAGCATCAGACAGCAATCAGGCGTCAAAAAGCCATCAAGGATCAAACAACAACAATCAAGTGTCAAACAGCAATCAAGTTTCAAACAGCAAACAAGTGTCAAACACTAATCGAGTGCCAAACAGCAGTCAAGTGTCAAACAGCAAACAAGCAACAAACAGTAATCAAATGTCAAACATTAAGCAAGCAGCGAACAGTTATCAAAGCCATCGACATACAAATGTGCCAAAAAGTGATCAAACTTATGTTAGCAAATTAAGGAATCAATCTGGTTCTGTTTCATCAGGAAATAAAGAAAACACCCTTCAAAACCAGCAGGAGAAATCCAATTTAGTATGCAAATCTTCAGAAGTGACTCAAATTGCAGGGAATAAATTACCAGTCCAATGCAAGTCCAATATAAAAAGTCCAGCATCTTCAAAGCAATCAAATGTGAAAATGAAAGATCAATCAAAACATTTGGTCTCAGAAAAAGAAAATCAAACACCACCAGAAATTTGCAATCAAAAGTCAGTGGTCAATCAAATTATGTCCCCTGATTTATACACTAACGACATGTCTCTCAACGAATCTGATCTTAATATGTTGGACTTAAATATGTCAGAGGTTGATAAACCTCAGGAGATCCAATCAAACGTTACAACCAAAATCAAAATAACTGAAATTTCAGTTGAAGAGAGTTTATTCAATGAATCAAATGCCCCTCTAGAGAGTAGAAATGCTTCTTTAGTGGCAAGTGAATATGAAAGAGCAAATGCCTACAATGAAGGTGCTAATATGGATGAGTCATTATTTAAAAATGAAAATTCATTCTTAAACCTTCATCTTTCAAACCCCACCCAGAGTGGTGCCATTCCTGCCAGCAAACGTGAATCTCTTTCAATCTCCAAAATTCAGGAAGGCATGGATATGATAATGAATGACGATTCATTTGACATTTCTGTTTCTCATGTTAAACCTGACAATGCTTTAATACATTCCAAACAATTGATCTATGAATTGAACAATAAGCCAGTCGTGAATGCTCTAACACCAAAAATACAAAACAAAATTCAGCAGAAGGCTGGAAATATCACTCCTATAGCTGAAAGTGCAATTCATTTTAAAAGCACAAGTACTCCTAATTTTCTAGATAGTGTTGATAATGCTAAAAAGTTCAGTGCTCCAAATTTAGATGTTCCGTTTTTAAGAAGTTTAAATTCCCCTTGTGTGGTTAACCATCAACAGGAACATAATACATCTGTGAATGATTTAGGAGACTCTTTAACATTCTCAATGATTGAAAAAGTTCTGGAATCTGATGGAAAAACGCACAATAAAAGTGGACCTGATTTAGAATGTGAAATCTATTCTACACCCAGACGTCAAATTCAATCTGGCAGAAATTTACGGAAAAGACGAAGTCAAGACAAACCACATACGCGAAAGAGCAAAATGCGTAAGAATGATAATACTAACAGTTCTATGAGTGATAGCTCAATTCATAATGCTAGTAGTGAGAGTGATGTGGTACCTCCAACCCCACCTGATCAAAAATCATTAGTTATGTCCCCTTGTTTAAGGAAGTCTCTTAGAAAAAGCCATTTAGAATCACCTCATAAGGCACAAAAGGAAAGGACACCTGTTTCTAAGAGAAAACAATCTCAGAATTCATCCATGATCAAAGAAAATCACTTTTTAAGGTCGTCTGCCGCTAACAATGGAAGGAAACCTGAAGTTACTGAGCATGACAATGCATACTGTGGTGGTGACATTAGCCTTGATGTATCCAAAACAACACAAACTCAACAATATTTCAGTATTATAGATGTTTGCTCAAGTTATGCCTTATTTCAAACTTTCATTAAAGAATGGAAGACAAAAAAACGGTTTTCCTTATGTGTGGCTTGTGAGCCGAAACCGAAGAAATCTATTACTACTGGTTTGATTGGACAAAATTTTCACAATCATAAAGGATCAAGTAAGTATTGATTAACTGTGATAAAATTTGATTCAATTCAACCAACGATTTAGATATCGTGGTGAGTGCTTAAAAAATGGTCTTTGCTGCCATGGACTCAGAAGTGGAAAAAGAGACTACTTCTCTAAACAGATGATCTGTGCCCCTGAGGTAGATCAAAATTTTTCTTTTGCCATCATATTGTAGAAATGAAGAATGAAGTGATATTCTGTTTGTAGGTAAAGAGGAAGAGTTAGATATGAGTATAAGAGGTGAAGATATAGATAATGATGATAGATTAGTTGTTGGTTTAGCTGTATCATGGGAAAACAGAGATGTTTATTATATAGCTTTATCAAAATCTAATTTAACAGGTAAATTACTAAGTTTTAACATTCATTTATACCTTCTACTACTCACATTGGTTAGTATATGACATAAATTGATAAAGCAGACTAGGTAGTTGATGGTAGTGGTGGTAGTTGGTAGTAGGAGCTTGATGGGTTCTTTGGTACTGTTGATTTGGTAGTTGAGGAATCTTCAGATCTGGTGATGTGCCTTAAACTCTGCCCTTGGTAGTATGGTATGAGTGGCATTCTTCCAAAACTCATTAGGATCATGGGAATTATTTTTGGATGGTATGCATTGATTTGTTTGCACCAAAGAACCATTCAAGCCAATTTATACTAATTTGGAAATCAACGATCTGTTGTGAATGGTTATCATTGAGACACATAGCATTCAGAGTTACAGAATAGTGTTCAATTTCCTTTTTCAGAAGACCCAAATGATACCCTGCTAGCTTTTTCATTGGATCAAAACATTTCATTACAAGATAAACTAAAAGCTGTAAAAGATGTTATGGATAATCCTGACTCCACCTGGGTAGCCTTTGATATCAAGTCTCAATTCAGTGTTATCGTGCGAGGATGTGGTGTAGTACCAAAAACAAAACTTGAAGATCCGAAAATTGGTAACTGGTTATTTGATCCTGATGCTAAGGAGAAAAATCTACATGGTTTAGTAACAAATTCACTACCTCAAGATGTGATCTTACTGGAAAGTAAGTTATTTGTTTTCTTTGTTCATGGTCATACCATATAATTGCAAATATAATCCACACCCCTTCTTAATCTCCAAATTGAAAAATATGTACTATTACTATTTTTTTGTATTAAAATGGATGATTTTCATCAGTTATTGAAATAAAGAATGTTTATTGAAGGTATTGGAGGTTGTAGTGGTACTGGAAGTCTAGGACTACTGCCACATACTTCAATCACAGGTCGATTCCGAGCCAGTACAGAAAGTGTTCTAGCTATCAAGCTAATGGATTATTTTAAAGAAAAGCTGAAATCTGAAAATTTACTTGGAACATTCCAAGATGTTGAGATGCCTTCAATAATTACCCTCACTAGAATGGAACTCAATGGTTTTGGTAAGCCATTTTTTGTTTTTTTGATTTAAACATTGCGAAAGCTGAAAGGGTTTGAAAAGAGACACTAGTCTGTCTATAAAAAAAAACAAACGCTCAATGTGGATTTGATTAGAACAAATCCAACCAAGTTAACATAGATAAAGAGTTCATGTACCCTAGGTTTAAGTTTATCAGTCGAAGATCCTTGCCATCTTGTGGACATCCTTTTGATGAAAATATTGTATTTTGTAGGTTTTAGTGATGAAGAGTGTGAACATCAAAAGAAATTAATGTCAGCTAAATTATCTCAATTAGAATCTGATGCCTATAAATTAGCTGGTCATCCATTTTCTTTAACATCTACAGACGACATAGCTCAGGTTCGCATATAGTTGCCTTTGTAACAACGGAATGTCACAAGCAAATTTCAGTGGCTTGGATAGCAGGCATTGCAAGGGCACAATTCTAGATTCTTTCCCCAAGCTACCCCTTTTTATAAAGAGAGACAGGGCAGTTGCTCCTGTGAAACTTGTGCCAATTGGTAAAAATTTAAGATTCTGGACAAAAATTAAGGGTAATGATATAAGAAATATTGCAGCAAGCAAAAGGGGAAAATTTCAAAAAATTTTTGATTCTTGATAAGACTTGCTGGTAAAATGTTCTTGAGCCTACCTGAATGATGTCTATAAATACTTTTAATCATTTCAGGTTTTGTATTTAGAGCTTCATCTTCCCGTAAATGGGGACCCAAATGCTCAACAGATCAAAACACTCGGACCAAATAGAAGATCTGTCAAACGGCGTGCCAAACCTCAATACAGCACAGCTAAAGATGTCTTAGAAAAGCTGAAGACATATCATGCACTTCCAGGAGTGATATTAGAATGGCGCCGAATATCAATGACTCTAACTAAACAAGTGTTTCCCTTACAAAGAGAGAGGATATATTGTGAACGAGTATTGATGAATAGAATATTTGGTGTCTGTCAGTTCCATACATCAACTGGTCGAGTCAGTATGAGAGAACCTAACATACAAAACATTCCCAAAGATTTTCAGATTGATGTTCCTGGTAAGTAAATCTTTTCTGTAGAAAAGTCAAATGACTTGGGTCATAAAGAATAATTAAATTGTAGTCCCATGTTCTAGAATATGTGCATATTCCTTGAATTGAAATTGAAAATTATTTTGATCTGTTTTAGACGCTCTTGTAGAGAATGGAAGGAAAAACAGTAGTATAAAGGAACAAGTTGCTGTTAGTATGAGACATACTTTTACACCATATAAAGGTAAATAAACAGTTACCATAGAAGCAAAAAATGATCATGTCACAGAACTCCCCAAAAAAACATTTTTTATGTTAATTGTTTATGAGCCTGCTAAAGATTATGGTGTTTACTTACAGTATCTGTATGTACTGTATATTTTCTAATATAATGCGCAAGCATGTATAATGCGCACCCCTTATTACCCTTCAGTGTATCTGGGTAAAATCTCTGTCACTGTAAATAGTGCGTCCTCCATCCTGACGAATGGTATCCTTTCCTTATGTATTTTCTTTCTTCTCAGGCTGTGTGATGCTAGCAGCAGATTATTCACAGTTAGAATTAAGAGTTATAGCTCATCTATCAAATGATAAGAAATTAATAGGAATATTGAATAGTAATCAAGATGTATTTAAACAAATTGCTGGTCAATGGTTGAATTTAACACCTGAACAGGTTAGCACAGAACAGAGACAACAAGCTAAACAGGTATTGCTATTCTGTATTTTATAACTACGTGTACTGTCTACTAATAAATTTCCTTGAGTGGAATCACAGTGGCTCAGTGAAGCTTGATTACTAACCTAAAGGTCCAGGGTTTAATCCATGCATAGGTCGAAATAATACCTTCTGGTTTTGCTACCAAGTTTTTAACGTGTCAGTGTCGCAGTTTAGAGGGGCTGATATGAAGAAAAAAATGTTTGTTTGCATGGGACAATTAACATGGGCCTGTGTTATGCTGTCCTAGCAAAATTTCCCTCATTGCACACTACATGGCCCATCTTTTAGTAGTTCATTAGGTGCAGAAAAGTAACTCCATTTGATTTCACACTTTTGTGTATACTTGTAGATATGTTATGGTATGTTATATGGTATAGGACCTAAAGCATTAGGTGAACAAATTGATGTGGATGAAAATGAAGCTGGTGTTTTTATGGAAACATTTAAATCAAAGTATCCTGGTAAAAATATACTTTCTCAATCTTTTCTTAACCCTTTCAATCCTTGTGGCTGGTATATTGACAACATAGTTACGCGATATATACACAAGCGACAGGTAAAGCAGCCATTACCGTGTGATGTCAAGTAACGCTAACGTCATATGTTTAAGTTATCTTACTTGGAGTTCAGGGTATAAGAGGTTTTATTTCATTTACACTCAGTTTTCAAAGAGTTAAATAATTTTAATAAATAGAATTTAGCTTTTCTGGGCATATCTTTCACTATTAATGAATATTTATCAAGTACATCGTTATTTTTAGGGTTACGGAAGTATCTACAAAGTACAGTAGAGAACTGTAAGAAAGAATGTTATGTTGAAACTATAACTGGTAGAAAACGTCATTTATCTTCTATAAAATCAACTAATATACATGCTAGAGCTCAGGTATACTCACTAATTCTAGCTCAAATCCAAATTTGGCCAAACCTTTTGAAGGGTTGCTTTCTATTTTTCACTCACACACAAAAATCTATGCAGACAATTGGTGTACAACAGAATATAATGCTATATGCTTTAATGATATAAAGTTGTCTTATTTTAGCTTAGCTTGTCTTATTTAAAAGCTTTAAGAAGTTTTTGTTTACTTATGATGAGACCAAAAAGGGAGTTAGAAACATAAAAATATAAAAAAAATGATATAAATTATTGATAAAGACAATGGAACAGTTCTTATGTAAACAAAAAAGTCATTGTTTTTAGGCTGAAAGACAGGCAGTGAATACAACTGTACAAGGTTCAGCAGCTGATATTGTTAAAATAGCCATGAATAATATTGATAGAAAATTACAACAGCTGTATCCTGATACTCAATATCCTCATAGTTATAAATATACAGGTATAGTTTATAACAATTATATCTTGATACTCAATATCCTCATGGTTATAAATATATAGGTATAGTTTATAACAATTATATCTTGATACTCAATATCCTCATGGTTATAAATATACAGGTATAGTTTATAACAGTTATATCCTGATACTCAATATCCTCATAGTTGTAAATATACAGGTATAGTTTATAATAATTATATCTTGATACTCAATATCCTCATAGTTATAAATATACAGGTATAGTTTATAATAATTATATCTTGATACTCAATATCTTCATGGTTATAAATATATAGGTATAGTTTATAATAATTATATCTTGATACTCAATATCCTCATAGTTATAAATATACAGGTATAGTTTATAACAATTATATCTTGATACTCAATATCCTCATAGTTATAAATATACAGGTATAGTTTATAATAATTATATCTTGATACTCAATATCTTCATGGTTATAAATATATAGGTATAGTTTATAATAATTATATCTTGATACTCAATATCCTCATAGTTATAAATATACAGGTATAGTTTATAACAATTATATCTTGATACTCAATATCCTCATAGTTATAAATATACAGGTATAGTTTATAACAATTATATCTTGATACTCAATATCCTCATAGTTATAAATATATAGGTATAGTTTATAACAATTATATCTTGATACTCAATATCCTCATAGTTATAAATATACAGGTATAGTTTATAACAATTATATCTTGATACTCAATATCCTCATGGTTATAAAAATATCTTCATAGAAAGATAGAAATACCGAAATTAAATAGAATTGTTATGGATGTTGATGCAAACGTTAATAAAATCTTAATTTTCCATTACATTTGTTTTAGCAGGTAAGAATGACCAGTTGCCTCATGGAGCATTTCTGTTGCTACAATTACATGATGAGTTAATATATGAAGTATCTGAGAATGAGGTGGACAAAGTTTCCAAACTCGTCAAACGTGAAATGGAGAGTGCTATTAAACTATCAGTAAAACTTCAAGTTAAAGTAAAAACTGGCAAAACATGGGCTAGTCTTGAAGAAGGTTGAGAAGTTTGGAGTTCCTGTTTCATAGAGAGATCATAATGGAGATATTTCCTGATCACTGATTGATTAAAGAGCTTATATATTAGATTTACCAGCTGCAATAGTTGTCAGATAAACATCAGAAAGTAAATTACAATCTCCAAAGTTAAAACTTTTCAATGTTGAATTTTGTGATTCCTAATGAAATAATATATTTATTTATGTGATTCAATGATTTCAGTTTCTATGTTGTATTGTTATTGTATATTTTTGTATGTTAATATTTAAAGAGTAAGTTACTCCAAGATACTGTGATATAATTAAATTTAATTATACAATTTATATAAACTTCTCTTAATATTGAAAGACCAATATATTTCATACAGACTCCCCCTGTCCATGACCTTTTATGTGATATGAGTTTGATTCCCATTTCATTTTTTAGTCGAGACAAGTATTTTCCACATGAAGGTAGGCATGTTCACTTAGTTTCTTTTATTTGAATTGAGTTCACCATCAAATTTGATCGATGCATTGTAAAATATTCATGCAAATGAAATCTTTAAGCATTAAAACCATACAAACTATAAATATGTTTATTATGTACATGAACAATAGATTAAAACACAATGAACACATTAAAAGAACTAAAAAAAAAAAAGACATAAAAGATAAGACATCTACATGGACATTGATAAAACTAGATAAATAAAATAAACCCAAATCATAATAGGACAACACATGTTTTTTCCAGATTAAATGTTTGAATATATGGATAATCAAATAAAACAGATTATCAAAGATTCTCTCACCAGGCTTTGTCACAGAAATCAGTTTCTTATGCTCATATACATACCAAAATAAAAACAAAAGTTATCCACAATTTTGAAATAACAAAATCATGCAATAAGTCAAATTAGTTTCATTAATAATCTATGATGTTGCTACACACAATTACCAGATGGATGCTTACCAAATCTTAAAAAAAAACATTCACAATTTTAAAATAATACGATTTTACGATAATATTTTGATTTGCTCGTGCAATTGGATAAGATTTAATAGAGATGTTGATGTCATCCATGATCAGATGATAACCAATTCTTAAAATATATTCACAATTTAAGATTATAAAATGTTATATATTTCATGGTGCTTTGATATCCAATACCAGGTGCTTATCAACATAAACATTGATAGGATGGCCCTTTCCCGTTAGATCTCATAACATTGATATCATCCAAGACCAGGTGCTATAGGTAGTGATGACTTAAATCTCCCACCAGAATCAAAAGTAACATTCATAATAGGCCGTCTGTATATTGGAGCAGAAGATACATCATTGATTTTTTTACCATATCCATCAACGTATCTGCTGTAAAAAAAAAAATAACATTCTATTACAATTCTGCTGTAAAAGAAATAAATTCTTATAACAATCCTCCTGTTAAAATATTGACTGATATTATTTCCAGTAAGATTTAATGTTAGAACAGACAAAAACAATGAGCTTCATGAGGTTAAAATGCTGAAACAGGCTGAAAATCACACAAAAACTGCTCCAAGAGACTTAAATATCTGGAAATTGATAACTTTGTCAGAAATAAAAGAACTTTAATATTCATTTGAGGACCTGTACTCAAAATATACGTAAGATTGAACTACTGGTATAATGTTTTTCATTTATAAGAATGAAAATGAAGGGTACCTTTAATATGATCCTATGTTAGTCTAATAATAGATGAGATAAAAAGGTTATATTATAGTAATATTTGCATTTATGAAAGTGTATTATAATGTATTGTAGGTTGACTAAATTCATGCATTGATTCAAATCTATTGTACTATTGGTGCAAGTGTCTGTCAGATTCCAGCTCACTATAGGCTGACAGTAGTGTAGTCACTATATAAAGAGTGATTAAAGCTATTACATGTCAGAGTGACAAAGTGACTAGTGCTTGCAGCTGGTAAAGAAACTTTAATTTGAGAATTTACTACGATCATAATAAGTTTAATGAATATCTGTAGAAATTTAAAGGAGCTACAACATTCTCTATATGATCTTTTGGACAATATCCTTGCATACCATCGGTCAGTTGAAAAGATCAGTTGAAATCTAGAACAAAACCTCACAAAGCAATCGAATAAGTACATTTACTTAGCTAGTATTGGACACATGTATGTATACAATATTTAAAGGGAATGTAAAGAGCTTCTCTGATATATATTCTCTGTATATGTGTATTAGGGACAATGACAACATCAATTTGCACCATTCCAATTTTCAGTCAGAGTCTGTGGTTCTTGCAATTCTACTATATTATTTATATTTAAGGTTGAGCACTTCTATAATTACAGGAACCATAGATATTTGACAGAAAATTGGAATGATGCAAATGAAAACCATAAATGGCCCCGATACACATCAAGTTTAGAAAGTTTCATTACAATCTCTTCAAAACTGTAAATTTTACATCAAAACAAATCTAATCTGACAGATGAGTGTCAACAATATTATGTATATATAGAGGTGATGGTGTATAAAAGGGTGTGCTATTCTACTATGCATACCTCAACTTCACCCATTTCTAATGTGCTGTGAAAGAAAATAAACGGCAATAAACAAAGGTGCACATAACTACTATAAGCCACTATTTTATGTGCATTCTCTCTTTTTAAACTTGAAATACTCTAGAAATATCTCTACTGCAAAAATATGTATTCAGAAATGGAAATCTGTGATATGCAAGACAAATTCTGTTATCTAGTTCATCCAGTTTATGAAGAAAGTAAATTAAGCCACACCAAAGCATATAACTAGCTACGGATACATCTGCCTATTTGCCAACCTCTAATAGCTATTTTGACACTTGTTGCCTGGAGTAGTCAGAAAAACTGTCAAACCAGAGCTATCAGAGACTGGAAGGAATAGAGGGTACCTAGCATTAAGAGTGAAGAAGTTTCTAAAAACACCTATTAGATGTAAAGCACTGGCCAAGGTCACAAAAAAAGAGATCTGTAGGATATAAACTAGGATGGAGTAATGTACTTAAAGATTATTTCAGATTGTTTTACATTAAGAGATCTGATTGGCCATTCTATCTTGCCATTTAGCACATAACAGCATTAAAAATATAATATAAAAAGATCTTTTGATACTTACTTTGCTCTTAGAATATGTCTGGATGCATTAGCAGGATCATAAGATAGGTAATTTTCAGATGTACTGTTTTTGGCCATGATTTGATCAAATTGTTTTCTGGGTAATCCTTTAACAAAATTGATATAGTAAAGTATATTATTATCACATAACAATTTAAGTTATTTTGCGAGTTTAACATCCAAAACATTGACAGATTCAACTGAGTTTTAAGATACTTTGAATAAGAAGATTTACCTGGCATGACATATCCTGGAATAGAAGCATGTTTAGGTGGGCCTTTAACAGGTGGTAGATCAGAAGCTGAAATTAGGCAAAAAATATTTATTTATAGTGATTTTCAATAGAGGTAACTGAAGAAGTATCTAGGTATAGTTAAATTAATATTGATTTTATCCTTCCTCCTTTCATAAGTAAAAAAAAAATAGCATACATATGTTGTAATCATTTTCTTTACCAGTTCACAACAAGAATAAAGAAGAAAGGTTAACCAAATCTTTCACATATTCGTCAACAAGCTGTTAACAAATCTGAATACGTGTCAGTATGTATCTAACAAAATAAATCTGAATTAAAGTGTGTAAAACTAGAGTAGAGACAGATAAAATAGAATAATGAGCAGTAATTAAGAGTCATTACCTTCTGGGTAGCCATTTTTATTCATCTCTTCCTTCTTTTTCTTCTGGGCCTCTTTGGTTGCCTGCCAGTTCTGTAAGAATTGCCGTGATGTATCTGTAATTTCTTTACCATCTAACATTTCTGAAATAAAAACCCATTTACATCTATTAATATAATCTTAATAAAACACTTACAAATACTTCTTGTAATCTTCAGTACATGGAATTTGGCACCTGCATCATCTCTCCTACCAGCTTAGCTAATAATATAAGTGTACTCTTTTGACAAATTTATGTAATTGTCAATCAAGGTCATACTCTTACAACTTGATTTGATCCCATGAATGAAACAATATTAGTTGGAAATATTATTTTTTTATGCTTTTCATAAGCTCATACAATGAAAAGGACCTGATATAAACCAATAAGGATCACTTACGTAACTGTTTAGACATGACTATAATCCTGTCTCGGTATTTAGCTTTATGACATATAGGATTACCAATTAGATCTAATCTCCTTAACTGTGTCAGACGATTTAAAACATGGGACAGTTCCTTTAAATCACTGATATTATTGTCACTACACATTAAGTGAAATAGTTTGCGAGCATTTTCTAGTTCTCTAATACAGTCTATATTATTACCGGATATATTCAGCACTTGTATACATTGCTGCATGAAAGATAAAAATGACATATCATGACATAGTGTATGAAAGATAAAAATGACATATCATGACATAGTGTATGAAAGATAAAAATGACATATAATGACATAGTGTATGAAAGATAAAAATGACATATCATGACATAGTGTATGAAAGATAAAAATGACATATTATGACATAGTGTATGAAAGATAAAAATGACATATTATGACATAGTGTATGAATGGTAAAAATGACATATCATGACATAGTATATGAAAGTATATATTTAAATGTATGTTATATATCATATTGACATAGTTTCAGGACATTTTTCCAAGATGTGAGAAGTTGTCAAGTAAGTTTCTTCTAGTTAATAGCCTTCGGAAAGAGGCCCAAGAAGCATTACAATTTGTAATCTTTATAAAATATGAGCATTTATCAGTCCCGATTTAAAATATACATGTATAAAACCAAAATATTTTTTTCCCTTCTTAACAGTATTCAATATAAAATTTGTCATTTTGACTATCAATAGTTTATAATTCAATGATTAGAAAACTTACGCATATAGAATTTAATGATCTGGGATCAAATAATAACTTTTCTCCTAATGGTAACTGTTGATTTTCAACTTGTAGTTCTTGTAACAGACGTAGGTTTTCAATTCCTTCTAAAACTGTTATTGCATTACCTCCCAGATACCTGAAATGGCAGTGTGTATTGTAATGTCTAGACCAGGCATGTTAAACTTGGTTTGTTCCACTACAAATCATAAAGAATAACATCTAAGGTTAATAGCTTGAATGTCATATTGTTGTGGGGTGTATTAGCATGCAAGGATTAGGCAGCATTTTTTTCATTTTTGATGCCAAGCTAGATGTACACGAGTAAGCTTACAAAAAAACTGAATGGGACGCTTTAGGGGCATTTCTCTTCAATATAATATCATGTAAAAGCAGAAATGAGTCCTATCAAGAAAACATTTATGTAATATAAACAAAAGAAAAAACAAAACTTACAATTTAGTTAGTTGTGTTAAAGTTGAAAGACCTTCTATTTTTCGTATAAAATTATTTTGAAGATATAAATGTGTTAGGTTGTTATTTTGATGTAAAGCTGGAACTTTAATCAGTTGATTATCATAAAGATACAATACAACCAGATTTCTACATAATCCTAATTCATTCTCCTATAAAAATAATAACAGTTACTCAATAAAATTATCAACAACAGCCAACTTGGCTATCACCTGAAAGAGCTGTTAGATCCAACCAGTCTTGTTGACCTTCCTTTAACTCAATCCTTCAGCAGCACCTTAGCATCATCCACAATCTGAAATGCATTTCCTCTAATATTTTCCTGTGTTGTAGATCTGCTTTTGCTTTTCAGTTTACATATCAGAAGGGTTTAACTCATCTCACTTACCACATCATCTATTCCTTTCTCTTCCAGATATAAATGTGTTAATCGTGATAGAAATTGATTCTGACTTTCATCTCGTTTCTTCTTGTTATGACCTGATGTACCCCGGGTCATCAAATCTGTTGTTAGTTTCACCATTATTGTGAAAGATAAGAGGCTGTTAAGCCAAAATCTAAAAAATTGTTGACCTTCTCATCTAGAACAAATTATAACAAACAGTTATTGCTAATATATAATTTGCAAAATTACAAATTGATTACCCTTGCCTTGAGTTGATGAAAATGCCAATCATTACTAGTACCTAGTACTACTACCACATCCATGATATTACAATGGCAGAGGGAAATTTCAGTCTACAAAGTGGGCAATCTTCATGTAAAGTACTATATTTCTATGGACCTGACGACATTCTAAATAAATGGTTAAATCAAAGAGAAATTGTAGACAGAGAGTGGAGTACATCTACCTTAAAATTTAAGACAATCATTTGATTGAATCAAAAAAGATCACTCACTTCTCACACCGGGTATATTTAATTAGAATAATACTCTAGTTACATTATCTTTTGTTTTATTTTGTAATGGTTTTAATTGAAATAGTTTTGACTATGAAAACCTTTTTTCATCATATTGAAATGATAAATTTGTAAGTAAAATTGAAGGAAAATTTGTGAAATTCAACTTACGTGCATCGTCTCCAATGTAAACAGGAAGTAGACAATGTATGTTTTATCGGAACGGAGTAAAGTAAATTAACAATAACAAAGACTATTTAGGACATCATTCCAACTGGTTATTCTTAGAAAATTTATAAACAAAAATCAATCGAAATAAATAAATACACCCTTGGTTTATTTGTTTATCTTAAAAATAAATCTGAAAAAGGAAACGTCGACATTTACTCCGAGACTACTAAATAGCCATCATGGCGTCCAGGAAAGGACTTTCTTTAGCGAAAACAGATTTTCCCTTATATTGTGTCAGATCTTTGGGGGATAGACACTTTTTAATCGCGGGTGGAGGTGGTCAAGCTAAAACAGGAATCCCCAATGCAATTGTACGTTTTTCCTAATTAATATCTTCCATTCAGATACCTTGAAATCATTTTATGACCCACCCTTCCCTTCCTCTCTCTCCTCTCACTATACTCTGCAAAACTAAGGCATAACCAAAGAATAAAAATCATGGAACATAGTCTTACAAATTTGTATATTACTGTACTTCTGGTTGAGTGAAGATTGAGAACTGGCTTCATTCTGAGTGAACTTGATGAATATTTGGAAGTCATCAGTTTGGCACAAACCCAAAGTAGCACTAGCAGAACATTGAAATTGTTGCAGACTTGATCAACACAATTTGATACAGGCCTACCTTTCCCTTTGATTTGGAAATTATGAAAAACTTGAATGGAAAATGATTTTGATTGCAATTACTGTTTAAGTATAATTGGTATAATAAATACAGGCTTATTGTTTTTCAGGAAATTTATGAGTTAAAACTAATAGATGGTAGGATATCAGCAGTTAGTGTTGGTCGACATGATACTGGTACACAAGCTGTAATGAACTGTACATCGTTTTACGATGGAAGAAATCATCAACTGGCTGTTGGTCAAGATGAAATGTGTTGTTTATATAGTTTAAAATATTCAGTGATACCAGTCAGTAAAAAACATACAGGTCAGTAGTCATTTGAGCTTACTCTTCAAATTTTTCTTGATTGAGGTCAATAAATCTGCACATTTTCATCATTTGCGATTTATGTATGCGTAGTGTTAAAATGTACATATAAGTCATGGAATTAGATTCCCAGGCCATGCATACTGTTGACATTAATTTTCCTTGAAGATTTGACAATAAGCCAAGTAAGGTGCATAAATTTTTAAAAAATCTATTTGATTGCAAGTTTTTATTGTGATGTATTCTTACAATTATGTCAATTATTTTAGAGGAGAACTCTACAAAGAACAGAAAAAAAGAAGCAGACACAAAGAAGAAAGAGAATGAGGAAAAGACAGACAACAAAAAAGCTGAAACTAAACAAATCAAATTTGATGTCACTGAAATCAAAAGTATACCTACTGACTTTGACAAAGAAGGAGGTTTTCAAAAAGTTGTGCGATTCAGCCCAAATCATAAATTTTTTGCCACTGGTGGTGTAGATGGTCATCTTAGAGTATGGAAGGTACTATGAAAGCCAGTGTTATTTTATTCAGTCTTTGACTTATTTGTCTACTAGTATGCCTTACATTTATGTTCCATCCTTTGAAAGTGTGGAAAAAATATAGTAAATAAGCCTAACTCTTAAATGATAAGTATTCTATTATTTCAGTACCCCGACTGTGATAAAATATTTGATATAAAAGCTCATGACAGTGATATAGATGATATAGATATTTCTCCTGCTGGTGACAGGGTAAGTTTATGGTAGATTATCAAAATTTGTAAGTGATTTTATCTTAAATGCCTTCTGTGATATGGGAATAAACATTGAATAGAAAACAAAGTAACTAATGCTCAGACACTAGACTTGTATGTTTTATGGTTCTTTGATATTAATAAACAAAATTTCTGAATTTTCTATTTTAAAATTTCTAGATTGTTCTTTAAATGTATTACTGTTGTAAATGTTGTAGATAGCTACAGTTTCCCGTGATCACACTGGCTGTGTATGGAAAAGTGATAATGGTGAAGAAGTTATAGGTTTAGTTAATTCTAATTTAAAAGGTTATAGATATAGATGTTGTAGGTAAGTTATTTCTACTTAAATATTGTTATATCTTTTTAATCATAGAAACAAGAACTAATGCTAAAGTGTCTGATTTGAAATGCAAGGTCATTCCTACCTCCACGAGAGTTCTTTCCTGCCTGGCTTTGTTTGTAGCAGACACCAACTGTATTTTGAAAGAGTTGTCATACTAGATTCACAGTTCATCTTAGAATTTTTACATAACCTTGCTTTTAATCCTTGTATTTTAGATATGGGTTGGTCGAGGGTAAACAAGATAAATGTAATTTATATACAATAAGCATTCCTATAACCAGATCTTCTAAACCTTTACCATGTTATATTACAACGTTTGATCATAAAAAATATTCAATTAGAAAACAAGCTAAAGCTGGTACAGAGGTATTATCATCTTTAGCTGTTAGGTTGGTATTTTTGTTTAGATATTATGTTTCCACTAGTCAAGGGAATGTAATTAGGGAGGGCATGTCATTGTTATCCACACTCGGTCCTTGAGAACAGACTAAACAACAAGAATGTAGGAGAAAATTTTTCTCGAATTACAGCTCTGCTCTTTGCATTTTTGTTGAATAGAGTGCAGCTGCCCTGGTCTTAAGGTAAGTTTTAGGTTTTGAAACAGTTTTCACTGTACAAAACAAAAGATATGTGTAGTTGTGTACTCACATGTAGAGTGTGAATGGCATGCCGTCCCTAATCACATGTATTTTTAGTCAGATAGGACTTTAACTATGTTTCTTGTCACCAGTACCTTCAAAAAGCTGTTGATCAGTCTTTGATGCATAGAAAAACATGAAAAATGATTTAAATACCTCTATTTTCCATATAACACAAATGATTTTGGAAAATGATATAATGTAGACAAAATAATAGTGGGTCATTTTTAGACTGCAGATCCATAGAGGAATAATAAGACTTCTCAAGTTCAAAGTGTTGTGTTGTTGACAGTCTGGTCTCTGTATTTATGTTATGTTAATATTCTATATTTGTAGTGAAGATGGTATATATTTAGGTGTAGGTACATTATCTGGTAGTGTAGCTGTATATATCTCCTTTAGTTTGCAAGTAAGAAACATTTTTGTTAATTCAAAGTGATATTTTTATTTCTTTTTTTTTGTATTTCATTTTTTAAATTATGTGAAAATTTAAGAAATTTTTTTTTAACAAGTGATGGGTTTCTATTTCAGAAATTATATTATGTTAAAGCTGCTCATGGTATATTTGTAACTGGGGTAGAATTTATGTCCAATTCTGAAAGTTGTCAAGCTATAACTGGAGATAAAGACTTTACGTTGTTAAGTATATCTGCTGATAATACTGTAAAATTACATCAAGTTAATCCTAGAGGTATGTATTTATATTTCTATCAGCTTCCTTAATATCCCACTATTAATTGATCTTGTTAAACTGTTTTGCGCCACACTTTTACTCTAGTGAATAAGAGTACAATTTACTATTGGTGATTTAGATGCATGATAATTCATCCCTGCTTTGTAAGATTCATAAGTTAAGCCTACCCCTCAACTGTATTGTGGTATCGTGTGGGGGACATGGGCAATGTTGGACTCTTTAATAGTTCAGCTGTGTAGAGATCAAAAGCTATGCCAAATTTGGTGTCAGGTAAAGTTATCAAAAAGCAACTCCCATGAAAATTAACATTTCATGTCTGGCTAACGCCAATATTGAACAATTCATATGATTGAATATATTTCTATATTTCAGGGTCTATCAGTGCCTTATGGATTATAATAGGTTTTGTTATATTAGTCTATTTCTTATTTTGGTTACTAGCTGAACTTGGTGTATGATAGTTCTAGATAAAATACTAACTTCTCGTACATTATTACTTCTAATCATGTGATATCCAAATTAGTAATTTATAATTTCTGTCATACTTTAAATTAAGTGTAAGCTGGTGCTTGACTGGAGAATTCTGAATAGGTTCCGTCTGTTCCAATTCTGCTCTCAATCGAACGGTATGATAGCGGATTGTGACATTCAAAATTTTCCAATTTACCTACTGTACCTACTATTTTTACAACACCTGTGGAAAGAGTTCTGAACTCTGTTCCAACCTGCTTTATTGAATGTATCTTTGACAATCAGCAAGAAATATCATAACATGTTAAAGGATTCTGATTGGTTAGATACAGATACAGGGTCAACCAATCAGAGTTCCTACTCTTAGTATAGTATTTATACAAATACCTAGTTTATGATATTTCTGACAACTGACTGACTGCTTTGCAAAAAAGTGTTCAATTAACATAAAATACAGTCCCTGAATCACTCCTTTGTTCAAAGAAAGCTCAATTAGATCTTTGGCTTAATAACAAAAAACCATTTGGTACATGTATTGGACTGTTTGGAATTGCAGAATTTCTTAGATGTGTCGTGTGCCCTCCTATTGACTAATGTAGGCCCTATTGATTACATTCCTGTGCCTTAATACTCATAGAGAATATAGTTTTATGTTAAAATTTATTGTTGACTTTTGTTGATTATAGATTGCTGGCAGGTTCCACTCTAACCAAACTATCAGTTTTACTTTTTGTTATTTGAGGATTGCTAAGACATTGTTTCAGTGAGGTGACCTCTTCAATACTATTGTCATTTGTGTTTTACCCAAAATCCATATTTTTTGGTGTAAACAAAAATGTCATAGTCCATGTAAGGGAGAAAAGATAGTCTAATTAAAAGACTTGAATCTGAACTCAATATTTTCTATATGGGCAATCCTTAATTTGTTTTAGTGCTGTCTTTTTGTATTGTTATTTTTTTTTTCAAATTTTCTGATGGTAAAAGGCCAATTTAAAGGGAATAGGTCCTTGATATTTCAAATTAGTTCAGAACATGTGAAAATGTTTGAAATTGAAGGATCACTATCCCTTTAAAATTTATTAAATAATTTGTTATTATTTATCATATTTAGAAATATAATCATGGATGGAATATGGTTTGTTATCAATTTATTGTAAATATAATAAATGTTTTATATTGACTACACTTTGGTTATCTTTATGACATCATTTTCATTGGCTAAACTCCATTTAAATTGACCACACATAATGAACTTTGACCATGTTAATTTGACAGCCATGGTAAACATTTTCTAGCTAGCAGATTGAAGTGACAAATTAACTTTCAGAGGCCAAGGCTTAAGCTTAGGAGTCTTTTGATTTTTGTATTTATTTTACATTAAGCTATTTCCTGTGCAATATGAATACTAGAACGTAACCTATCTTGTTCAAGAACCTCATTATAAGTGGGTGGTTCAACCCTATCAGAATCAACTGGATCTGTCACAACAAGAGCAGTTTCCCTGGCATCGTCTCTTTCTCCTGAGGTCATCAATGGTTGATCATGTTCGACTAGAGACGACTGTTGGCTATTTGATTCTTCTGGTTTTTGTACACAGTAATTCACACGATTCTTTCTTATAATGTACAACATGGTGGCCATGACACATACCAGTAACAGGACCATCCCAACAATTATAAATATCAGAGCATTATTGCTTTTATCTTCACCTGGAAGATACAAAAAAAATATTTAATTCTTATCCGGTCTAATTAGTCTTAACATGCATTCTTAACTTTGAATCAGATCAATCAATACTAAGGCAGTTGTCGTTGACTTTGCACGTTTTCATTGGCTCAATGCCATGTTCCGAGAGTCTGTCTTAAATTGAAACCGTACGGTTCTTGCCAATTCACAAAATATTTGCCCCATATATTTGAATTAACAAGCCTATTCACACTTACCGGTATGTTTCTGCTTTTTAAGATAGTATCTGATTTTAAAGCTGTCTTTAAGAGTAATATCTTGATCCGTAGAAAACTGGACATACAAACTTCTTTTAGAACTGCAATAAGTATCTGTAGAAGCTCTGCGACACAGGTTTACTAAAAGAATGGATTTTTGATTGGCACCTGCAATTTGAAAAGTGAAATCTTTTGACGACTAACTTTATAAGGCGTGGATGAAACTACGAATTAAGGGTCGAGACTATTCTCTATTACAGCTCATTTTGCGCAACTTTTGGGTATCAGACCCGACGTGCGTCAGACTGAAAAGCAAAACTTCATATAAAATTGTTCATTATTAAATCCTCAAATTTCATCAAAGAGAGACCAATATGTGCTCACCATCAAATATTTTTAAGGTGTTAAATTTACATCGCTTTCTGGCACCAATAACAGCTAACTCTACCTCTATACAAACTTTTCTTTTGACGGGAGCAGTAAGTTTAAAACCACACCAGACATTCCTACAATTTACAAGTATGACATCTGACACTTAGTTTACAAATAGAACCTCCGGCATTCCACAATCTACCAAGAGCAAAGAGCATGTCTGAAAAGCCGTTAGTTTACAAATAGGACCACTGGCATCCCTTCAGTTCACACCTGACATTCCTTTACAAACGGAAAATCTGACATTCTTGTGAATATTAACATTAAAACTTTTTCTGAATTTATTGTAAATTTCCACAATTTACTAAGAAGCCATCCGACAACAATGTGTAACAATATGTCTGAGCAACGCCGTTCAAATCTGGGTGTTTAGCCTCGAAAAGGGTGCTTTCAATTGATCCACATAGTGATAATTGCGTGTGAAACCCCTGGACTTTTCTGTGGGCCTAACCCCACCCCCCCCCCCCTCACTCCCCTCCCCCTTCCCTCTCCTTCCTAACGATTCGTAGAAAAGCCACTGAATGATCACGTACCTTGGTGCGTCTTCGGGAAAATTTGGTGATATGATATAGTTATCAGTGAGATTTGTAGTTTTTAATTTTATATCTGTCCCATTCACACATTCTGAAAAACAAAAAGGTAAAAGGATATTTCTTTAAATGATGTTCAAAAATGACAATATCAAAATATCATCAAGTGGGATATATGTCGCTAACGACTACTGTGAAAGCGTTGCCCAATTGAGGAACTTGGTACAGTGGAGCCACGTTTATCCGGTTGCCGATAATCCGGAGACCCCGATATCCGCACGCTTTTGTAGTTAATTTGTTATGGTGAATCAGTGATCGACTTTATTTCAATGTGAGCTTTTTGAAATCGTGCGGCTTATTGTCACAAATATACAGTAAATTACTTTGGGTACATAGCAAAAAGGCTACGTCTACAACATGATTTTAAAACTGTCTTCTGTGATTTTCTATCGGCTTATGCCATGCAGATATCACGAAGCAAACTTTTCAACCAAGAATGTCAAACTTGAACAATTTACCTATATTCAAGCTAGCATCTACTGCAACACAATGGTAAATTAAAACTAGGCAAATTGTAACAAACGAAAACATTATTATGTAGGCAACATCCAATAAATCAACTGGTTGCCCAAAGCAACTGATAAAGGCAAGACTATCTCTTTTATGCTTTGCCTGATTCCAGATGCACACGGAGGAATGAAAATTTCCTAGCAACCAGCACTACTAACAGGCCTAGTGTGCCTACTTTTCAAACTTTCACTTAGATGTATTGTGTGTGTGGTTTGAGCAGGAACCTCAAAGTTCAAATCACTTTTTCAAATCCATTTCCTTCGTGCTAAAACTAGGATAACTTTCAACTTTCAAAGTAGAAACAGAAAATAAGTGTGTAACCGTATAATGTATTCCTAGACAATTTCACATTTCTAAAGCGTCGTCACAAAAGGGTCAATTATCAATATAACAGTATTCCATATACAATATATAATTCATATGAATACATTTTGGCTTAACAGTAGAACTAAACCTGTAAAATGAAGATGTTCTATAACGCTTTTGTGAATAAAAATGTAGTATATTACGTTACTGCATTAAAGTAGGCTTATAATATATGAAACTAGAGTAAGCTAGTGCATATTTTCATTATATTTTGTAAGGGGTTCCCATTGGGTATACACTATTCATAACTTATAAGCTTATACAATACAACGCAATAAAAGTTCGACACGGCGTGTTGCTTTGAATTTCTGCATGAAGGATTGTAGTTTAGGCTTGTCTACAATGTTTAAAAACAATTTTTTTGCCTTGGTGTATATTATCAAACCAGTGAAATTGGTCAAGAAATTTTGTCGAGAAAACACCCAAAAGATAATAATAGGCAATCCGAAGGAATAGTTCAGAATATTTTAAATAATAGAAAACTTATATCAATTATAGGTCCATGATTAACCAAGCAGGAAAAATGTTACTGTATCTATTGTAGTCTGAAGCCTAAATCATCCAAGAGTAATTAGAGTTTTCTCCCTTGCATTATACATACAGCTTTGGAAGTTTTTGGTTTTGGACGATTAAATCTTGATGCGATATTTAGATTATCACTGTAAATTGGTGACTTTAATATTTCGGGTTCTTCCTTGGTTCTTCCTGGATTTTTTGGTTTCAATTTCGTTGACTACTTGTCAATAAACTCCGTAGCAAACTTTGTGGGGGAAAGTTGTAGAAAGTACTAAATAGGTCACGTTGACTCTCCCACAAGAAGGTGAGAAGAGGTGTTTTCCTTTTCAAGACACAGGAATTTCCAGGTGAGAATTTGATTTTATTTCTTATTTTAGACACAATTTCAGTTACCGATTCATGTTAAATCATTAAAAATTGAAAGAGAGATGTTCATTTACTATAAAATGTTTTAATTGTCATGTCAATTTTAGCATTGAATTCGACTTGTCGATCAAAATTTGACATGTTCGACAAATAGGCTAGTATTATTAGCCAAATAGACAACTTCACTCAATTTAGATCTACTCTTTGTAGGCCAATTCGTACATCATAAAGTACAGAAACTATACTAGGTCTAGGCCTATAAATTATATGCCTTACCAATTATATCTAACAACCAATATAACTATTATATTATGGGTTAGGCGGCCTAACCCATAATATACTGTAATTTAAATAAGGATAGGCTACAGATAGTGTATGATGACAGCAAGGCCTACTGCAACAGATCTTGTAGGCCTAATGTTATGTTATCACAAGTCACTACTGTTACTGCCTTTTCACTATTAAAAACAATAGCTTATAGATAGATTGATGTGTTAATTTTTTTCTGATGTCTTTGTAATATAAGCTTAGGCCTACATTGAAATTGAAGTACTGGCATTAAGTTTTGTTATTCTACTTCATGTGAAAATATCAATATTTAATCAAAAGATTCTCAGGTAGATGTTTGTCATGGGTTGTAACGTATGACAGTTCATAATCTCACCTCTTGCCGATGTATTATGGATTAGATATGGAATTCTAAAATAACTATGGTCTGAAAGAAGTAAAGCAAAGCATTTAGGAGAGAAATGATGTTGATATCAACTTTAGATTAAGATTGTGAGTCTGAAAATCAGAGCCAAACAATTAGAATTCCAAGCATTCATTTCTGACAATTGCAGCGTTGCAGCGTAATCAACAGCAATGCAAATGATACTGTATCCTCATTTGAACCAAAGTTTTCAAGATATTAGATTAAATGCTGTGAATGCTGATATAATTTTTTCCTTCAAAAGTTATTTCTGAAAACATTCAGATACCGTACCAAATATTTGGTAATATTTTTCTTATACATTTTTAAAAAAAAAACAAGTTGGGATGTTTTGTTTGGTTAGGTTAGCTGATTATTTAAATAATACTTGGATCTGAAAGCTTCTTTTCCATCTGAAAATGGATGCAATCTACCCATACCGGTATATATAGTTAAATGAAACTCATAGCTTTTAAAGGAACTTGTCTACCTTTAAAATGAGTGCACAGTCTTCTCAAATCATACAATGTAACCCATCTAATTTTGAAATGACTGAAAACCCCTAACCAGAAAATAGACTAAATGCGATATAATATGTAATTGCCTGAAGAAATTGAAGAATCAGATTAAAGTATGCACTTCGTTCTAATGTTGATTATCACAGACTCAATAGTATTGTAGAGAAACTATTGGCAAGATGTAAAAAACATCAAGGAAGTCTGCAATGATACACACACCCATTTTTTACTTCTAATGTTTTGATGGTTGTCATAGTAACCTCATCAGAAGAAATAATAACCTACACTTCTATTACAGCCTGGCACTTGTTTTTATTTTGACATATCTCTTATACAACTCAATATATCAAACAAATTTTAACCTACATGAAGGATCACCTATTTGTAACATAACTCACAAAAGAATTATACTAGTAATCTTACTGAGAGGGGAAAGTGCCAGTACTGGTACCTCTTTTTAAAATGAAAAGGATAACTTTACTTTGAAATGCTATGAGCTTAATCAATATATAAGCTTATTGTTTCATACTATGTTTATTATAAGGATATCATTCATGTTTATTAGGAAACTACTGGGAAGCCAATCTCGTTGCTTTGGGTTCTTTTTGCATTTTGTAACTCGGCCCAATCTTCTGGCAATTGTTTCTTCATAATTTCTTGCACCTCTTTACAGCTTAATATGATGACTTTTGCACTCTTGCCAACGTAGCCAGCAATGCAGTCACGTAAATAAGATTGTAAGCTGTTCAAAGTGAATGAAATATATGCTATCTATACAAGTATGATTTATTAATTGAATTGATATTTATTGGGGAGGATTAAACTTTATAACTAAGGATTAAGCTTAAATAGTTGTTATGCAAATAAGCTTTTTTGATTCATTCAAATAATCTGAAATTCAGGGAATAGTTAAATTTTGTTATCAGGATTGAATTTTTAAGGAATAATTTCACATATTTTTATGAATGATAAAATCTTTCAATCCAGGTGATTTTAATAGTATTATCTTGATGTTATCACTAGATATTTATCAGATATTTTAGGGACAGGTCATACATGGCTTGAAGGCCTTATTGTTTTTATATCTCATTTTTGACTCAGTGAAATGTGTTTAATGGATTGACAATGAACGGAAGACTAGTAGGATTGTTCTTTGTGGTGAATAAGCTGATAAATTATGATATCGCACATTGTTTTTGGAAATTTGTAATGTTACTAAACTAAACTGTCAATATATAAGGAAAAGTGAGTGTGTATTGTTATAAAAGACCAATATTGTCATCGTAGCTTTGAAATTATCCTTTTGTAAAATCATAGACAACAATCAAAAGATTGTCCCTATTTTATCAAGGAACAGAAATGACAACAATGTTTTATTATGTTACATCCATTAACATCCTGAATAGATTTTTAGCAGTTTATCAGGACATAGATTGAAATGAGAAATGAAATTTAACTAGATGATGGAAAAATGGGTAAAAAATGACATGTTTGGTCTGAAAAAGTAGAGGCAAGGTAGACTATGAATTCTTTTTGTGGAATTTGATTTTTGATAAATGATGTGTGTTTGGATTTTGAGTAAAATTTAATTTTCAAACTTCATGTAACATACCGGCAATTGTTGGTCATCAATTTTAAAGGAAAAGTGTTATTTTTTAGACCAGAAAAAATCATTGAAAAGTTATTTTTTCTCTATTAAGTTTTGTGATAGCAGCGACTAAGGGGTGACATCAGTCATTACCTGATGATAAAGGTCAAACCATGTCCTGCTAGTAAATGAGATCATTGTCCAAGTTTTCATAATCCAGTATGCTTCATCTAACTCATTCATTGATTTTAGTCTTTGTTAAGTGCTCCACACCTACATGGCTATTGAAGTGCACTCTAGCGTAACATGGAAGCGTGGTGATTCGAAGACAGTCCTTGTTGTCTGTAATTTTGTCTTTGTTTAAACTGAGTGTATGATGACATGGTGATGTTTTATAAAGTCAATATTTTTTATATTGTGTTTAAGAGTACACACTTACTCAAAGGGAAATCTGTGCAGTTGTTAACTGGATTAATTTGAGTGATATAGTTTATGTGATGAAGTTTGTTTACCAAACAATACTTTGACTTCTATTTTCGGATCAACTTATATGATGTCAACTTGCAGTTTGTGTGGAAAATATTTAAGATGTCAGTTTTGGTGTTTGTTTGAAAACTATTATTTTGAGGTTTGTCTGGAATATTTTTCAATATTCAGTTTCTGTAAGAGCATTGTGTTGGACTATATCTAGACTATCCTAAAGTGAAGTTGAGTTGACAAACATATGGAATGAAAGGGTTTATATGCCTTTGTGAATTGACCAGAGTTGAAACTGTGTATTTTATAGATCTACTTTTGTAAAGCACTGAGCTGAGGACTATAAAAAAACTATAAAAGTAGTGCTTTGTTGTCAAAATTCAGACATCTCTTTTCTGAATTCATAATTTATATAAGCTTTAAAAAATGTTACCTTGTCATTTCTGATTGACCATAAAAATTCCGTATAGTATTAAGAGAAAATTTTCGAATTGCACCATTGAAATGGTTTAAAACAAATACCACTAAGTACACATCATAGGATTGGTACATTGAAATTGCAATTTAAATCTATGTTTACCCAAACCTTGATATAATATATGATTTTTGCAGAAGAACTGGGTTTCATAAAGATTGACACTTAAGCATGTAACCACTTTCAATATGAATGCAGAAAATATTTAGGATAGTATATTGATGAAGTAAGCTTGTTATCAAGTTTAATAATATTAAAATTTATTGATACAAATATGGCCTAATAAACCAAGCCTAAAACCTTGAGGTTATCATAACCATAGTTAGACAGAAAAAAAGAGACGTATTTTGTCAGTTGATAACAAATGACTAAATGAAGAGAAAGGAAATATGTTTTCTAAGTTATTGATACTGTAATTGTTTGTTTTTTGTGTATTTCCATACAGTGAGGTTTTTTTTATTCAATTGATGGAACTCTTTCATATAAAACAGCTGTTGTTTTTAATTACAAATTTGGGATGTTATTAAATGCTTAATGCTTTTAGTGTGAACTTTTATTGGGTGAGCATTTAGGTCACTTGACAATTTTTGGTAATTAATGATACTTAGCAAATTTGTGATTCAAATTTTGTTATCTTTTGTTATAGATTAATGTGATAATCTACTAAGGTGAACTTATTAAAGCCAGCATCTCTGCTTACCATCTTAGATCTCAAATTTTAATGTTTTTTATTGTCTATTTTGATATGACCATTATTATAATTCAGCCATAATGTGTTGTCCTATTTAACCATATGTTCAATTGTTAAAAGTTAATAACTTTGTGGTATTTAAATTACCACCAATTTTCAATGAATGGGTGTCAATTGATAAGCATATTAACATCATTTCAGTGGCTGGGCTGAAGTCTTTATCTTTATGCAGTAAGTAAGCAAGTATGAAGTTTTCGTTTTGATTTTGAAAACTTTTGTGTTTCTGATGGGACTTTTGAAAGATTTCATCAAATTCATATCTATGAAGATTATCAGATGTGTCTAGATTTCTATAAGTTATAATTTAACATGTTGGTAGAAATGAAAACTTACCAAGTGTGAATGTGGATAAGAAACCATTGTGTGTACTTTTAGTAGAGTTGGTGAAAGGAAATGAAATGAATTGAGTTTGACTTTTCTGCATCTTGTGATCTAATGATGACGGGCAACACCTTTCACTGTGTAACTAGGGGAAATTAGGGGAAGACAGCGGCAGAAGACTAGACTTTCGATTTCCATCAGCTTGCAGCACATGTGGCCTTTGTTTTTTGTCCCATCCAAACGACTAGACGCTTTTTGAACTGCACCACTGACAAAACTGGCTTGAAAAAGAAAAAAATTTTGAATGGAAGTTGTGAAGTGTGTTCAAATTTGTTTCAAGCAGACTTGAGATTGAACTGTCTTATTTAGAATGTTTTTCACATTGAATTATTATGCTGTAAGTTTCAAACTATTGTGGGAAATTATTGTGACATGTTTTCTTAATTGACAATAGAAAAGTAAAATTAGATTTAACTTATCATGTCTGATGTTGTTTTAATCTGACCTTCTGACCTACTGTGATGACCTTCGCTATTATATAACTAATTAAAGAAATTCATTAACTCCTATGTACATGATATCAACTCTGGACATTTTTGAAAGCTTTCTCCAATACTGTCCAAATTTGACAGATAGAAATGAGAAAATATTTAAATATCATTTCCTGAAGTTTGGTTATTGTTTGACCTGAGATGTGTTCACTGACATTTCAGTGTTAAACAGACACTGGTGACATGTGTTATAATTTAAAATCATAATTGTTTAGGGTTGTTTGTGTGAAATGCAGTATTTACTGTAATAGTTAGAAATATATGTTGCTGATCTGTAGCTTCAAGTGTGTTCAGACCTGAAATTGATTTGCATTATTGATTGATTTTGGATTTAGATATTGAAACATGGATTTCGAATTGAGTGTTGTTCTGTTTAGACTTTGTTATTGCTATTAAGTGATTGTCTTTAATTAATTGAACTTTTGATATTTGATTTGTGTTGTGTTTAAATTTCGAAGTTTGTGTGTGGACTGAACAATTAGAGTTATTAAAGCAGAAATTTTCAATTCAGCAGAGCCTTTAGTTTGTGTCATGTTTTATGTACCTGTCTTTTTACTACCGAAAACTTGACTAACTACGACCTGCTTTAAAACTTGAAGAAATTGTTGTAATATCTTTCTTTGTGAGCATTCAATCTTGAATAAAATTTTATCATAGGAGTCTGGGTCTAGGCTGTCTTTGTGATTGACAAGTTTAGTTTGATGAAGGACATGACATTAATATTCATTTTCAATATCATTTCAATAGTATTGTCCAGGTTAGGCTATGAAAATGATAAACAATATAGCAAGCTGTTACCACTGAATTATAATGAATAGTATATATAGAACTAATAAATTACTATGCTAGAATGTCTGCTGGATATAAATAGGGTTTCAATGTTTTGATAAGTCTTGAAAAACCATCAACATTTGAATTATGGATGACTTGAAAAGAATTACATGAATGATTTGGCAATTGGCAAAGATGTTAAACTGCCTTCATGTAAGCTTACATGTTGTAACTGACTTGAAAGTTAAGTAAGACATTTGTATATTCTGAAAATGAGTTTTTTGAATTGTTAGTATGCAAAGTTGTTTGGAATTTGAGATCTGAGGATTTGAAGGCTTGTAGTCACTTCACGATTGTGTTTGTCAATTCAGCTTCACTTTGGAATATGAAATCAACTGTGCATTATTAATGTTTCAGTTAATGAACCATTTTGAAATGAATTTTTGTGAATGTCCCTTTCAATAGGATATTACCTGTAGTGACATAAGTTTGATAGGATTTGATAATATTTGATATGATTACAGTAATCTTATTAATTCATACAAGTTATTACTTTCTAGGTCACACTCTTTCTCTTAGTCAGTCCTTGTTCAACATTTTTTATGTGCAGCAAAACGTGTTCTTGTGTTTATTTTATATCTATGTGGATGTTTTTTTTTTATTGCAAAACAAAAGAAGTTGTCATAGCTTACATTGTTTTGCATTCAAGTTGATTATTCAAGACTACTTTTGTTTTAGTTTTAATGTTGTGATGTGTGACAAAATTGAGATTCTTGACTGTCCAATTGTGTGTCTGGAAAACCTGGTGCCACTGTCAGAATAGACTCCTTAAGAGAAAATATGTAAAGAAACTTGGTTACTGAATTCCATACCTGATTTGAAATCTTTTCATTTCCGAAAAGAAACATTCCTAGTCATTTAATGTGATAATATAATTTGCTCAAACACAAACTATGTCAAAGAGAAATTCTAATATCAACCTAGCTCATCTGGTCTTTATGAACGATGATGGTGGATTTAGCAGTTTGTGTGTTCAATCTACAAGGATTGAAATTCCAAGGAAGAGACCAGCGTGGCTCTCCGTCTGCTGTGGATGTGGCAGAAACTCAGAATATGGATCACAGAAACGGACCAAAATAGATCACAAGATTAAAGGGGTAATGTTGCTTTATACTTATTTTAAAAAACTCTATGAGTAGACCACAAATTATTATCATTCTTCTAAATTTCTGATTTACCGAATTGATAGAAAATAAAACAGGGATGGTATGGCTCAATGTTTTTCCGTTTTAAATTAGCATGTGATAAAGTATAATGTGAGCTGCATTTAGTATGATTACATTTAAAGGGACAGGTGCACCATTTCGGGGGGTTGATTTTAGTCTTGAATATATATACATGTAAGTAGTCTTCAGAAGTACTGAAATGTACGAAAATGGCATAAATCCTTTATAAATACTTTAAACTGGGAATTTTACTCACTATTACTATAAATTACTTTCAAACGCAGATAATTCTAGACACACATGGATTTGAAGGCTCAAATTTCAACAATGAGCTGTGAACTCTATTACTAATTGGCTTATAATTTCCCTTTTCTGAGACTAAAGTACAATTGGTCTAAAAAAAATGGAGCATCTATCCCTTTAATTGATCAATATATTTGCATTTTATTTTAAATTTAGATATTATAATATTGACACAGTACTGACTTTATCTGTAAGGATCCCAATTTTATTGAACTATTTCCTGTCTTTGTTTTATGAACTGGGTGAATGCATAAAAATATAGTTTTACAAACCTACATTTACTAGGTGATAAAACATGTTCTACATGACAGACTTTATTTGACTGATATCATACCTACACCTACAATAATAGGCCTTTCAAAATATATTATTTGCTTCATTATGCTCAGTTCTTTTGAATTTAGTAATGAGTGAAAGAGACAGAATCTCATTTGGAACTTCCTTCACATTTTCTATCTATTATGCACTGCTCCTAATACCTTGACTGCAATAAAGCTCCACACCATAGCTCCAGAAAGTTAAAATTTACTACCATACAAAAAGAGCTATTATGAAATCTGTTGTATCATAAATTGAATCAAAAGTAGTTTTCATAGTTTTTTTATAAACAAATTAAAAGTACATATAATTTTGTTTTAAGAATACCCCATCACAGAATCTGTTAGCCTTTCTTTATGCACTTTATATTATTTTATTTAAAACATGAAACATGATTGTAAACAGATTGTTAGGCCCAACTGTTACCTCATCAAGTAGATGCAATAGATTAGTATTGTAGCCTACACCTAGGTTATCATAATACTCCTTTCTATCTAATCACATGACTACAGGTTTTACTCTATTTATTATCTGGATTTATCATAATAATCAAATATAGTTACTCTCTCATCTTCCCTCAATCAAAATCTCTGTTATCATTTCAATCAATCTAATAGAGTCTTGGCTTGAATGAAGCTAGAAATTAGTAAGAATTATGTAAAAATTTGGAATAAGATTGATTTTTAAAAGTTATTATTTCTAGATCTATACAGTGTGTGTAATTGAATTGTCTTAATTACATGTATCGTGGCATGTATCGCGATACATTGATTCACCGATATAGTGTGCCAGCATTAAGACAAGGGAACAAGCTAAGCTGTTTCCCCCGTCTACACTGAAGTTTTAGTTTTTCGATGATGTAGAATTGGCAGAAGATTTTCTAATGAGACAATAGCTCAGAAGAGAGATCTTGTCTACAGTCAGAGAAACAAATAGTGCGAATATTGCTGAGTTGACAACCCCAGAAGGCAGGCAAGCTCAGCTAGTTCCTTTCGTGTGTGGCGGGGCACAAGGCATTTTGCTCTTGTTTGCTTCAGGGTCAGTGTTTCATCATCACACAGGGTTATTCCCATTTCATGAGTATCCAGTGGACAATGAATTAGTTGTATGGAGCTTAGTGTTGAATTAGTCATACAAGGAAAATATTTATTATGTAGACTTACCTTGGCTAGTGAAGATGAAGTTAATAATATTTTGAACTATTTATAGTGTGTGCCATTAATCTATTGAGTATTATAGAATATTGATACTCAGTTAAACAGTGTATGATTTAAAACAGTGTTAATGGAATTAACACAGGAAGAGGTTAGTCAGTTAGTTCTGTTTCAATTATCTTCTGTCTTGATTCAACTGTTTAATTGTTTACATTGAATGCCGTTATCTGGTGTTGCTCGTAAGATTTGAAACAATTATGAAAAAGGGTACCCTCCATTAGCTCCATTATCAAATTACCCACCTGCCCCTAACAAAGGGGAGCTATGGTGGCTCAGTGATTTAGACGCTTGCTTCCTAACCTTAATCCCTATATGATTTTCAACCGGTTGCCCCCTGTCTGATGTAGGTATGAGGGACTGACATGGAAAAGGCGTTTTGTCGTTTGGATGAGACAATAAACCGAGGCCCCTTGTGCTATAGGCTGTGCACATTAAAGATCCCTTGACAGTTCGAAATAAAAAAAAAGATCAGGCTGATGCCATTGTCCTGGTAAAATTTCCCTCATGGCATTGCCCATCTTCATTAGCCCACATGATGCAGAAAAGTAGAAACTCCATTCATTTTCATTTGACCCTAACAGTGGACAAAAAGAACATGCACAAGCAACTAATAGTTACTTCTTCTTTGGCACCAATATTGGTATTAGTAGCAGTTACTTCCCTTTACTTGTAATCATAATTACTAATCCAGCCTCAAGTATTAAATCTGAAAAATTAAAT